CTCTTGCAAATGTTATGATCATGTTACTTTCCATCATTCACTTGGACTGCAATTCTATGAATGTTTACTTGGAAGTAAGTCCCACTGTATTCCATGAGATTTGCTCACTAGTGTGGGCAACCTGTCCAAATGAGTGGCTGTTGTCCAACTCCATTTTCTCTTGGATGTCCTTAATTATCTAGATCAGGGGAAGCTAACATGGTACCCTCTAGATATTTTGGACTTGAACCTGCAACGCCACAACCAGCATGGCCATTGGTCCAGAATTATGGGAGTTGTCCATGACGTCTGGGAGACACCTTGTTGGATACCCCTAATTCAGATGCAAGATCCATTTCAATCTGATGTAGCCTTGATTGTTCTGAGGGATGACCTCTGTTGAAAGAGAGGTAGGTGGAATGTAACCCTTTTGATCCTGCATGGTTCAATCCTTTCTGCCCCACTCACGTTTTTTAACATATTTATCAAGGTCGAAGAACCCATGGCCCAAGCAGGCTGCATCTAGTTTGCTGGTGGCCCACCAGTCTGTGACAAAATCAGGCACCTCTTCTCCACTTTACAAGGGGTACCTTAGAAAAGTCGGACCCATTGCAGCACTAGGAATTTGCTCAGCTCAGCATTGAGATGGAGAAATCCATTGCCTCTGTGTGAGTGTGATGTATGCCTACATGTTTATGTGTATTTATGTGTGTATGACACATTAGCTTTATTATAAATATACAAATATTTCCCAGAAAAGAGAAGAGTGCTGCCTGACCCAAGTTTAATTTTAGCCTGTTTATACAAAGGATTTAAAAAACAACAACTCCTAAAATGAACACGCTAAATTCATATGATCCTGTGATGGAAATGATGGGACAAGAACCACAGGGATACTTTCTGCATAGTCACACACACAACTCTATTTATTTCCAAGCTAGATGCATCAAGCAAGAAGCCAGAGGCCTGCAAGTTGTAGGTTTTTTTTCCACAGCGGTGCTTCTGCAGAATATTTTAGGTTTTTCTTTTCAGATGAAACCTTGGTCAATGGTGCTATCAGGGCAGAGGTCCAGGGGTCCATTCAGAGAAATGAACAAGAAAGCCACAAAACTCAGCACATTTTGAATTAATATACATGACCATCTAAGAAGGAGAATACCTGTAGGACCACTGAGTTCAGAGAAACTAAGGTTACCTAGCTGCACCATTAACCTTGGAAGGAAAGCAGTAACTGTTGGCTGCTTGCAGTTTATCTCCATTATAAACAGTCATGGCATAAAGCCAGGTCAAATGAAACTAAAAATTGCTGGCCTGTGAATCTGGGTTCTCCACCAATCTGGATATGTTTATGGGAAACAAATTTGCACAAAGCTGAATATTGTTGTACACCCTATAATTTTGGGGGGCTGAAGCAATTTAGTTAGTTGCAGTGGGATACTTTTAAAAGTTCATTTGTAAGGCATGTTGGTACTAAAAAATTCAAATCAGCTCTAGAGGCAAGGAAAACAATTGATACATTCATACTCAAAATTTGAAAAAGTCATGACTCTAGTTTAAATTCAATATACAATTACCAGGGAGTATGCCCCATTGAACAAAGTGGCACTTACTTTTAAGTAAACATGTATAGGCTTCTGCTGTAAGGCTGCAATCCTATGCATGCACTACTTTGGAGCATGTGCCATTTAACATAAATGATTGTGCTGCAAATCCCACTGAAACAACTAACATTCAATTGATTTCAATAGGATTTAGTCATAGACAGTAATTGGGTTGAAGCCACTTCCTATGAAGGAACAGAAGCCAGCTGTGAAAGCTTAATGTGAATGCCTAACTTTATAAAGCAGTTAAAAATGGCACATTTAAAGCTTCTCTAAGATAGTAAACGGAGATGAGCACATGGTAAAGTTGTCCTGGATCCAGGCATCGTCAGGCATTGTGGAATCTGAAGTAAGAATCTTAGACTGTGGGGAACACACCCATAGATGAAACAGAATGGCATAAAAACAACAGGGCAATTGAAAGCTAGGCAAGCATCTGGAATTGCCTCTGAAAAAAGGGAGAGAGAAACTGAATGACATAGGTATGAATAGGAATGAATTACATTACAAAGACAAACCATGAAACTGCTTTGTATGGTGTAATCGTATTAACTCCAGTGGGTCTTTGTTTATTTACTGTGGAGCAAGTGGCTTGGGGGACTAAAACTTTTTATGCTGTGATCCTAAATACATTACAGTTTCTGCCGACACCAATGGATTTCCCATCTAATGTGTCTAATGGTATGATCAGGGGTGGAATTATAACCCAAGTAGAAGACAGACACCTCATCATACCCCTTATTTGAGCTGCTGAACATTATACATAAAATTGTGGCTCTGCATAAACCACCATTCAGCTTTCAGTACTCAGGATATGAGGTGAACCAAACTTACAGGTGCATGTACTGCATATGTATGTTTGCATATGTACATACGTGGTAGGTGTTTTGGAACCTGCTGTAGTCTGTGAATCTGTCCATCTATAATCATTTGATAGAAAATAAATGTTCTGGGAATTTTTATTTCTAACTATTTCAGTTGGTTTTCTGGTGAATTTAATGAAAGTTAGTCTACAAAATTAAAAGACGCCTGCTTCTTGGGAGAAAAGCAATGACAAACCTAGACAGCATCTTAAAAAGCATAGACATCACCTTACCAACAAAGGTCCGTATAGTTAAAGCTATGGTTTTCCCAGTAGTGATGTATGGAAGTGAGAGCTGGACCATAGAGAAGGCTGATGGTCGAAGAATTGATGCTTTTGAATTCTGGTGCTGGAGGAGACTCTTGAGAGTCCCATGGACTGCAAGAAGATCAAACCTATCCATTCTTAAGGAAATCAGCCCTCAGTGCTCGCTGGAAGGACAGATCCTGAAGCTGAGGCTCCAATACTTTGGCCACCTCATGAGAAGAGAAGACTCCCTGGAAAAGACCCTGATGTTGGAAAAGACTGAGGGCACAAGGAGAAGGGGATGGCAGAGGATGAGATGGTTGGACAGTGTTCTTGAAGCTACCAGCATGAGTTTGACTAAACTGCGGGAGGCAGTGGAAGACAGGAGTGCCTGGCGTGCTCTGGTCCATGGGGTCACGAAGAGTCAGACACGACTAAACGACTAAACAACAACAACAAGTCTAAATAATAACTAGGGAGGCTGGCCCTCTCTTACTAGACAGCCCCTTCGATTCCCTTGTGGTCCTAAGAGTGGTCAGCAGTTTTCAGTGGTGTGGTCCCATGGACTTGGTCAGGACACCCTCCTAGCGTGGCCAGGCCGTTCTTCAACAAGCTCAAGAGAGCGTCACTGGGAAACTGGCACATCTCTTTGAACTGGCACGAGGCACAGAAAGGGAAAGGCCGAGCAGACACTCCCCCTCCCCTGCCTAAACCGACTTGGCTCCCGGGATGTTTTGCTCACGACGCGCAGGCGCGCGCCAGGATTCCCGCATTCCAAAGCAGAACAGGAGGTAACGGAGCGCGAGTCACGTGCGTCGGTTTAGCGGACTTGGGCGCAGGGGCCGGTTGGTTTTGCGCAAAAGGATAGAAAGAAAAGCTGCTGCAGAAAGGAAACCGGCGGCTCCACCTGCCGCCTCCACTAATAATTTTTCCCAGTTTCTCTCAAATCTGGTCCACGGGGGGAGGGGGGCTCCCGTTTGCCTTATTCTGCCTAACTTTTCCCCGCATAAGAATGACGCTACTGCCAACAGATGCCTCTCGCCTCGCTCTTCTTTCTGGTTGGTATCGATGCTTTTGCGTCGGATCGCAGCGGGCCATGGTGCGCCCCGATTCCTTAGCAGGCTCGCGGAAATCTCTCCGGGTGGCCGAGATCTTCCCTACACCTCCCACCCGACTTTGGGTGCCTTGTCCCAGATGGAGACTGTGAGCTTCTCTGCTGTTCTCCAGCTCTGCCCGCAGCCTGAGTTTGCCCTTCTCATCTCTTTGCGCTTCCGGGTCTCTGCGCCCTGGTGATTTTTCAGGGTTCAGCTGGAACCAGAAGAGCCTCGAGGGCTTAGTTTCCCTCGCCCGGCAACATCAGGGCTCTCTGAATACAGTCCTGTACTCCGTCTCTTGTGCACGTGCAAAGCGCTTGCCCTCCTTCAGTAATCATCACAGCCCCCTTCTCCATATGTGCCTGACTTTTTTGGGAAGACGATCCATCTCCGAAGATGGGCTTGTCAACTCGCCCAGTCTCCAGAAAGGATCCTGAATAGTTCCCGGACAGGCAGAGATGCAAATGGTGCGGCTTTCCTGCCAGCATAGGAGGGGGAAACGCTTGACCAGTGGCATTTCTGTAGATGCTGGTATAGCTGTGAAAGGCATATGTGAATCTCCCAAACTGGGACTGGGAAGGGGCGTCGTCGTGGGCGGCAAAGAACATTCCCATGGGGGAAAAAGTTGCAACTCCTAAGCGCACTTTACCAGGGAGCGCATTCCCTTGGACTCAGTGGCGCTGACGTTTGAGTAAACACGCCGAGAGTCGCGCGGTGACGAGCCAGGGCTGAGCCGCAGCTCGCACGTTACACAGATGGCGATGCGAAGATCGAGCCTTCGTCATTCTCAGAGGAGACCCCCCTGGAAATCAATGGGTTTGTTATGACTTGCTTAAGCCCCATTGATTTCCGCGGATTTACCCCGAGTATGACGGAAGTCTGGATTCAAAATATGAACAACGAGGGCGAGACGATGGCTGGATCCAGACTTGAAGGAGACCCCCTTGAAGCCAACTGGGATAATTGAACCCTGACCAGCAAGTCCTATTGATTCCCGTGGGTTCCCTCTATGACTACGTTTGGATGCCAAATGGGAAGATACAGATGATGATGATGATGGGTTGGATCCAGATTTAGTCATGCACAGAGGAGAACCCCTGAAATCAAGTTAGTCACGACCAACTTAAGTCTCACTGCTTTCCGTGGGTTTACTCCGACTATGTCTAAATCGAATACCTTAAAAAGCAACTAATTATTATTCTTATTATTAACCACGTCGTCGTCCGTGTCCCTGGGTGGACGACGGCAGCTTGCTGTGAGGCAGCTCCGTGGGCGCGGGCCGGGCCGGGGCGCCGGGGAGCGTGTGGGGCGGGGGGAAGGAGTCGCGCGCTCCCCCGCCGGGGGGTGGGGGAGGATTAGTGGGACGCCGCGCGGCCCCGCCCTCTCCTTCCCCTCAGCCAGGGCGCGAGAGCCGAGGGGCGATGGACCAAAGCGAGCGCGACTGGCACCATGACATTCGCGCGCCTCTTCCTGGCGGCGGCAGTGGCGGCTCTGGGGACGCTCGCTGAGCCGGGCGCTTCGGAGCCGGCTCGCTCGCCTTTCCCTTTCGCCCCGCGGGGCTCTGCCCGCCAGCCGCCTCAGGCGCGCTCCCCGCCGCCGCCGCCGCCTCTGCCGCTCCAGCACCACCAGCCCGCCGGCGGCTGCCCGCGAGGCGGCGGGCGCTTCGTCAACGTCACCGAGTCCGGCGCCGAGTGCCTGCCCTGGGCGGACGTGCCCACCTTCCTGGAGAAGACGCCTCAGGGCAGAGGGCTGCGAGGGCAGCGCAACTTCTGCAGGAACCCCGACGGCAGGAGCAGGCCCTGGTGCTTCTTCAGGAACAGCCGCGGCAGGGTCGACTGGGGCTACTGTGACTGCAGGCAAGGTGAGGAAGAGGAAGGCGGGGGGGGGCAGGTGACAGGAGGGAGAGCGAGAAGGGACCCTCCAACAAAGGACCTATTTGCTTTTGTATTCTGCTACCTCCCCCTGCGTCTATTTCTCTCCCTCCGCCCGTTTTTGGAGTGTATGATGATGATGATGATGATGATTAAATACAGGTATGTACTTCAAGGAGCTCCAGGTAGTGTACATGATTCTCCCCCTCCTCCTCACAACATTCCTGGGAGATAAGTTAGGCTGAGAAAGTGTTACTGTCCCAAGCTGTCCCAATGACAACGGGGATTCAAACCCAGATTTCTGGGGTCCTTATCTGGCACTAACCCCTACGCCACACTGCCTCTGATTTCCCTATAACCAGACAGTCAAGTGGCTCCTTCTGTTTAATACAATAACTGCAACTGTATCTTCCTTGTTTCCGGGGCCAAACTAGATAGTAAATGATGGAGCAGAAGGATTGAGGTGTAGAAGGGCACTCAACAGCAGGCGAGGAAGTAGCCAGAGTGAGGAGGGGGAAGAGAAACCCACCTTCCTTCAAAGCTAATATTTGAATTGGGGTGGGGTGGGGATTCCCATTGGCACCAATGTGGGATTCCCCCTCCCAAGCCAGGGTGGGCATCCTGCAGGCCTCCAGATGTTGCTGGACTGCAGTTGTCATCATCCCTGACCAATGGCAATCTTGACTGGCACAAATGGATGTTGGGCTCCAGAAAACAGCTGGAGAGGTCCCTCACCCCTGGCCCAAAGCAAATTGCAGACTCAGAGCAGTGGTTTTTCTCCCAAGGACATCAGTGGGGGAATAGGTAGATTTCCTCTCTATACATCTGCCCCAATCTCAATAGTTAGGAGAACAACAACGCACAACCATCACAGCTGCTGCTATTTAAATTGTTCAAAACCTGCATAGTGAAGCCATAAAGTGTGGGGTAGTAAACTTTTGTGTGATAATATTTGGTGTGAGAATAGGGTTGTTACAAGTCTACAAGACTACCCCTTTTTTCATCCCTGTGGAACTTTGGAAGTTTGTGAGTCTGTTGTGGCGGATGCTCTCTGGCTACCAAGCATAGCCCTGCATCCTTCAGGCTATGAGAACAATTGTTCAGGTGGGCACTGCTGAGCTGGTATTCGTTAGCTTGCTCTAATGGGACAAGGTTAATTCTGGAAGAAGGGCTGAGGCAGGTTGGTTGCTTGGATGCTGAGGTCTCTGTGTGCTTGTTGCCCTGGTTAGTTGTTGGGAAATACGTGTTGGTTGATTTTATATTCCAGCATGTACTGTGTAGTGTTGTGTATGTGTGTCAGCTGTTGCGATTTATGTATGAGAGAGAGATGCTAAAGACGAATGCTGAAAGTCTATTAGAATGCATTGTTTCTTTCTGAATGATATGTGGATTTCTAAATGGCTGGTGAAATGCACTCAGATGAATACATTCCAATGTATATTGTTTTTAAAAATTATGTCTGGAGACTGAAAGTTCCTGTATTTTGGGGGGCATGGATTTGTGTTGTGAGGGTTGTGTGTATGGCCCGCAGTATGCATTTATTTAAACATTTATATCCCACCTTTGAATTAAAAAAAGAACCTTTAAGGCAGCTTGCAGATAATTCAAATTGTGACTGCTGGATGTAGGCATATTGGTTGCCCCAGGGCTGGGAGGATACCCGCCCTGGTGTTTTGTGCATTGGCCACTGGAATTTATGTGTCCTCTGATGACGTGCTTTAAGTTTGGCTCATGTACATGTCGCCTGTACTAACTGATGTGTATTGGCTGTTGGATTGTGTGTCTTCATTTACGACTTTTCATTACAGTATTAAACTTATTAATCGCCTAATATTAATAGTCTCTATGTGATTTACAATACTGCTTTGAAGATGCCATTTGTTATACAATACCCTAGTGGTATGTTTACTGTTGACTACTTCACTTTTACTTCTTGTGCTTGTTTCAATATCTTGCTTAAGCTCTCATCTGTGAAGTATGTGTTAGCTAGTGAGTTTTTGCAAAAAAAAAAAAAGGACCAAACCCTATAACTGGATTGCATTACTGTATTTTATATCGACTGATTGTTAGTTGTGATCATCTGTGCGGGGGCAGTATATTGTGTATTGGTAATGTGTGAAATATGGGTGTTGGTTGGTATTCTTTTCTACAGTACAATTCCACACATGTTTATGTGGAAGTGTCCAATGGGACTTAAGCCAATGTAAGTGTGAATAGGGTTTCAATCTTAGTTACTTGTGTTTATGCAAACAGACTGCTACCAGCTATCCCCTTCAGTTTTACACGGGTTATTATTTCATTTATAACTCACCTTTCCATTGTGGAACTCAAGCTGATGCAAATAGGGTTCCCAGGTGATCTCCCACTGAGACACTGACCAGAGCCAGATTTGGTTAGGCTGCTGCATCGTGTCCCTTCAGACAATGCCATGCAGTGATGCCCTGTAAGTACTGTAAAGCCGGGAGAGGGGGAAGGCTGGACAGCAGTCTTGCATACTGAGGAGAATTTGCCAAAAGGTTTGGATAAATTAGCCCTCCTCCTGCCTGTTCTCCAAACCCAGGTGGACACAGTGAAGGCTGCTTATGCACATTAAACTTAAGTTGTTAGGGAACAAGGGGTCTGCCTGATTCCACAGGGCAAGCACTCTCTGACTCCAATGTCCCCCCAGGAATCAGATCATGTAAACTTCAAGTGTATGACAGATTGTCTCCTGTTGTTTAAAGTTCCAGTGGAAAGGCGATCTGAGTGTTTCCCAAGCCAATTTCTTCCAGAATTATTTAAACTGGAAGGCTGACTCCAACCTTGTAGTTTGTATGCCTGAAAAGTGGGAAGGAATTTACACCCAACAGGCCAGGTTTTCTTCCTCTGCATTGACAACCAGTTTGAGCTCCTCTGCTCAAGCAGGAATCTTTTTGTTCATCTGCACAACATTGCTTTCAATGGGGTGTGCACTCTAGACGCACATCCAAATGTACACCCTTATGTGGAATCACTCTTGGACCACATCCAAATGCTCATCCCAGTTGTAAGCACCACTTACAGCTCTAACATGCATCCATTTTAACCCTGCAGATCTTGAACCAAAAAAGATTCAGCATAGGGAAATATGCAGGCTGGGGAAAAAATAAAAGGATAAATAAAAAGGTTCTTCTGTTAGCGCTGCCTTTCTTCTCTCTTTCTCCACTCCCTTTAATTGTTTTATGGGTCCACACTAAAGAGGGTATAACAACACGTAAGTACATAAGAAAGACCTGCTACAGCAGGCCAGTGGCCTATCTAGTCTGGCATCCTGTTCCCATAGGCATCTAGCTGGCCCCGTGAGAAGTCTGCAAACAGAACCCAAGCACAAGAGAACTCTTCCCTCCAATGGTTTCTGACAGTTGGCATTGAGGACAGCATAATTACGGTACCTGGCAAGGGACAAATCATGATCACAAATGTGGTTTTCCCAAGGTGAGGCTCATCCACTGCACTCTAAGGGCTTATCCAAACTAACCTTTCCTCCCACCCTTTCTGGGCAGGGTCCATGCTTTAAGGCTGCATGTCCAGCAGCCTCCCTCCCCCCTTTTTTTGCTGTGGAGCATTCCCCATGAAAACTTGCTCTTTAAAGCTCAATGGACCAAACTGCAATCCACGGAAAACCTGAATTGATGCTTGTTCCGATTGAGTGCTAAAGGGTAGGTTTTCATGGGGAAAGCTCCAGGGCAATGAAATGAAATGCTTGGACACAGGCCTTTTAAGTGTGCCTGGAAAGAGGGGGGGCAAAGGTAAGTGTAGATAACTCCTTAAATTTGTTAATCCCAGTGATTTCTCCAAATGTGGGAAACTCAGCTGCATAATTCGTGATCCAGCAGGGTTATTCATCTGTATCACATACAGGAGCTATGATGTCTTCCATATATACAGGTGTACCTTCATTTTTCAAAATACGTATGAGACAATGTCTAAATTTATCCATTTTTAACGAAAATGTAATTTTTGTAGTGAAGTATATTAATACATACAAATCCTTTGGATGTATAATGTATTGACTGCAGTAAATGTCAAACTAAGTTGGATCTCATTTTCAATAAGTCTCCCAGGTAGTTTCATAAGCAGGCGATGGGGTGAAAAATTATATTAATAAAAAGAATCTATCAGAATAGTGCAACAGATGTACTGATATATGTGGTTTCATCACCACTAAGGTTAAACTGTTATCATTTTAGTAATAATATACTGTTCATATATCTGACAGATGCCATGTCATTTGAAGTTCTCCTTGCCTTTCTTTAGCATAATCATTTACAAAGTTTTTGAGATACTAAAGATGAGAGAGATTTGTTGATACGGCTGGGCAATTTAGCTTGCAGTCACCAGCAACTACATTTCCATGCTACAGTTTACTTTAGAGCAGAGGTGGCCAATCTCTTGCACTCCACAAGTAAAATCCAAGGTAAGATTTACAGCCCAGCCCTCATACCTTGGTTTGACTTTGTTGTTGACAGTGCAGTACAGAAAGGTGGAGAAGGTGTGTTGGCCAGGCTCATATTTTGCAGCCAAATCTCCTGAACCTGTCTAGGAATGTTCCCTCACTTGCCTTCACAGTCAGAGGCAGTATCATTCTATATACCAGTTCCTGGAAACTGCTCGAGAGGAGAGTGTTGTTGTGTTCAGGAATGGCTTGTGGGCTTTCCATGGGCATGTGGTTTGTCACTGTGAGAACAAGATGCTGTACTAGATAGGCTACTGGCCTGATCCAGTAGTGCTGTTCTTATATATCACTTGCAGCACCCACTGCATACTCTTGTTTTGCTAGATCAAGCCCCATTTTACACAGAAACCCACGAATGAAGCTCCGTTTAGTTAATAAGAAGCTTCTGAGTGACTGTTGTAGCTAGTAGTTCTGATAGCTAGGCTCACTCATCTTTCCTCTCGCAGCACCCGGTTTCTTTTTGGACTTAGAGCATCAGAGAAGAACAAGGACATAGCTGCTTGCTGAGACTTGCTTGTTGCTTCTCATCCAAAAAGATGCCTGTTGATGTCAGAGGGAGGATCTCAGTGGGAGACACTGAGAGAGGGTTGGAAATGAGTTCTTTTACATTACAGTGTTCCTTGGTAGCTACTGGAACAAATAACTGCTACAGTCATCTTGAGGCTTATTTCCATATGGAGCCTTTTTCATCGGCTTCTCTGTGAGCCAGTTCTTCAAGACTATTCAGAGTCCATCAGGAGCAAACCAGCTGTGTGTTTCGTCAGTCTGGCTGTGTTCCATGGCATTACATTTATTTGTGGTAAGCACTGTCACGCTAGGTGTAAACATTTCCTTCCACAACAGACTTGTAGCATGAAGCATGAAGCACTTCTCCATATGCATCTTGATATAAACATGTGGATAGATCCATGTTCGAACATATTCTTGAAGAGTAACATGGTATTTCTCAGGGTACTTTAGGAAGCAAGAATGTGGTTTTGAATTGGAACATATTCTATATTATTTATTTAGTTATTATTTAATTTCATTTATGAACCTCTTCCTGTGAGTCATCTTAAAATGATGTACAATACAACAAAAACAAACACAAAACAATTATACAGTGGTAGCTTGGTTTACAAACTTAATTCGTTCTGGAAGTCTGATCTTAAACCAATGCGTTCTTAAACCAAGGCGTGCTTTCCCATAGCAGCGGGGGACTCAGTTTACAAATGGAACACACTCAACAGGAAGCGAAACACGTTCTTATTCCAAGGCAAAGTTCACAAACCAAAACACCTACTTCTGGGTTTGCAGCGTTCTTAATCCAAGTTGTTCATAAACTAAGCGGGTCTTAAACCAAGGTAAAAAGGTAAAGGGACCCCTGACCATTAGGTCCAGTCGTGACCGACTCTGGGGTTGCGGCGCTCAACTCGCTTTATTGGCTGAGTTTAACCCACAGCACCACCCGCGTCCCTTAAACCAAGGTACCACTGTGTAAATAAAATGGTTAAAGCAATTACATATAAAACAATTATGCAACAACTATCGCATAAATAAGATAAATTTCAAATCCAATACAGATACTGACTAGGACAACAATCTCTACTTAGAAGGCTTGTTGAAAGAGGAAAGTCTTCAATAAACACCTAAAGTGGCATATAGATGATGCTTTTCTGATATACAACGGGAGGGAGTTCCAATGGGTAGGTGCTGCTACACTAAACGTCTGATTTTGACATAGTGGGAAATGGACCCATTCATAAGATGGCATCTGTAGGATTGGATGAATATATTGGAGATGAGTTGATCTTTTAGGTATGCTGGTCCCAAGCAGTTTAGGGCTTTAAGCACCATTTCTAGCACCTTCAACTTAGCCCAGTAACTAGTTGGCAGCTGTGATGGGTATATCTTTGCTACAGATATGCATATACTACAGACTAATAATCTATGGTAAACTAGTAAAGATTTGTCAGAAACAAGGCTAGAGGTCATACCTTTTACCTCCGCTCTTGGAGAAATGGATTGCAACACATTTACTATTAAGGGAGAACACTGTTCCTTAGAATGCTTGGGAGATAATAGCCTGGTCCACACATCACATGAAAAATAAACTATGGTTTAAAGCATGGGTGGCTAGCCCTCAGTTTAGGGGCCCGATTCAGCCCCAGAAGCAAATTTTTCTGAATGCTCTGCCTCCCCCCAGGCACCACCAATTTTGGTGGGAGCAAAAAGGAAAGAAAATAATGTGAACACAGTACTGGGGTGAGTGGAGGCCAGTGCCCTGATGGAGATATCAGTTTCTCCCTACCTCATCGTCAATTTGATTATTTGATGAGTGGAGAGAGAGCAGTAATCCTTCCTGCTCAGTTGATCAGCACAGGACAGCTCATGGGTCGTGTGTGACTGTGTCTGCTTGTGTTTTTCCTTTATAAATGTGAGAGCTACGAGTGTGAAGCGGGCACGGCCATTGGTACATTATGGTGAAGGATGGGTGACAAATGATGATGTTGATGATGCAGCCCTGGAGGTTGACCAAAGGCCCAAAAAGTTAGCCACTCCTGGCTTAATGAGCTGCATGCTAGTGCATGTGGCTCAAAGGTCACCTCTTATGTTCTGCTTCACTCTAGAATGCTATGGCGTTGCAGGGTGGAAGCAACCCAGAGGATGACTTCACATTATGTGTCAACATTATGGTTGTGGTTTGTTCGCCACTCATGATATGTGTGAAGGAAACAAACTACGGTATGATTGCTGATTTACATGTAATATGAAACCATCTTCTTGTTTGTTTCCTCTGTCTTGCACCAAAGCAAGGAGCAAAGCAGGGACTTTTCAGCAGCATGCACGAGCATACTGCTTGTTTGTATTTAACCATAGTTTATTTTTAATTATGGTCTAATGTGTCATGCAAACTGGCCAGGGCAGAATAAGAAAGAATAACCCCTGCAGCCTGGAATTTTCACCTTCACGTATTTACCCTGCAGCACATAACAATAGAATGTAAGTGTTTTCCACTTGAGATCATCTAGGAATGTCAATGCATGTAATTTTAGATCTGTTACAAAATGGATTCTGGAATATAGTGTCATTCAAGCTAGAAGTTGCTGGATGGATGATAGATGACTCTTTCTGGAGGAATAATTCTATTTATTTATCTGCAATTATGTAACTTTCCGATCTCATATTGAAGTTTTGGTAATGAAAGTGGCTAACATTAGCCTGTTAAAAATAACAATGAAATGTACAGATTCTTTATAACAAAATAATAGAACAACAGGAATATGCTCATCGTGAAAGCAAGAGCAGTATCTAAAACTATTTCTAGGCTCTCAGTGGTCTGGTCTCAAAGGCCTGTCAAACAAACCTTTGCTGATCTTCTAAAAACCTAACAAAGTAGAATTTTTTTCCTATTCTTTCTCTAATCCAGAAATCGTTGAACAAATTTAAAAGAGTACAGGGTGAAGGCCAACTTAATATGGAAGTCTTTGTATTGTACTTTTTTTCTGAAAGTGAGATGGCTCCTTGGGAGCCATTCTCATTATACCCCTAACCCCCTCCCCTACTTTAATTATTTCCAGCTCAATAACACATGAAACAATTAGGTCACAGGCCATTACATGTCTTTTATTTCCATGGAATCTTAGATCATTGATCAATGAGCTGTAGCACTGTGAAGGAACTATTGCAGACAAGTACACAGCCAATACGTACATTGCTTTGGGACTTTCAGATTTCAGGAGCGTTAAATGTATAGGAATTCAGAAACCCTCATTTGTGTGTGTCTGTGTGTGTGTGTGTGTGTGTGCGCGCGCTGGGAAGTTGATGGAGCTATATTGTATGCATAAAGGACATTGATTTTCAGCAGCAGTAAAACAGGTTGGAATCAGCTGAGAGTTTCTTCTTGTCTGCCCTCTTTCATCTACGTTCTATGCTTGGTCTTGCCTCATGCAGAGCCCGTGACAAGTGTTAACCAAGTAAATCTCATCCATGCTAGTCTGAATTCCCCTTCCAGCTTGCACTGGAAAATGTAACACAATCTTCTCTAAAGGGTAACAGGAGGTATCAAATACTTCTGCTTGGGGCCATTCCAAAGGAGCTCTAATTGCCGGCTGAATATAAACAGCATGAACTGACTCCTGGTGACTTCAAGTTTAAAGGTTTGGGTGGAGTCCAGAGAAAGGCACATCAGAATCCCCACTGAAATCACTGCAACTTAACTGATTGGAATCCAAAGCATGGCTGCTTAAAGCAAGGTCTTTCATTCTTTGAAGCATTTGGAGCAACTCCTTGTCCCAACACCCTATTGTAACTAAGCTGAAATGCCGTAACTGAAATACAGTGGTACCTCTGGTTACGAATGCTTCTGGTTACAAACACTTTGGGTTGCAAACTCCACTAACCTGGAAGTAGCTGCTCCTGGTTGCAAACTTTGCCCCAGGATGTGAAAGCACGCCTCAGAATAAGAACAGTTTCAGCTTAAGAACGGACCTCTGGAACGAATTAAGTTCATAACCAGAGGTACCACTGTATAACATGTATTATTCTTTACCTGTTAACTCCTACCTCCATTTCCCCATTATTTTCCCCTTGTATCTATTTGTTTAGTAAGCCTCTTGGGTTAGAGGTTTGTTAAGCCTATTCTGTGTAAGGTGTCATGTACCTCTATTATGCTATATAAAGTAAATAATAGGAATCAACTGCAAGGAACAATGTTTAGAATCAGGTTGTTAACTGAGTGCATCTGCTGGTCCCACTGAAATACTTTTGATTTTAGTGGGCTTAAACATGACTAAATTTCCTTACATTGCAACTAGAATGACTATTCCCTTTATTATAAGAGTGTGAAATTAGTGAGGCAGGGAAAATGTTACCTTGTTCATTCTCCTTGACCTCTCAGCAGCTTTCAATACCATCAACCATGGTATCTTTCTGGAGTGGCTGCCTGAGTTGGGGGGTTGAGTAGCAGTGCTTTGTGGTGGTTCCAGTCCTAGATCGATGGACATTTCCAAGGGAGTGATGCTTGGAGAATGTTTGGCCCTGTGGAGCCTTCAATGTGGGGTTTCTCTGGGCTTGATTTTATCCATTATGCTGGAGCTTTCCAAACTTTTCATGTTGGTGACACACTTTTTTAGACATGCATCATTTAGTTCCAGCAGTAACAGGACCAGAAGACACCCAAAGCAGCTATCATGTCCTCTCAGGGAATCCTCATGCGCACCGTAGCCAGGGTTAATTTAGTGTTACATGTGAAACAACCCATATAATGTTCTGCATTGAACTAATGCAATAGTTTGCATGGGTGTGTAGCTAGAATGTTTTGAAACTGCTTGTGGATTTAAGGGCTAGCTATCTCAGTATAACCTGAAATAATCTATGGATCTTGATTGTGTAAACAAGTCCTCAGGGCTAGGATAATGCAGTCAGGAATTTTTAGTGTTGCAATTACATGGGATCCATATCTCTCCTTCTCTGACCTCAACTATGTGCTGTGGCATCTTCCTTTCCTTTTGATGAGGAACCTGTAATCCTTCAGAGGTTGTTGGATTCCAGCTCTCATCAGCCTCATCTGGCATGGCCAATGATCAGAGAAGGTGAGAGTTGTAGTCCAACAATATATGGAGGGGTTCAGCTTCCCTGTTCTGTACATAGTGAACATGGCAGTGGCCTGCCTTCTTGATGTGCTGTTTGTAGAGAAGAATGGTCAATGGTCCCTCTAGAAAAAAAGAGATCAGCCCACAGATCAATACTAAGCCTAGCTGAAGGTTATACTGAGGACTGTGGCTCTAATTAGCAAAAATATGTTGGTGGCTAAAGAGCAGAGCAAATGAATAAATTCATTGTATGTAATATTGGCTATTCAGGCTGGTATAAAATGTAATCCTATTTGGTCTACAGTGGTCAAATTGTAGAGGGAAAGAGTAAGGGACCATTAATGAAATCCATAAACTCCAGCCCTTTACTTCCTTTAAATTTAGCCAAAGCTCACATGGAATACACTTCTGTCCAAGATATAACGTGCAACCTGTATTTATAGTGGCTTTTACAACAGTTACATAAATGCCCAATGGTGATATATAAAATGCTTCAGCTTCGTTAAACAAGGTAACAAGTTTCTCATTTGTATAAACTATTTTCTCAGTTTTCCATATCTGCCATGCATGTGTTGCTTTTGCTACCCAACCATGGGGGTGTTTTAATGGTGGGGGTGTTTTCTTATTTCATTGCTAGACTTGAGGAAATACAGACCATAAATTCACATGAGCTTTGTGAAGTGGTGTTTGGTTGTGGTCAAGTATGAACAAATGCATTCTTTGGCCTGAAATAAACTCCTGGCATCTGTGTCATGTATAATATTATATGGGTCACTGAAAAAGCTATGTAATCTATGTGATTGTTTTCTAATGCCTTTTAACATGATGGAATTAAATGAGAGGTATTCATCCCTGGCTATATTTTGTGGTATGTGTGTGTATGTCTTAATGCCTTTTTAAAAAGGAACTGCAAATTCTGTAAAGCTTATATTTCTGTGCCTACATAGACACTGAGCTTCCAAGGAAGAAATGGTATTGTCACCGTTCATTTCATTTGTAGAGAAATAGTATATCAGGCTGGCTGTGATGCAACTTGGAAGTAACCTCTGTTACTCTGCTCCCTCATCGCTACCCTCTGGCATGCCTGGCAGCAAGTTTAAAAGTGGGGTTAGCCAAACACAAATTTGTTCATCATATTAATACATTCCATGTAGATTTCCATTGAAAGACTATTTCAAGGTTGGTAAACAACAGCAAACATTTTTACACATTTGCCTTAAACTTAACATACAATTCCAACACCAATCAAACACTACCCAAGTAAAGTAGTTTCTTGACTGAATATATCAAAGAATGCCAGTGGAGAAAACACTGAAAACATTATGGAAGTAGGATATGGATACCTTTAATACCAAAGTGATATGAACACTGCATCTTTTCCTCCTCCTCCTCCTCCTTAATCTACTGCTATCTGTCTCCATGAGGAACTTGCCATGACCCCAAATACAGCAAATGCTATTGAGAAGGTTTTTCCTGTAGGATACAGGGTTGTTTTTTAAATGGCTGCTGTAGACATTGCCAATATTTCATCTATGAGAAGGATTCCAACACAGGGACACACAGCTTATCATTATTATTTTTTAATATATAGGTTCTGTGAGACTTAAAGGTGGCAAAAATGAGTTTGAAGGCACAGTTGAAGTTTATCTGAATGGAATATGGGGAACGATCTGCAGCAATCATTGGGATGATACCGATGCATCAGTGATATGTCAACAGCTTGACCTTGGGTAAGTGCTATATAGCTCTTAATTCACATTGGGTTATAAATGGTGCCTTACTCCTACACAGTGTAGGAGTAAAATGGAAGTCAGTTGTCCGTATTAGTAGACATCACAATTGCTTGAAATAATTTATTCACTAAAGTTTGATAATTCTAGAGGCAATACTACTTTTATCTGGAAAGCAGGGACACTTGAGAATGTATGTAGTCAATGACTTCAGTAGAAAGCCAGTGGCTTTAGAATTCATTTAAATAACTAAGTAATCAAAACAAGAAAGTTCTGAAAATTTCACTTTAATGTAAAAAACAGCTTTCTGTGCTCTGGTTCTAGAAGGAAGATATAAAGTTGGTATATTAGTTTTCTCAGGGCACTCTAAAATAAGGACAAAATCTTAATTATGAACAGTTTCTTTTTAAAAACAAAGCAAAACACTAGTAATTAAATCTTTCTTTTTGAGGGAAATATGCCCTATTTTTTAAAACAACAACAAACAAACAAACAAACAAACAAACAAACAATATTTTATATAGGTGATTGAAAAGCTCTGTGTTGCAGCTGTATAACAGAATATAGGGTCAGACTCCTGATGGAGCCTTTCAGAGTAATTGCCATTCTCCATCTTTTTTCTTTCTTTTTTTTAATTCTCCAGCTGTATTGGTTTCAGAGACAGCCTAGAAATCTGTGGAGTTCAGCTGCTGCCATCTCAAGATATGCTGAGTCTTCTTCAGCACCCCGTAAATAGCAACTTGCCTTGTTTCTGTGCCCTTGCCTCTGGTGTTCACATAGTCTCTCTCTCTCTTTACTCTATGCCACTGTTCTTCTTTTTGGCTTCATTTCGAACAGTTTTCTAAAAAAGTTAAAGGTGATGCTTAAAGCAAGAACACTGAAAAACAGAAAAGAATTACTAGGTCTATGGAATCTGTATTGTTGCTACAGTCCTGCATGCATTACAGATTTTCTGCACAGAATACGAAATAGCATTAAATTAGCATATAGATTGTTGCAACATTTTTTCCATTTCATAAACTGAGGCAAAATACCATGTTGGGAGCATGACAATCTATACTTGCATTGCCTACAATTACCTACGTGGATTTGATCCGCATGTAGGAAACCCATAATGTTTGGATATAAGTGGTCCTCTATTATTCATGCACAAGTCCCAGTTTAATCAACGGCACTGACCTGCAGATAACTTATGGCAGGATTGCACAAAGATTGTTATATAACTTTGTATTTATGGTCTTGGGTGATTGCCTGTTGTGTCTCGTGCAGTGGAACTGGTTCTCCCTAGAATAATTTGTAGCACCAGTTCTTGCCTTGACATAGCAGGTGGTGGTTTTAGAATAAGAAGAGAATCTGATGACAAAGAAGACGATGAAATCTTGAGGTTGGATGAAAACACACACCACCGAACACAAAAGAAGCATGTTAAGGACTGTTGTTCTGTTCAGCTGGGATAGGCCAGCACTTGCCCATGCCCAACCTAGCCCAGATCCAGCCTCACTGTACTCTGTGAAATTCCTTGTTGTTGATGAAACTAACAATTATTCTGTAAATATAAACTATGCATTTGAATCATTCTCAACTTGGTTTGAGTTTATTGAACCATACATTGCTTTAACATCTTTCTGAACCATGTGGAGAACTGCTTCCCACATGAAGTTCTACCCAGAGAGTTGCATTATAAGTGGTGTGTGGTGTGGGGAGGTGCTTTTCATATATGCTATGGAAAAAAATCCCACAGTTGAAGAATTGTCCTACATTGTGGGTCCAACAGTCAAGAAGCTGGTTACAGCATGTACTGTAGAAGGATGTGAGGGGCAGATGGGGCTCGTCAACCTGGAAAGGCAGCCCATCTAGGAGAAAAAACCACTGCTGCCTTGTGGGATATATTTGAGGGGAAAAAAAGTCTAAGGAGTAAACCCTACACAAATCCAGAGTGGAGTCCCTAAGACGGTTGGATGGCACCTTGTATACCTCCTTCCGTATAGTTAGAGCTATGGTTTTCCCAGTAGTGATGTATGGAAGTGAGAGCTGGACCATAAAGAAGGCTGATCGCCGAAGAATTGTGGTGCTGGAGGAGACTCTTGAGAGCCCCATGGACTGCAAGAAGATCAAACCTTTCCATTCTTAAGGAAATCAGCCCTGAGTGCTCACTGGAAGGAAAGATCCTGAAGCTGCGGCTCCAATACTTTGGCCACCTCATGAGAAGAGAAGACTCCCTGGAAAAGACCCTGATGTTGGGAAAGATGGAGGGCACAAGGAGAAGGGGACGACAGAGGACGAGATGGTTGGACAGTGTTCTCGAAGCTACCAACATGAGTTTGACAAAGCTGCAGGAGGCAGTGGAAGACAGGAGTGCCTGGCGTGCTCTGGTCCATGGGGTCACGAAGAGTCGGACACGACTAAACGACTAAACAACAACAACAACATACCTCCTTCTGGCAACTCCTATAGGCAAGCTGGTGCCAAATGTATTGCTCTGCTTTCCTTTGGACCACATCAGCAAGGCTGAGAGGGGAGTCTTGTCATTTAGGTAGCCCAGGACCTCCATGCACACTGCCAAGGCTTGCACCCTGGGAAGGTTACTTCAGTGCTGCTAACGCGGTGGTTTGACCTCAGCCCTGTAGGGGCATTAATTGTCTCTCGAGACAGACAGATGCCAACAAAAAAGAGTCAGGAGTACAGACTCTTAAAGCAAGCTCATTATTTAGTAAAATGGTAGGGAATTTTATATGAATAAACTTTAAGTCCACCCTTTCACATTTGATTATCCTTCTCTGACAGACTGGAACATAAATATTTAATTAATGCCATGTGACAGGTTGGCATCAAAATAATGAAAAATCAGCAGGTTGCTATGGATACATTATAGAAGTGATTAATTAACCATTTGCAACTTCAAGGGAGTTTTTCAGGAAATAATGAACACCCAAGTGAAGTTGTTGTATTCATCTGTTAATCCTACTGGGTTATTTACGTACCTCTCTTCAATACATATTTAATCGTAAAAATATATTTTGAAGAGGGTGATGGTTGAATATGTGTATTTATCAACTGAAAGCAACTCTGCTAAATTCAAGTTGTAACAAAAGATTGGAGAATGTTAAATGGAACAAAGCATGACAAGTACAATGCTGGATTTAATGCAGGGCAGAGCGGTGTGTGTTTGGAAGAGAATTATAGGCTTGCTATAGCCAAGCTATGATTCCTGGCTAAGGTCACCTGTGCTTCTTATTAATCCTATCCCATACTGAATATTACAATGGTGTCACCAGTAGTGGTACTGCTAGGGCAGAGGACAGGGAGGCAAACAGTAGGTGGAAGCAGAGTTTTGTCAGCATCTTCCTCCTTGCTAAGTTCTACAAAGGTAAACCTAGACCAATGAGGAATCTGACAGCCAGGTCCGCCCTTGGACTGGTTGTGCATAAGGAAGCAGGCTAGCTCAGACTGAGGTTGGTGGGGCAGTGTCCCATTTGCCCTCATGGAGAAGTTTCCATTGCCTGTCACATCCCACAGAGTAAAGTTGCCTTGGTTGTTCTTTTGTGTTATGGCCCTTTTAAAAAAACAAGCAAACCGAAGCTTTATTGGGTTTGCTTTAGAATACATGCAATGTGATGTTAACTGGAGATTATTCTACTCTTCTTAAAAGAGTGGCCAGTTTGAACTGACTCTGAGCTGTTTTGTAATGTCTAATATTAATCTGCACATGCCAAACCAATTTATACAGATATGTGGATTAGATGAGATCAAAGTCCTGCCCATCTGGAGGTTGCAATTTTGCTTATGGTTTTAGCTGTGTGTTACGTGCAATTTCTCTATCTGGTTTTCATATAAAAAGGTTTTTGCTCCCAGATTTCTCAAGGTATGAGCGATATAAGCTGCCAGCGAGTCTGCTTGAATTATCTGTTTGATATTAGGATGGTTTCAAAATGAGCAACTAATTTCCATATAAAAATGGAACACATGTATGGGCTCTCCTAGGCTGCTACCTTCACCCGAGTGTGAATACCTGGTACAATGTATGGAGAAGGCTGAAGAAGAGATGCTGATTCATGTACATTCATCTAGAACCTTAGAGCTGACTTAGAGCTCCTGGAACTAGAACTCATATTCTGTGCTTCAGTTTATGGGGCTTACCAGTGGCTTCTAGAATTTTCTATAGCATGATCCAGTGCAGTGTGCTAGTGCAGTGCACTACAGTGCACTTGTAGTATTTTAAGAGTGCTCCCAGCAAACCTTTAAGCTGTTTTTAGAATTCATGTACATTTAAAAGAGACAGCTTGGGGGATTGGCATGAAAGTTGCCTGTTGGGAAAGTTGCTGAAGAAATAGTCTGTCTTTATTGGCAGCTCATGTGAGAATATTAAAAGTGATATTGGAGTTCACTGCGGATAAGGGAATATTTAAAACAACCCATTTAATTTATGAATCACTCTTCACGAAACATCCCAGAGTGATGAATCATAAAAACATCATAAAGCATCAATAAAAAAAATGAAAACAATTTCAGATCCAGTACACATGCATATACATAATATCCATTGAAAGGCTTAGTTGTGCCTCAGAAACTGCAGTGAAGCATGTGCTATTTAATTTGGAATAGTACATTATCAAGGGGTTTCTAGTTATCTCATTTGCCTTCCTCATTGCCTATGTTTGTTGCTTTTCCCACAGGGAGAGAGGCACAGCGAAGCACACCCCGTTTTCTGGACTGGGCCTTATCCCTGTTTACTGGAGTGATGTACATTGCCATGGCGATGAAGAAAACATCTTACTTTGTGAAAAAAGTGTCTGGCAGGATGGAATGTGTCCTCAAAATATGGCAGCTGCTGTTGCATGTGGCTTTTCCCATGGTAAAATACAAGTACACATACATAATTTCATTTTGCGTTATGTAAACAGCATAGTTATCTTCAGAGACAATTTAGTTTAAAATAGCCTTGTTGAGAACAGTTGGTGGTAAAGTAGTTAAGGGTGTGCTAAATAATGGCGTCATTATTCTCCTCCAAGTCGTATTTAATTGAGGCCTAAATACCTTTTGAACTAGCTGGAATTATTCCACAATGGAGATTTTGAAGTCAGTATCACAGCATTAATGCAGAAGGTTTTGTATTCAGGGATTACGATGATAGTTTCAAGGACTCCTTTCTCTGTTCTTTGGTCCTTGATGGTTTTCACTAGCCTTTTAAGGGACTCTTCAGAGGAAGGATGGACATGTTGATAACAACATTTCCTTCTGGGGTTTTCTGGCAAGGCCAGTGATGGGCAGGGCCAGAGTGGGCAGGACTGGACTCTACAGTGACTAGGTCCAGAGGCTAATGTTGGTGGCCCACTGCCTTCTCTTTCTCTCTGTCTCCCTTTTGGTTGTACCTTCCACCACTTTTCCTCCTCCTTTTACCACCCACATGAAATTGGTCTGAGAACCACATAAGATTGGGCTGAGGACTGTCTGTGTCCCTATGGCTGCAGTTTGACCACCTGTGGCCTATGTAATGATTGCCCACTATCTTCTTGTCTGAGTCCTTCTACCTAAAGGTGTGTTGTGGTGTTTCAGGGCACTTGCCTGCACTCTAAACTGTGTAATAGAATGGGTAAATATTTGTGAGCTTCCTTAATACCTTTGAAGTTCTCTGAGCATCGCTAAAGCAAAGACAAAATTAAGCTGACCGGCACAATTCATTCTCTCTTGAGATCTAGACAAAAGCAGTTCAAAGCAGATCCCTTAAAGGTGCCCAAGAATCAAACCCCAAAGCCTGTAAAAAAAATAGGGGATTCCACATGGCACACAGCACTATTCATCAATGGAAGGTGGAACACTTATGAGGCTCACATTCCTGCTTGCAAGATGACATCATGTCTCCCTGAACAGCTGCCTGCACCTCCTTGGGAAGGCATGCCTCACCCTTTGAGAATGATGCCTCCAGAATACATTGTGTGCATATATGCGCTTGTCTAGGCCAAAAATACTTGCTGGTGTTGCAATTTGTCACCTTCTGAAAAAGTGCATTCTGTACTTTTTTCTCTTTCCAAATGAAACATCATGATTGATGATAGTCAAACCATTCTGTTCCTCAGCGAGTTTGTCCAGCTAGAGGAGTGTACAGTACTGACATCCTTAATTATGTTACTGTATAGGAACTGCACAGATATGCAGAATTTTTTTAGGGCTGCTTTATTCTTTATCAGACCATCGTACGAAGAGCCTCTGTGGCATCTTTTTCCAGCCTCCAGTATATTTATATATAGGAGCAAAAATGTAATGCAGAAAATGATTGTTTCCTAAGGTACTGTATAGGGAAAAGAGAGCTCGCTGAGTACAGTGAATTGAAAAAGTCATGTGAGCAGGGCTAGTCTGGGCTATGCTTAGAATTCTGCAGGTTAGTTCTTGCAACTACTTTACCTATGAGCAATCCTAACATTTCCTTAGCTACAAGCAGGCCTTGCAATCCCATGGAGAAACAAGTTACAAAATGGGCTGTATGCATATATAGCCAGCAACTATTTCCACAGGTCAGGAGCTCTTTTTCTAGTTACTGTCACCATGTGGATTGCTTCAGCTGTATAAATGCACCTTTTGGTGTACATGGACATTGCTCTGTGTGAGTGTGTGCCAAATCATAGATTGGGGCTGCCTGCATGGCTCTGAACACAGCAGTGTTGCAAACCGAAGTAACAACTCTCTCGAGTAAGACACAGTTGTATGCAATCTTGTCATTTGGCTTGTGCAATAGAACTTCCCCTTTCCTATAGCCCCCAATATACTCTCAGAATCTGCTCTAGAGGGCTGGAGGACTCTCCCATTAAGTTCTTGGGAATGCACAGACAGAAGAGAGGAAGGGGAAGGCCTGCTGTGCAACCAGAACCTGGCTTTTGCAGCACTGGATAAAACTATGTTTTTAAATGAAACCCCAAATTTTAATCATCAAATAATGCAGAAGACTGAGGATAATACACATGACCCAAAGTAACAGAATGTACATATGGAAGACCCTGGTTAATTTGTTGCAAACAGAGAAGGAAGCACAAGGGCTTCATGCTTTCAATACTTCCAAATTTCCATTTTGACCATCACAGAGAAGGTGTGATTCAGTGATAACCATTGTTGAGAATGCTTTGCAGAGGCAACTGGCTAGCCCCTGTTTGAAACTTAAGTTCCTTTATTGTTATTCAGTTATAAGAAAGGATCACTACTGATGGGGTTTCCTTCACATCTGTCAAGTTTAGGAGGTGTGGAATTCTTAGTTTCTGTTTCTGCAGTTGAAATTTCTGCTTTAGAGCTGCAGGAATTATTAACACTCCAGGCATGCTGTTGCATTACGCTGTTAGTGATCTGAAATGAGTCTGTTCAAATTACAAAGCCTTTGCTGTCCATTTGGTAGCAGCTGATCACTAATAACTGGGAAACGAAAACTTCATTTCCCTCCCTTCCTTATGTGTTTCATTTCAGACCCTGATTTTATCCCAGTCCGACTGGTGGATGGAAGCAGTGCTTATGAAGGAAGAGTAGAAGTGTATCATGCTGGCCACTGGGGAACCATCTGCGACGACCAGTGGGATGATGCGGACGCTGAGGTAGTCTGCAGGCAGCTTGGCCTTGGGTTAGTTTCCCCACCCCAGTATATTGTATTCAGTTCACTGCCAATGAATTGAGATGCAAAAGCAAAGTCAAATGCCTGCACCATGGTTTGAAATGGATCTGATACTTAGGACGGCTGAACAAGCAGCATCACTTGAGCCAAAATAGAGTCTCTTGACCACCTCAGTGTGTAACTAAACGTTGCTGATAATGTGTAGACTCTAAGCTATCTCATGTTTTGTTCTCCTTCTCTTCCATGCAACTTGTAGGGATAGTCCGTGTGTGGTGTGGTGCCACAGATGTCACTTGCAGGATCATCCTTGCCATCATTAAGTGCAGTAGCCCAGTGTGGCTTATTTGCATGACAATTCTCAGATTTGTTCCGCCATGAATTTCATGTTGACTGTAGGTTGTATATTGGAAGTAATCAGGGGAATTCACACATGAGGACAGATTTGAACTCATGCCTGAGAGCTGCACAGGGAGCAGCCCCCTTGTGCTCAATAGAGCTTCTGAGGCCATTTTCTAAACACTGCCCTCCACTTCTGATGTTCAGCATGTTGCTCCTGATATTGGGAATCTTTGGTTTCCAGTATGGAGTGAGGACTGCATCTGTGTTGACGAAAAGAGAGACAAAGGTTCATGCACTTGCAGCATCACTCTTTTGAGCCCAGCCCAAATATACAGTTAGTGTGCCACAGTTTGTTGGTAATTTGTAATTTCGAACACATGCCACATGCTAAAGTAGAATCACATTTACCTTACTTTGAGGTTGACTAGCTTGCCTCTGTCCCATGAGTTTAGTAAATTATAGTTGCCATTAAATATTCCCTATCCACATGCTTTTATGGGAGCCTAAGGACTAGGGAGCTCAAGAAGAAAAAGCAAGATGCCTTAGCAGGTAGGCTCATCATTCCTAGACTGAAATTTACCATGAGAGGAAATATATACTGGCTGGGGATGGATGGGCTAGGAAGAGACGCCAAGCTGTGTATATATGTATATCGTCTCAGTTAATCCAGCTGGAAATGTTCTGCAAATTATAAAATAAAGCCTCTTGGCAATGACCTTCCTATCCTCTCACAGCTTTCACTTGGCATTACTGTGCAATAAAACCCACCAGGATTAGTTTGCCAGTGACAAGAAGAGAATACTGCTCATCTAATTAAATACTTTCTGTATGCTAACCCCTCCCCATTATAGCATATGGATTTCCAGCCTGTGAGGCACTGCATAAGTATATTTTCAGCAGAGCATGTAGAATATCCAGAGTTAGTCATACTCAGAATGCACCTATTGTAACGAGTGGAGATTAAGTCCTTTTTGTATCATTGGGTCTCCTCCGACTTAGTTGGACATCATCACACATCTTTGATATATTTTTTCTTCATTCCACTGATATAATGATTATTTAAATGAAATGTTTTTGAAATGTTGGTGTTACAGTGTGGTTTTGATCTGCATTGTTTTACTGTTTTGATTCTTTTTAACAAATGTAAGCTGCTTTGGGCACACATTTTAATGTGCATGGAAAAGTGAGATATAAATTAGAAATGAAAAGGGATGCAGTGCAATGTAAGTCCCCAGGACACGACTAAACAACAACAACAACAACAACAACAACAACAACAACAACAACAACAACAACAAACCACTGGCATTAGTGGTGGCTTTCTTCCTACTGCAAATAGGAGTTTTGGGGGAGCAATTTTCAGCAAGACCACAGCAGGGGAGGAAACGCCTAAAGTTCCCCTTTCTGTTTGCTGCAGTATCACCCCCGGTAGCTGCCAGCTGCATTTTTTAAAATAAAAAAATGCATATTTAGTATGTCTTAATGTCTAGTTTGGCCTTTTGTTTCATATTTTCTGGCAGGTGGCAAAAGGATGATATGTTTTACTCAGTGATTCATAAACTCTGCAGGTGTGACATTGAGGGTTGTTTCCTTGATGACCAAAAGAGGCAACCCCCAAAAAAACCCCTCTTGAGGAAACAGTCTGATGTATTTGCTTTAAATTGTAAGAAACAAGAGCCTTTCTTCCAAAACCAGAATCTATTGTCCTTATATTAAATTCTCTTTGTAAATCACTGTGAGACATTTTAAGTTTTTATTATTGATGTGTTGTTACAACAGGAAGCACATTCTTTCTTGCTGAATTATCTAATTTATCTCTGTTTTGCTGATCCTGTTCCCTTAATCTAGCACCAGCCCTTGTGTCTGCCAGGTCCTCTGAGTTTACGATACTCACTTTTGATAATCTCAACCTGCTTTAGGCTGTGGGCGAAGGAGATGGCCAGATGTCTTATAAACAGATTGAAAAACCGCAGCATATTTTTATGAGTCATGAAGGACATTAAGATAGAAGTTTTTGGGAAAGTAATCTAAAAAGAAACCATGGTGTGCAAAGCACTGTTATGTTAAAGGCTGGATTTTTCAACTATAGATGTCGTAAATGAGTGTCTGGTGTTTTATATACAGAATGAACTTTGCTTTGTACTCTCCCTGTTTTCTTTACACATGACCATGTTCTTCCTGCTTTTTTAGGGTATATCTCCTTTATTGTCTATTAGCTGTTTGTTTCATTTTGGAAAAAAATATGCAGAAATAGTCTTATTTTTGTCTTCTCCATACAATTGACTAAATTAAAGAAGAACATGGGGTGGAATATTTATTTTGGTTCTGTTATGACAGAACTGCTCTAATTTCCTGATAAAAATGTACACATTTAATTGGCAATGCAAAATCTATCAAAGGGTTCTTTAGGAAATAAGCATCTTAAGTAGCCACTCTGTTCACCTACTTGGATCAATATTGCTTTGGATTGTAGTATGTGTACCAAAGCAATACAAACCATTTCAGTAGCTAATTTAGAGGCACTTTCTGACCATTTGCCATCATTGATTCTCTGTTTGTTCATGTTTGTGCAGGGGGGTTGCCAAGGCATGGAGCCAGGCTTATTTTGGAGAAGGCTCAGGTCCTGTGCTGTTGGATGAAGTGCGTTGTACAGGAAATGAGCTGTCTATAGAACAGTGTCTAAAGAGTTCCTGGCAAGAACACAACTGTGGCCACAAAGAAGATGCAGGAGTTTCCTGCACACCTCTAGCAGGTAGGCAGCAAAGGTTGCTGAAGTCTTAGAAGTCTATAGATTTTGAATCAAGATGGAATGAAGCCATGGGATGTGGGGCCAAGTCAGAGTGACATTTCAATGTATATAGTAAAGTCATTTTGGGATTAAATTATGAAGTTGGATAAAAGCAACAATGGGAAATGTGCCAGTATTAGGGCTCTCTCCCCTTTTACTTTTTCATAAAACCTTGCAAATTACTAGTGTCTAGCTGTTTAATGAATCTGTTCCAGCACATTTTATAGCACAGATTCTTTCCCCCGAAGTTGCCTCTTAAACACTACTGGCTCTTATTTTTAATGCTACAGATGGTGCCATCAGACTGGCAGGTGGGAAAGTCAGTCATGAGGGACGACTGGAGGTGCTTTACAACGGACAGTGGGGCACCATCTGCGATGATGGGTGGACTGAACTGAACACACATGTGGTTTGCCGCCAGCTGGGCTTTAAGTAAGGTCCATTTATGTGAGGAGGTTAATTACTTTGCAGATCACTGCTGATAATTTTCTGCAAAATGCTATTGTCCAGAATTTCACAGGTGCCCAGTTAACTTCACTGTTATGTCCTAATCAGGAGTACATTTATCAGCAGTAAAACATTATTGAAAAAATTCAACTAGGATTTAAAGAAAAATGGTTAGATTAAGAATCTTAATTATCTTATTTTTGTCAAAAAAAAATAAACCCATTTCTTAGTTGTCTTTGGTTTGGGAAGGGGGTGCACTTTATCAATTGAATCAGTTTGCTACCAGTCTCTAGTTCAGCAATCCATGTCTGAAAACAGTCCTACTAGAACAAATGTTTAAATTGCCAGCAGAGCAGGCAGGTGCCAATTTTTAAAATGGGAATTGAGATAATCTGGGCTGGTGCAGACATAGCACTGAGCAGTGCTGTGGTATTGTTCACTCCTTCCAACAAATCTAACTTTTGTAGTGTGTGTATTTCAAAGTTTTATTTGCTGTATTAAGAAGGAACTCAGGAACGTTGTTGTTGACTTAAATCTGATTAGTCCTGGGAGGGAGGAAGAATTCACACCCCAGAAGGAAAGAACATGGAAAGTGTATGTACAAGGCAAAGTGGTCAGCAGGATTATATCTATAGCAGCCTTTAGTGTCAGAGGATGAAATAGAATTCTGCATATTGTGTCAAATGAGTGGTTAAATGCTCTGCTGAATCAGGGCCTTTAAAAAGTAAAACATCCATGGATTTCTAGCAACAAGATTTATTTAAAGGTGGTGGACACTGGACAATGTTACTCAAAATAAAATGGATGCTAATTGAAGTTGAACTTAATTGTGCTGTGTGCACTGGAACTGTTATTACATGAAATATTATTGTTTGTTTTTTATGTTGTTCATATGTTCAATACCTCACTCACATTACAAGTGCCAATCTATCTATGTGCAAACAGGAATGGGAAAAGTGTCTCAGAACACTACCCAGAAGAGAACATTGGACCCATCTGGCTGGATGATGTCAGCTGCTCAGGAAAGGAGTCTGCAATCCTCCAGTGTTCAAAGAGGGAATGGGGAAAGCATGATTGCAGCCACAAAGAGGATGTTGGGATAAGTTGCTATAGAGATAACGACAGCCACAGAGCCTCACTGGGTAAGCTCCTCTCTGTAGATGCAAGCTTGGATACAGAGAACCAAGGGACCCCAAAGGTGCTTTAGTTTTGTGGTTCTTGAGCACCAGTCCATCATGCCACATAGCAAATCTTTTTGGGAAACTGAGGCTGCTTCTGATATGGCACAGGGATGTGCTGTTTACAGGCAAAAAGTCTGAACTTTTGCTGGGCCTATGGAAGCCAGTGAGTAGCCCTTTGAATCTTGGCCACATTCTAGCTAGAAGAAGATACAAAGCAGCTTTCAAGATTGGAAACAGAGAATAGTTATACTGAGTATCCATTTAAAAAAGTTAAATCTGTTAAATTTAGAAAGGCAAGGAAGGAGAGAGCTGCAAGAGCAATACAGAGCAATGTCTACCTAGTACAGGACCAGGCTATTTGTCATGTAAATAGAGGACATTTTTAATCTGGTTACCATAGGCTTGTTCTGAAGCAGCTGAGTACTGGAGTAGCTGAGTTTTTAATTTCACAGAGAACTAGAGTATTTTTCTAGTGAAGCACATGCACAGCCCTTGGTATGGTTGTAATGGTGAACTCCACATACTCAAGTGTGACATATAAATAGGCATGTGAATAAATCCTCCCCATAGATATGAGTTTTCGGACAACTTGCAGATTGAAAAATTGTAACGTGAGAAGTGTCTGGGAAGGAACTATAGTTAGTCCAAAGAACAAGGGGCTGAGATCTTTTTTCTGCCAAGGGTCAGTCTTCTACGCAATGCATGCTATTGATGGACAGGGCCAGATCCATGGAGTTTGCAGAATTGCATAGCTCTTGTGCACTCTCTCTGCCAGCCCATTCACCACTCTCTTTGCCACCCCTGCAATAGAGAGCAGAGCAAATGATTGGCAAGCAGAAGGTCCTAGGTTGAAACCTTGGCATTTCCAGTTAAAGCATTATGGATAGCCTGACTAGGAAAGACCCCATACCTGAGGCCTTGGATGCTGTCTATCACAAGAGACAGTGCTGGGCAAATATGGACCAATGAAGAGAACTTCATATGTATAATATAGCTCAACAGCCAGCTACAGGTGTTTAAAGAACCTTGACTACCCAACCCGCAAGAATGGAAATGATTGATCTCATTTATCACCCCAGTTTATGAGGAGGGAAAATATAGGTTTCACCCTATGTTGGGAAATGGTAAACAGAGTCAAAGAACAGCATTTCAATGAGAAGTAAACATAGTGATGAAGATTAGACAGCTTATAAGGAATTTATTTAAGAATTGCATCATGTCTTTCAACTTAACAAAGAGCTCTATTAAGTATATCTTGGTACCATACCAACTTTATAACTTGAGGCATACTGTTAAACAAATTATAGTGTTTACAGCATTATTGAACTAGAGTTTCTTTCCATCTTGCATGCTTTGCTAAATGAATTTCCAGTCATATTATTTTTGCTAAATGAATTTCCAGTCATATTATTACTCTTTCCCTCATCTCTTTTCATTGCTGTTCTTTTACACTTCTTAATATTCCAGAGCTTTTATTACACCAGCAGTATAATGTAAATAGTATTTCTGCGTGGGTGAGACAATGAGAATGGGAACACTTAAACCCCGAATAGCTGGGGTTCATATCATAGTGGCCATTCACGTAGACACTAAGGGAACATCTGTGCTGCTCTGTTCATGAAACTATGGAACTTAACCTGAGCTGGAAAGGGCCCAATATGGTTAAATACTGCCAGATGGTAAAATTCCCTTTGGGTACCTGAAAATTGTATTAATTTAACAGTTGTGAATGAAACTTCCAAGTAGTAACAAGCTGGTTGAGAATAAAATCTGCTCCATTTTACAGCTAATATCCTGTGTTGCTGCCCAGGTAATATGAGTAAAGTCTGAACTGAAATTATATTCTTGTAGAGTAAGCATTTCTGGATGATGACAAAAATGAGGTGAAAACTTTGACATTTTGGATGTAGTCACTGATGTTGCATAGTAAATTTGAAAGAGGTTAGGCGAGGGTCCTACAGAAGAACCACTGATATAAACAAATGTTACAGTAATTAGATTATTAACTATTTTCATATCTATTGTAATATATTTGGAGGGAATGAATCTCATAAACAGTTTCTGAAGTTTAAGAAAGACTTAAAAACTTGTAGAGTTGGAAAAATCTGACAATGCAGCTAGATAAAAATAAGCATCAAGACTTGATTTTTGCAAATATTCTTAAGAACCTAAGAATTGCTTTTCTGGATCAGACAGAGGGCAAAACATAAATGCCTGGCATGCAAGCTGCATCTGGATCCCCCCCCCCCCGTAATTAGTTATGGCACAGGAACACAATTGCCAGCAGGAGGTTTCCCTTCCTTCTCAGCAACATTGGAATGAAAATCTGCCCCCACACCCCAGTGCAGCTTTGATGCTTGAAAAGCCTTCCATTGACATCAACAGCCGCATAGGAGGATGGCTGTTTTCTTCCTGATTTCAGCCAGGGAGGGAAGGAATAAACCTTCTGCCTCCACATGCTGGTCACAATTGGGCCTCCCCCAGGGTTGGCCCTCCAATGAGGCCTGGTGAGGCTGCTGCCTCAGATGGCAGGATCCCATGGACATTAGATCTTGATGTAGAGTTTTGTTCACGGCTAGCCTACCCATGAGGCCAGGTGATGCAGCTGCCTCAGGTGGCAGGGTCCACTGGGGCAGCTGATCCCAAGGTCAATATTTCTTCCCCTTTTGTTCCTCATGTAGATCTTCCCTTGCCCCTTCATCATGGGTGTGGGAAATGACATTTTTGGGTCTGCCACAGGTGCCCAAATGTCTTGGACCAGCCCTGGCTACTTGTAATTGGTTAAACCAGAAAACCCAGATAGGTAGCTTGCAAGCTATACTTTTAGCATAATGTGCATTTTGGCCCTAGGAGAGGACCCATCTAGTTCAACAATCCATTTCCAAACAAAGTGCCAGCAAGCCCAGCCTTTCATCCGTGGGATTTAGCACGTGTAGACGACGTGCAGGGTTGCTTCCAAATGAGTCATTTTAATGTGCCAAGGAACTGCTATGAATGGATCCTTTCTTGTGTTGAAGCTGTTGTGTGACTTTTTCACCCTGTAGTCACTTTAGAACTTCAACCACGATCACTGCACTGTGGCCAAGTGTAGTTAGAGCTGTGAGCTGGGTGTGCAATGATGCAGAATGAGTTCCAGTCAGTCTGGATATACTCAGCCTGCATATGTTAAAATGTATTTAATAAATTCAAAGGCAAGGATAATGTGACATTTGCTATGTTTGATTTCAATATGCGAGCAATTGTTAGTTTCATCTGTTCTTTCATCTGTTAATGCTCTGTTGTGCATTAGGAAAATGTAATTTGAGCTGTTGTGCAACAATAATACATTATTAATAGCAGAAGACCTTTCTATGACACTGGCTGCTAAACTCTTGAGGAAACGTAAGGTTAGAAGAAAATGTATTGATTGCATTTATGAGTTCATCGAGTAATGATGATCAGCCTTTGGCTGTAAAGGCCTTTGGGAATTGGCAGTCTGCCATACCGTTCTTCAGAGAAGATTAAAGTGTAACTGAGCCAGTCAAGGTTTTCAATTCCCTCTCACCCAAGAAATGTTTGGTAGTGCTACAGAAAAGCTTCAAACAGGGGAGTGTCTTAGATATGTGCCAGGAAACAAACTACAAAACAAAGCAACTATACCCGATCACAGAACTGAAAGGGGTTTGATTAGAGCAATTATAATGTGCATCTTCAACTAGGCTCTGCCATATACACCAGCCTTCCCCAACCAGATGACCAGCCAATATTTTGGACTACAACTCCCATCCCATATGCTGGCACTGGGTTGGGGGAGGGTGATTTAGACTGTGCATAGCTGACTGTATGTTTGAGTAGCCACCCCCATTAAAAACAGCAGCTCATATAGCATGTTAAAAAGCCCTAGAATTCCAAGCAGGAGGTTGTAGCATAAACTTCTGGCTGACATTCTCTCTTTGTCCATGAAAGAGAGGAATCAAGCTGTGATCCACACCTGCCACCTGAAAGGTACAGTCTAGCAACATATTATTATGAATTTGGGGGTGCAAGACAGCATAAAGTCTAGTATCAGGATTTAATTACATTCTCCACTGATACAGGATTCTTTAAACTGGACACCTGTAATCACTGTACTTTTGCTTGCATCCGTGTCAAAATATGGTGCAGGAATATTTTTGCAAGAAAGTTAGCTTCCTGTGTTACATTCCTAAATCCTTCACAGACTCTTTAGTAACATTTTCTCCCATTCAGCCTGGGACCTCTAAATTTGGAAAAGTGGAATAGATTTGGGAATCAGCAGACTGTTCTTGTGGATACCAGAGAGGAAATTCATTTCACATTAGATTTGCTGAACAAGTTGGCATTGATGTCATACAAGTTACAAGACTAAAATGCTTTCATCACTGGTGTACAAACTTGGAATGCTTGAACTTGAGCCCCAGTTGACAACTTTCCTTCAATGTGATGAAAATTAGCTAGGGTAATGGTTCTTGCTACTATTGCTGTGTGTTAACAGCTGCAACTTATTCCCAGGGCCTCCTATCAGATTGATGGATGGTGAAAATAAGAAAGAGGGCCGCGTGGAGATCTTTATCCACGGCCAGTGGGGGACAATTTGTGATGATGGATGGTCCGATAAGGATGCAGCTGTGGTATGTCGACAACTTGGCTTCAAGTAAGAGAAATTATTTAATAGTCCTTAAATACTTTATCTGGTTTCCATACATTATTGTCTATAGATTGTGCAAGTTCATAGAATTAAATGTTGGGCCCCTCCAGACTGGCGTTTATTGTGGTGTGGGTGTATTTGGCAACATGTTACTGACACAATGATAGTACATTGGTAGTAGATTTGTTCTGCTTTATTAGTTATTTTGTGATGCTTCCCCAGTTCTAACACATTCTTGCTGTTTGGAGGGGCTGAAGCACAACAAAATTGGATTAAAACAACAACTAAGAACACTCGTGGCATGAAAATTTGTGGGATTTCAGCAGCAAGCTGCAGGATTTGCACTGATTAGAAATGGAACTAGATTCAAGTAGTATTGAAAGCAGGGTCACATATGGTCACCCCAATTGCAACATGAGCACAAATCATTATGCAATGAAAAGTATATCTGGAGGAGACCATTGACCATTTAATGTGCAATTATTAATCTTATTTTTTTATTTATTTAATATGACACCCTTCATCACAGTTAGTTGGATCACAATTAAATCTCATTGAAATCAAATGCTAATATCACCCCCATTTATTTTAGTGGGCATAAAGCATGACTAATTTAGTATTGCTGCAATCCATGGTTTTTATTTAATTCTATAACACCATTATTAGTAAGCTGCACTCAGCTCTGGTGAGTTATCTGGGGTGGGGCTGTTTCTTTGAGCAACAGACCTCACTTGAAATATGACATATTTCAACTTGCCTTTAAAACTCCATTCAGTTTCAAGACAGGACTTTACATTGTGTTATAAAATAAAGCAACCTTCCTGAAGAGGTTAAAATACTTTTCATGCTGGAGCTGCCAAGTTGCTTGTCTCCAGCACGATATAAACAGATTTTTGAAACTTGCCAAGAGTATCAGTGTAACAGGCTTCATATGAAAGAAGCATAATGTAGTTTATATGTTGCTCATGTGCCGCCCATTAGATTGATTCAATGCCTTCTGGTGCTTGATCACAAACTGTAGCAACATTTATGGGGCATTTCCAAACAACAAAAGATGACAAGTTTAGTAGCATGCATGACAACACCAGAAGGCATTGCTAGTAATTTTGCCTGAAACCACAGGAAAAATGACCAGCAGATGTAGTACAATTTGCATTGTTATTTTCATCATGGCGAGCAGACCAAGTTGCCCCCATGTATCACTCAGAGAAGGAGCTGCAAGGAATATGCTTCCCTTTCCCTGCAAGGAAGTATACTGTGTTCCAACTGGTAGTTGTCCAGGGACTTCAAAGATTAAGGGAAGCATGTTTCTATGTCTGTCACCAGCCAAGGCACTCTGGACTACTGAGATGCTGCCTCCCCTGCTTTCCTGCCCCATCCATTAGCTACTTCAGTGCCTGCTTTCCTTTCACCTCCTAATTCCCTTTCCCTTTCCATTAAAAATCTTTTTGTATCATGGCAATAAATTGTGAGCCTGCAGGCAAGGATTGCCTTGTCTTTTAACATATATATACTGAACTTCTAAAATCCTAAAAAGCATAACAACACAGTTGTCTCTACCTTGTTTTCTGATTTGGACATAGCTATAATGCAAGAGTATGGTCACAGGATGCATGACAGAAACTTTGAACAAGCTTGAAGTGTGATTTAGCAGGAAAATTACATTTTGCTGTTCAAGGTACAGCACTCCCCTAAGTCCTGTGTGTCAGTCAAACTGCACATTATGTTGGACATGTAGCCTGCAGCTGCATATGCGATTTTTCTTAGTCAAAAGTAAGTGTGGAGGCCCAGGTCTAGATCAGAAGCAAGGTGCATGTGGAGGGGAGGTTTAATCCTCCCTTTCACCCGCTGAAACTTCTACCTGCACCTGGCCCCAGCCCAGCCCAGCAGTTACTGATAGTAAAACACCTCCCATTCATGCCCATGGGGACTTCTTTACTATCAGTAACAGTTGTGTGCAGAGGAAGGAGGATTAAACCTCCCCTCCCCATGGTAACTTTTGAGTAAGAAAAAAGTTGCATAAATAACTGCAGGCTACATACCGTGGGTGGCGCTGTGGGTTAAACCACAGAGCCTAGGACTTGCCGATCAGAAGGTCGGCGGTTCGAATCCCTGTGACGGGGTGAGCTCCCGTTGCTCGGTCCCTCCTGCCAACCTAGACGTTCGAAAGCACCTCAAAAGTGCAAGCAGATAAATAGGTACTGCTCCGGAGGGAAGGTAAACGGCATTTCCGTGCACTGCTCTGGTTCGCCAGAAGCGGCTTCGTCATGCTGGTCACATGACCCAGAAGCTGTACGCTGGCTCTCTCGGCCAATAAAATGAGATGAGCACCACAACCCCAGAGTCGGCCACGACTGGACCTAATGGTCAGGGGTCCCTTTACCTTTACCTTTACCTTACATACTAGACAGCAGCGTGCAGACTACATACTAAACCTCTGGTAGCGGCAATGGGAGGATAATCACATAGCGGTTCTAATAAAAGAAAAAAAGTTGCATTAAAACAAATGCCTTTCAAAATACCCTAAAAACATAATTTCAACCTGAAATAGTGAATATATTTATATCATTGCTTACATAATTTTCTGGTTTGTTTTCTTGGCACAATCTGCTGGTTGGAGTCTTATCAGCTATTCAGCAATTTCATGTCATTTGCCATGTATGCAGCTCATTTGCCCTCATTTTTATCTCATACTAGAGTCCATAATGAACACCCTGAATTTCTCTTACATCATCCTAATGCTTAGTAAAGTTCAGTGAGTTTGTGTTGCAGGATATCCCTATTAGGTTTTGTGCCATTTTGATTTACATTGCTCAGGAAAGGAATTTGCCTTGTGTTATCTTGTCTTTCCCATAGGACCATATTTAATACATGGTGAAGACTTTTCCTCCCTTTGTTTACACATGCTAATTTATGCTGTGGGAAGTAATATTTCTTGCAAGGGAAAAGAGAGGAGTTTCCTTCTATTTCCACACATTTTTCTTGAATGTCCAGCTTAGCAAATATATTCCTTACTTTCACAGCTAGTGTTCAGTGTGATCACCCCCAATTTCCAGCTGTTTCTAGTTCAGAAGAACTGGGCCAGATGCCTCCAGTCATCATCAACATATGATAAACAAAACAGGCAGGGTTTAAGTTTGATGCAATCAGTTGCTGTTAGCTGAATTTCTTAAGTGTGGTAGAAAGCTTGAGTAACTGAGTGCTTAAATACTCAGGAAAATTGTATTAGATTTTAATACAAAGAGCCAGAGAATTGCAGAAGAAGCAAAAGACTGGATAGAAATTCTTGTGCCTCAATACAAGCTGATATAGTTTCCCCCAGGAATGCTGTGCATGGGATTGTACATGGCTTATATCTCATGGGTGGGATTCAGGGTTTTTATTCTGCTCACTTTTTATTCAGGGTGCCTGAGGAGAGTGCCATTTGTTCTATTCTACAAATCTCTCTGGTGGTCAGCATTCAGTACCACCAGAGAATCAGTTGAGAAGCATGACTGGTTTATATGGAGGTTATAGGACAGGTTATATGACTTCCTAGTTAACCCCACACTTTCTAGTGCATTTCCCCATTGGTTTCCTTAACACAAAGTGTGGGCTTGTTGCACCAATGTGTGCCAGAGTCCTTTAAGCCACTTTAATTGAGCAAACTTAAATGTTGCAGTATGCAATGGAATCCCTCCCACAAAAGAGTGCAAGTCTGGCGGGGACCTAAGCTAAGCATCTGATGACAATCTTGTTTTCATGTGAACACTGAAACATAGGACTGGTGTAGCTTCAAAACTGGCTTTCTTAAATTCAGTTGAGAGACAGATTGTGTATTGCCATGAAATGCTGAAAAGTCCAAAATGCTACTGTTCATGCCACATTTTATTAAATACAATAATGGAAAAAAGCTTGCCCAGCTTTGAGGAAATGTGTATATAATAAATCCATTCTCTTTTTAAATTCCACTATATATCACTTATGTGGTCTAGGAGCTTCAACATTTCCCAAGAAAAACAATCTAAAGCAAACAAATTCCTCACCTTACTTATGGTGGCTCAGATATAAATCACAGCTATGTATGGAAAACCTAGAGGGTCTTGAGGTTTCTTTAAATACTCCTGATTTACACTTGTGCCACTTAAACTGAAGAAATTAACTTATTTGGTAAAAATCCAGAGAACATGTCAGCATGTATAAATACTTACAGTACATTTAATGAATGAACCACACAATCCTACTTGCAGAAGCCAGAAATGGAACCTGGGACCTTTCACATGCAAAATATGCACTACAGCTAAGCTACAGCCCTTCTCAAAAGCATGGCTGCCATGAAAATTAGCAGCTCTGTGTCTCCTGACCCCCTTCCCCTCCATGGCTATTGCATCTAATCCATGCCTCCGTAAGTTAGACAGATGACTACTGTGGACAGAATCTCTTCTGCACTGGCACCAAGACTGTGTACCTTCCTTTTTAGGCATATTTGCCTGCTGCCATTATTGTCAGAAGGCTAAACCTGTTCTATTCATCTGACTCACTGATACACTTAATATTGATTTTCTTATCGTTGCTGTGAGTCTTTTACATTTTATGTTTTTCTGATGTTTTGTTTTTCTTTCCCTGCTGTTTGGTTTTTCTGTTTCATATGTTCTCAAGTTGTTAGATTTGTTTTATAGTTGGTATTTATATTGTTGTATCTTTTGTTCATAAGTTGGCTTGAGAATCAAAATGGTGGAAAGCTGAGGTATAAATATTTTAGTCAAATAGAATTTACTTGTGTTCAGATGTCATGACACTTGGTGTCCCCACCAACCTCTGCTGTTGGCAGCCAATGACATGCTGCATGCATGAGCAATTGCTGAATGCCAAGACATGCATAAGTTCTACTAGACAATGCAAAGGTTGAGAGTGGTGATTAGACCATGTGGAGGAGCTTGACGCATGGCCACCATGCATTCACATGAATCATTTGTCTTTGCTATTCAAGCCCAAAACCCTCTTGATCACGTAGAACTAACTGTATGGCTCTGTATTGTGTTCTTTGGCATTAGATTGTTTTTCTGGAAGAATACTGAAATTTGTAGATTGAATCAGTGGAATGGAAAAGAAACATTGGTTGCATGCATGATTGCCAAAGTTTGGTAGACTTTCTAAATATTAAGATGATGATGTTCCATAAAAAATAAATCCAAGTAACTGGACTGAAAAAGCTTATAGATTTGGCTATCTTCCTAAACCTCAGTTAATATTTTACACCTGTACATTAGTGAGCTTGCTGTAGTCGCAGATTAATATTTATAGTGGGAAAATGTAACATAAAATGTAGTAAGTACTTTTGAAATCATAAAAATGTCAGCCAATGAAAACATGACCAAGACATAGCAGCAATGGAAAGAACATGCATGTGTTAAATAAACAAGGTTATAAAGTAAACATTATAGCACGAAAAGCACTCCTTTGGTGCTTTAAATTACATCGCCCTCTTATATGTGATGGGGGAATACCTGTGTATAATTTGGGCATGTAGTGGAAATTTATTCTAATACCAAATGTTCTTTATATGTCCATTGAGAACTCTTTATTTTGAATGTAGTGTTGCTCTCTAAAACTATTGCAATCTGCATCATGTTATACTTTAGCCACCAAACAGTATCTAACAGAGAGGAGCCTCTATCTAGATTAAAATCAGAGTGAAGCCTGCAATCCTGTATATATTTACTTGGTACTATGTCTCACTGAAGTCATAAAAGCATGAATAGGAGTTGTTCAGCTCAAACATGTCTGTCCATGGTTTGCTTTGAGATGCCTTATATGGTAGCCCAGCAAATACAGCTGGGGCTTATGAAGAAATCCATGTTACGTAGGAGTCTATCTTGAGATAACATTGCACAGGAAACTCTAATAACAAGGCCTCTTGTTCTAGCATGAAATGCCCCCAGGTTTTCAGAGTAAAAGAAATCACTTTTCTTTATTAAGCAAGAGCCAATGTTGTTGAACATTGCTGTGTTTCTGGAGATGCTCCACAGGATGCCGTATTAAGCAATTTGTAGTTATCTGGATTTACTCAACGGCCATATATGATGGTCATTAGCATGAAAAATAAATATGGAAGGGCTCTGAGTCGCTTTGGTTTATGATATATATGCAATAATAAGTTGTATTTAAGGATAGATTAAGCAATGGCTGTTCAATATGAACTAATTTCCTTATGGTACCCAAGGAAATTGAGTTGTTAAATATCCTTGGATGGATCTTGAAAAGAAGTGCTTAACTTTGGATCCCAGCAGTAGATGTAACTTTAAAAAGGTCTCCTGCACTTTGTCACTGTCTGGCAGACTTAGCTCATATATGGGGAAAAACAGCTGTCAGGGAGTTGAACATTCCTTGCAATATCTGCAATCTATATAATTGTTCATGTGTGAAGGGGGGTGAGAGAGAACTTGGAACAAGAAGAGGCATGTAGTTTGTGGCTAACGAGTTAAACAAATAATCTTAGGTCCATTTTGTGAAGATGAACGGATAGCGCTGCTTAAGGTCATTGTTCTTTGGGTTTCCTTGCTATACACATGCAACTCATTCAAATTCAAATTTCTAGGCTCTTTCATTCTTTGTTATGGACCATTGGGGTTTTGCATTTGTTTTATTGGACTTTTGGTTATCTATTTGTCCCTTTTCACAAATAAGTTTTAAAGTGACTTGCAACAAAAGTAACATTCAGAAATGTAATACATAGCAAACTTATCAATTAATACAGTACATCTAACTAAAAGGGTTCATCCACAATAGTCAATTGTATATCTTGCCCCATCCCAAAAAAGGAGGGACTGCTAAACTAGCCCCCGAAATTGCAACAGTATTGTTGGCCAAATGCCTGGGAGAATAAAAATGTTTTCCCCTGGAGCCAAAAAGACAACAATGTTGATGCTAGGTGAGCGTCTTTGGGGAAAGTGTCCTACGAGCAGGGACTACTGAAAAAACACCATTCTCCTTTGTTACCCAAGCCTCTCCAAAGGCCTCAGCTTAGTAGTATTTTTATCTGTATTGTTGTTTTTAGTGTTGAACTGATCCAATTGACCAGGTGTGCTAACTCTAGGGGGATGAGGTATCTTCGCCCCCCTCAATATTTGTTGGAAGGGGGCTGGTCCCCTCAATGTTGAGGGGGCAGACGAGGTTGAGCATGGAGCCAAGTGCAGCACACCTTCAGTGACTGGCTCCCCCTTAGTGCTCGGTCTCCTCCAGACATTGCGATGACATGACATGACCTCACACATTCGCAATGCACGTTCGGGCCCTGTCAATATTGGGGACATCTTGGTGTCTCTGCAGCTGATTAAACTGTACAAAATAGTTGCCTCTAATGTTAGTTGTACTAGAATATACCCATTTAAATTTTTGCAGAACACGACTAGCTTAGGTCTATTAATTTCATTGGGCCTACTCTTAGCAAAACTTAGTTGGATACAACCAATATCTTCATGTCCCAGGAACTGGTGAAAATTTCATCTTATAAAACTTTTTAATGGAGTGCACTGGATTTTTGTTTTTATCGAGGGTATTTTAAGCATGCTTCAAACCATCAAGGCATATACTGTGGCACAATCCTATTTAACCTTTATACGAAACTGCCAGAAGCTGTCATCCAGAGTTTTGGGGATAAAGTATGTTGACCAACCCAGCTCCCTCTTGCCATTCCAGCAGAATCAGGAGAGGCTGTTTGTTTAAGGTGTTGGACTGATACGTGGAATCAGTAATAGGCTGGATGAAGGTCAGTAAACTTAATATGAATCCTGACAAGGAGACACTGCAGATTGGTGGCTCTGGGCAGCAGGCAAGCTACTTGCTCTGGAGGGGGTAGCACTCCCTCCCCCCCAAAAAAGAGCAGGTGTGTAATTGATTCCAACTTATGCAGGTGCAGAGGGAATGATTTTTACTCTGTAGGTCATACAGTTCATAATTTTAAGAGTTGATATAAGCCAATGTATTAATTATGACTAAAGTAATACTTTGGCTTATATTAACTTCATAAGGACTAAGCAAAATGGCATCTGCCCTTGAAAGGAACTTTTTTTTTATAAGCAGTGCTGTCTGCGATTGTATATTTTTTGGGGATGGGAGGTAGCTTTCACCCATAAAAACTGCTTGCATGATTTGCCTAATAATTTGCAAAAGTCAGCAAGTCAGAACGGACGTCTCCCTTACCTACAGTAGGGTTGAATTTATCAGCCTCTTGAACACTAAAAAAGGACATCTGCAATGCACATTTAGATGCTGAGATTGAGAACTCTCCATAGAACTGTGTGTTTTATTCACTTAGATAATGTGGACATCCTAAGAGAACACTATGATTGCAGCCTGGTTTCCTGTATAGTAAGTGCCTTATACTAAGGTTTATAGCCAATCTAGGATTGGCAGGGACAGCAAAAACATTTTATAGTATATTTCCCCAACTTCAAATTATGCTGCGTTATTCCTGGCTGAGAAACAGTGAAACTGTAAGAATGAAATAATTTTAATCCTGGAGTATTCATTTCTTTCTGATTATACAAGTTGGTTGGAAGTGGGTTTAATAATGTTGGCAGATGACACAAGTCTTTGTAAAAGACACATGATGAAGCTTGCAGTGACCGATGAGTACACAATAAATTTGATTTATAATTGCTCTCTGGGAAAGCAGTGTCTCATATTATATCACATTCTTCCCTTACAAACTGATAAATGTAGACTTGATATTACAGTATATGATACCCAAACATGGTTTAAGAAGCAGCTGAACATGAAAATGTTAGATGTTGACCAAAGGAACAGCATAATGGGCTGGATCCAGACATGACTCCCATCAGAAGTGGGGAGGTAACTTTTGTTGATTTTAGACTAGAGTGGGAATGGTGCAAAAGTTGACTTCTCACACTTTGCCACTGGATCCATGGACAGAAGGAGCTGTTCAGTTTGCAGAAGCTGAAGTATAGCTACTCGGATGATAAAATATGTCTTCTTGTCAGATACCTGTGACCTAGCTCCTACAAGCAACAGATGAAATGGGAAATCTGTTTTTCAACTGTAGCGTTGCAAACTGCAGATAGGGATTGGCATGTCTGAAAAGGAAAAAAAGTCCCTGCATATAGAAAACTGGATGTCAGAAAGAAGGGTTCTCAACCAACTTTCTTCCTGGCATATTAAATTTCTACATGCAGGGGATGTTTTGTTTGGAGGAGCATTTAAACCTCTTGCAAGCTGAAGTAGTATGCCTCAAACATACGTTTATCATCTAATCGGCTGCTTGTGGCGACTGGTGTTGCTTGTGTCAGTACAAAATTAAATGGGCTTTTGTTGGGGCCCTGTATACTGCTTATTAATTATTTGATGTGCAATATTAATGATTTATTTCTGAGTGCCTTATTTGTAGTCAAGGTTTGCAGCAAAATGTAGCATAAGGATTCTTCCCTGTCTGAACTAGTTTAGCTTCCTAGAATAATCACACTATAAAATTCATTATTTTTAACTCACACAGCTGCTGATTTTATGCAAAGATTAAATGGATTAAGGAAAATACATAGCTTGTAGATCCCAATATGTTGCAGTTGAACCAGTTTATGTTGGATAACATTATGATGTATGAATACTGCATAGTACTGTGCAAGGATATGTGATGCTTTATGAAACAGCCCTAAGATCTGTTGGGCTAACAAAAAAGAAGAAGAAAAGTGCAAGATCACCAACTGCAATATTGTATTGACAATGAGCTGTTAATGCAGGTGGATATGTTGACCCATTTCACACATCATGATAAACTGTAGTTAATGCTTAGTGTAAATGCCCAAGAGGATCTCTTCACAACACTTCTCTAGCCAGTAAGAGCAACATAGCATGATTCCTGACTTAAGTGTTATGGCCAAACTAGGGATCATGGTTTGTTGTGTTCAAACAATTAATAAGCAAAGAACAAACCTTGGTGTAACAAAATAAGATCTCTGGTTTGGATGCAATGCTAAGTGGGGAATTGTGGTTTGTTGGACCTGCTGGATAAGAGGAGAGGTGCAAAGTGGGGGCCTCTTGTGCATTTATGGTAAACTATTACGGTATTGGCCTGAATATAACCCTCACCTTTTCCCCAAATTCTGACCATGAAAAGTGACTTTTATGATATCGCTGCTGAAACAGACATATGGTAGAACGGAATGGGTGTGAGTGCCTGCAGAATTTTAAGCGAGTGGTTTATATTCGGGTGCGGCTTATATTCAGGCCAATACGGCAACTATGGTTTACCAATACTGCTACTGTCATGACCATAGCTGCTGTTTTTCTCAGTGTTGATGGATTTCAAGGAGTAGTTGGACTGGACATCCTGTTGTGGTGTGGTTTGATCTGAACTGAACTGTTGCTATTAATTTTCAAAACCATTGATATGCCTACTAATTACAGATGTTTATATTTTCCTATAGCAGGCAATATTAAAGATGGAAGATAATTTCTATTGAACCTCAATTCTATTGTTCCTGTAGTATCTTAATTAAAAAGTCACCTTTAAAATTTTCCTGTTTCTAGAGGTTCTGCACGAGCAAGGACCATGGCATATTTTGGAGAAGGAAAGGGCCCCATCCATGTGGACAATGTGAAATGTACAGGAAATGAAAGATCTCTTGCTGACTGCATTAAACAGGATATTGGCAGACACAATTGTCGTCATAGTGAAGATGCGGGGGTGATCTGTGACTACCTTAGCAAGAAGGCACCTGCAAACAGTAATAAAGGTGAAGTGGGTATTATATTGATTTCTTCAGTGCTTGCTGGAAGGAGAAAAAAATATATTGATGTGGATTGTGTGTTTCTTTTTAATAAAAAAGATACAGAAGTAGTGGGTCAGCCCTAGTAATGGCATACAGAAAACAAGCCAACACTTGAAATAGTGCTCTGCTGTTTCCTGATGGGAGACTCTAATGTCTATGATTTCATTCCTGCATAGATTCTCTTTCTTCTGTGTGTGGTTTGAGGTTACTGCATCGTCGGCAGAAGCGGATCATTGGAGGGAAAAATTCTTTAAGGTAAATGGAGCAATTTTTAAAAAATGATACTTGGGCAAAAAGCTATTAGCTTGGATTCAAAGAACCAGAGTGTGAAAAGGCAAGGGCCTTAGCTCAGTCATAGGGCACACACCTTGCTTGCAGGTGGTCCCAGGCTCATTTCTTGTCATTTCCAGGTGAGATGCAGGGACAATCTTGTTTGCAACAAAACATGTAACTCAAGAAGAGCTAGTTTTATTGGTTTACAATAGGAGAAAAGACTGCCGCTTGCCGAATAATTTATAAATGTAATCTTAATTCAGAATATCACTTAACAAGTCTCATCAGTTCATGTCGCTGAACAGATTTTGCAGCTCCTGCGGGGGAGAGAGGTAAGCTGCAGAACTACTGAAAACAAAGCACAAGAGAAGGTGCTGTATCAAAGAGAAGGCTCCAGTTGCTACTCCACATAGACCCTTATATTGCATGGAATATTAAGTTGAATTATTTTTGTTCTCTTTCTAGAGGTGGATGGCCCTGGCAAGTTGCTCTGCGCTTGAAATCATCCCATGGTGATGGAAGATTGCTGTGTGGTGCCACTCTCATCAGCAGCTGCTGGGTGCTTACGGCAGCACACTGTTTTAAGAGGTACCATTGCATGATTTGCAGGTGGCTATGTATTGGTCATTAGTATAGGAAGGAGACCAGTGCAAGGAAGACAAAGACCCTACTGACAGTTAATTTTGAGATTCAGCCAAGAGCACTGCATGTCCAGCCATTCCAGGCCAGTGCAGAAACATTAATTGGGTCCTTCAGTCAGGATTTGAATTTGCTCAGCAGCAACCCAGTGAGACAGAGTAAAGCATGACCAGTGATCAAAACCAGGCTCAGTATTGTAGCTTAAATGAATCAATAGTAAATGAATAAATAATTTTATTAGTGTTACAATGCTTCACTTAAGGCATATAGAAAATGTCATTTTGAAAATTGCAGAAAATTAACTATCAGCAGTGAAATACAGTAGGAAATAATCCATAATAATGACACAATTCATCATAATTTAATTAGTTCATAAACTAACAGTTGTATTTACAAATCAAGCAACCAGTTACATAGCGCAACAGAACCGCCAGGTTCTCAAGGTACTAAGCATTTTTAAATAAAGTTGATCATTGCCAGTCCAGGACAGTAAGTTTATATATTGTGCCTTTCAACTGGGCAAAAGCTTGTGACTGGCTGACTCAGTTACAAAGTCCATGGTAAGTTCAAGCAACTGATGAGTGGGCAGCCCTGTGGAGGATGGTGGAGCTCAGCATCCTGCCTTCTAAACAGATCCTGTTCTCAATCTGATTTAGATTTTGAAATTCCCTTAACAGTCAACAACATTGGGGTTAAAAAAAGAGTAATTGTTTTCTTGCTTCTAGTGCATATAAAGCTATCTTGTAGGTAACAAACGTTGGCTACTGGGTACATTGGCCAGCAGGAATATCTAAAATGTATTTTAACATAGCCTCCCGTCCGCACCCACTCCCTGTCCAAATTCAGAGGATCAGAAATAAAGTGGAAGTTGATGTAGTAGTTTAAAATAACTTAAGCATAGATCATAGAATATGTGTGAAGTGGATCTACTGTACAAGCATGATATGTAGTCTAGATATCTTAAAAGCTTCGTTATAGTACAGCATCATTCAAACTTGACTGAGATGAATAGAACTTCCTCTTAAAATGATGAAAAGTTACTAAATATGCAGAGTAAAGAGAGACAAATTCAACAGCAAGTTTCTCTAGCTGCATTGCATTTCTGCCTTTGGGACCCACTTGAGAAAGCTGAGACTGTGGTGCAAGGGCTGAGCCAGTCGCAAAATGTTGGCAGATGCAGGCAAAGTTTGGCATAATCAGCTAGCAAGCACTGACACAATTTTCTACCAATATCAAATTCATCTTTGGAAATTGTTAAGTTTCTTTCCCACAGCGTTTTTATTTGAAGCAATGAGTTCCATATCTCAGCTCTTGCAACTTCCTGTAGGGCAATTGTGTGTTTCACAGTGATGGTTATTATCAGTCTGTCAGTGACTACTTAATACAAGAAGTCCTCAGAGGAGGCTGTATGCATGCATACAGTGGTGCTTATGTTTACAGTAGTCTAAAGAGGGCTGTAAAAATTGGCTAAGGGACTGGTAACTTCAGCCAAATTGTTATCCTCTTAGTATATAATCTCACCCGCTGAAGAGGTGATGTGGGGAGTGGAATTCGGCAGGGAACCTAATCCTTTTCCTGTATCAGGATGCTTTTTAAACTCCATTTATACATCTGCTCTGTGAATAATCTGCCGCATGGTAGAGCAAGTACACATAAAACGCTCTGCAGCCTTTATTTTTCGGCTTTCTTCCTAAACCAGTGTGAGTTCACCGCAAAATAACAACTGTGCTATCTCCTATTTCCCAGCCTACACATGTGGTGCCGTTTCAGGACATTGCATTGACAGAAAGCACCTTAGCTAGGCCAGATACTGAAAAAGAACTACAACAGATTTCCAGCACTGAGGAGCTCATGTAGGACCCATACTCTGGAGTTTCGAAATTCTGCAGCACTTAGGTCACACAATATTATTTGCATATTCTCACACAAGCATACACACAAATGTCTCCTAATCTGTCCTAGTCATTTGTCACCCAAAATCTGCCAAATTATACAAAATGTAATCTGTTCTATACAGCAGTGTAGCTAGCCGCTAGGGCAGATGTAAGCCGCACGATGCCTTTTCGGGCAGCGCAGAGCTTGCAATGCAGTCTGCCCACTGCCTCTTCATCAGCTGTTTCGGGCAGTGCAGAGACGTGTGGCTCGGGCACACTGCAGGCCCCGTGGTAAGTGCAACCCCCCACGGTGTGGCGCCCACTGTGCCTTGCCCCCCCCCCCAGCTATGCCTCTGGTTCTATATATCTGTATCCGAAAGGCTGCCTCTATTTTACAGATTTTTCCAAACTGCAAATGGTAAATATACCTTTGCTTTATGGGAAACGATAGCCTAGTGGGGAATTTTTTATTGACTAGTGCAGGAAACAAAATCGGTTTACTTGTCCACATATAGGCAATTTCAGAGGGACGCTGGTGGCACTGTGGGTTAAACCACAGAGCCTAGGACTTGCCAATCAGGTCGGCGGTTTGAATCCCCACGACGGGGTGAGCTCCCGTTTCTCGGTCCCTGCTCCTGCCAACCTAGCTGTTCGAAAGCACGTCAAAGTGCAAGTAGATAAATAGGTACTGCTCTGGCGGCAAGGTAAATGGTGTTTGCGTGCGCTGCTCTGGTTCGCCAGAAGCGGCTTAGTCATGCTGGCCACATGACCCGGAAGCTGTACGCCAGCTCCCTCGGCCAATAAAGCGAGATGAGCGCCGCAACCCCAGAGTCTGCCACAACTGGACCTAATGGTCAGGGGTCCCTTTACCTTTATATAGGCAATTGCAATGAGAGCTTTTTGCTGCATCATTAAGTACTGAAGTTTAATTCAGCTCTTCTTGTATTCATTACTGTGAACAACTATCCTTCATTCTTCAAAGAAGATTGAAGCAAAGCCACAAGCATTGCCAGAAGGGAGACAAGCCACCTCTTTGCTGTGGGTGTCAGAACAGATCATTTGTGATTGAGTTGTGACATTAAGTCAAAGTATTCTATTGATTTCTCTCATTCAGATGGTAGAGTTCCTACAAGTAAATTAATGTCAAGATTCTAGGCTGACAGGTCACTGGAAAACACATTTCCATAGTATTTGAAGCTTATTCACACCACTATTGGCATGAAATTATTTCTTAAATTGTAACAGCCAGCGCAGAAACCTGAAATATACGATACCAATGAATACTTAGCTTATCATTCTCAAAATTGTCGTTCTTATGTGAAAAAATAATTTTAGAACACCTTTCTAAATAGTGGGAGAGAACACTGAGAGTATCAGAAGTTAGAAATTTCATTGCAAATGAACTTAGGAAATGTGTTTTCCCTCCCTTCATATTATATATCAGGAATACAAATCTCAAACTGGAAAATCAATTGTATTGAGGCAGCAATGCTATTTTTACCTTTAGCTCAGCTGCTTAGGTTAAGTCACAAGGACTCCCATGAATGATAGCCACAATTTAGATTTATGCGAGTATGCTGTGTGAAGGATTTTTATCTTTCTGAAATATCAATGATTCTACAAGTCCTTGCTGCCCTTCACACCATCCTGTGAGAAAACTGTATTTATGAACCTTTTTTTAAAGGTGTCAACATAATTTTTGAATCTTTTTTCTTAAAAAAAGCATGCCTTTGTTTCAACTCATAAGATAAATCCTGAAAACAATCTTCATTGACCAGTTAGGAAAATGACACTATTTTTCCTATGGGAAAAACGTGTTCATGTTTTGTTTTTGGTTTTTTTAAAAAAATAGTATAATTAAAATACAATTTGTGGGGAGTGGGTGTTCATGATAACAAGGGTCAATCTTTCCATATTGCACTTTTTATTATTTAACGTCAGCTGCATTTTTCCATTTGAATTTCCAGACAAAGGAAATACAGGGGATTTGCAAGAGAACTATACAAAATATTAGTGTTGGAAAAGGGTTTTCTGTCATGTGCCCCCGTTGTTCTTTTCCTCAGTGCTAGATGTCATCCAAAACATGCAAACTCTTTAAACCACATACAATGATGTATTTATTATTGGAGTTCTTAATCCTGTAAAACGGTTTTCTTTAGTCAAAACAGACTGGACTGATTAAATAAATTGACCGTAGTTGACCAGGCCTCTGTGTTTACAGTAGCTGAAACTACTACTAAATTGTAGAGGCGCTTTTTGGTGGGGCGGGGATTTTACAAAAACCTTGAATCTTTAATGAAACTTTCCCAGTGTCTTACCAGAGAAGATCAGTCCAAAGGTGATAGCTTATTTTCTTCTTCTTAGATATGGCAATAATACTCGGAGCTATGTGGTGCGTGTTGGAGACTACCACACATTAGTGCCCGAGGAGTACGAGGAAGAAATTGGAGTACAAGAGATTGTGCAACACAAAGAATATAGGCCTGATAGCAGTGATTATGACATTGCGCTGGTGAGGCTGCAAGGACCCGAAGAGCAGTGCGCTCGCTTTAGCACCCATGTCTTGCCTGCTTGTTTGCCACTCAGACGAGAGAGGCCACAGAAAACTGCTCCCAATTGTTACATCACTGGATGGGGTGACACAGGTAAGGATTGTTTTTACAGCACAAAATATTTTTTTCCTTACTATGGTAAAGTGGGCTTCTTGTCATTAACTCACCTACGGGATGAGGGGAAAAAAATAAAATTTTAGATTTAAACTTAAGTTTTGATCATTCAACAAGTGTACAAAATATGAAGAAAACTGGATGACACGAGGTAAAAAAAGTTGGATCACTTGATATGGAATGACCCAGCTAGTAAAAGCTTTTCAGACAGGTCTGCCTGGATCTTTGCTTGTAATACCAACTTTTGTTGTTGCTTAGATATGGCAGGTGCTAATTTTTCTATTCTAATGGTGCTCAATGTGTTGCAGTGGATTGTCTAAAATTGTTATGCTGTATCCCACCTTGGGGGACACGGGTGGCGCTGTGGGTTAAACCAGAGCCTAGGACTTGCCGATCAGAAGGTCGGCGGTTCGAATCCCTGCGACGGGGTGAGCTCCTGTTGCTCGGTCTCTGCTCCTGCCAAGCTAGCAGTTCAAAAGCACGTCAAAGTGCAAGTAGATAAATAGGTACCGCTCCTGTGGGAAGATAAACGGCGGTTCCGTGCACTGCTCTGATTCGCCAGAATTGGCTTAGTCATGGTGGCCACATGACCCGGAATCTGTACACTGGCTGCCTCGGCCAATAAAGTGAGATGAGCGGCGCAACCCCCGAGTCGGTCACGACTGGACCTAATGGTCAGGGGCCCCTTTACCTTTACCTATCCCACCTTGGCAACTTCTGGTTTAAGGGAATTGTTTGCACAAGTCTCAGAGTCAAGTATTCCTGCACAGAATTTTAAAATACTGCAAAAAGTTGCCTTCTATTGCTAGTGAGGTAGCTTGGGAAAGATAAATGAAAGGTATGGGTTCCATTGCATCCACATACTTCTTTATTATAGTTTTTGTCCATTTTTTCCTATAGAAAGATGGCCGGAAATAACCTAATATATACCGTAGTTTTGTGGTATCTCCCTCCAAAAAAACCAACAAAAAAACCATTGTCAATTACAAAGACCCTACTAAGTGTGAAAACAATGCTACATGGCAATTGACTGGCGTAGAAATAACATGTCTGGAGGGAATGCAGAAGACTGCAATAATTCTAACACACATTTCACATTCAGTATGTCAAAGCCTGTATTTTTCTACCACAGGAAGAGCTTACTCAAGAACATTGCAACAAGCTGCCATCCCTCTGCTTCCTAAAAGAATCTGTGAAGAACGCTATCGGACAAGGTTCACAGGAAGGATGCTCTGTGCTGGTAGCCTCCAAGAGCAGAAGCGTGTGGACAGCTGCCAGGGAGATAGTGGTGGGCCGCTCATGTGTGAACGCCCTGGAGAAAGTTGGGTTGTATATGGGGTGACCTCCTGGGGTTATGGCTGTGGAGTCAAAGACTCTCCAGGTGTCTATACCAAAGTTTCCTCCTTTGTACCTTGGATAAGAAGTGTGACCAAACTATGACCATGCTCGCGTCACTGACCACTAACAGCACAGTCAGTACAAAGCTGTACACATTTTTCTGTGTATGCTTATTTTGTTGGATAATATGGTAGTTCATCTTAAAGTAATGTTGACTTACATTGAAACACGGGGGGAAGTAATACTTATTGTGTCCCCCTCATCCATGAAATCCCCAACGAATAGCACATTTAAATAATTGCACAAATAGTTCTCGATATACATATGAACATGACCTGTCCTATTTAAATGTGTAAAGTGGTAAAAGATCAATGCGCAATATCCATATACAAGATTTTATGAGAATACACTTTTTAGACAGAGTAAAATAAAGCTTCACTAATTTACACTCATCACACTGGCTTGTAATATATATAGCAGACAGGCCCAACTTTTTGTACTCATTTGTAAGAGCTTTTCTTTTTGCCTTTCTGCAAGGCTTCAGACACACTAGACTGTGCTTACTACTAGCTTTCCATTAGATTTACATGACCTAGAACTAAGGCTTTCTTTTCAGACAACAAATCCTTCCATGATCCCTTTGCATGAGGCTATAGAAAAGATTTCATGACTCAAACCATTATGTAGCACCCAGAATGGACTTTAAAAATACAAAGAATCAATTTTACTTCAACCCGAGTTTCAAGTTTAATTATAAAATAGGAAACTGCATTATTTATGAACTGTAAGACTCTATAACCATTTGTTTGTTCCAATTGAATTTTCAAAAATGTTTTTAAAGATATAGCAATAACTGTGTCAAGAGGGTGATTGGTAGTTCCCAATCAACTGGTTATATACCGTACCTGTGAGATTGGTGTCTTTCCTTCACAAAATTCCTAATTGCAATGTGTTGGCCTTTGGGTGCTTCCTAGTTATGATAGGTGTGCATTTATGTACTCAGTGATGTTTCTACATGTATGGGTATGTTTTGTTGCATTTTTTACCTAATACCTCAGCATCGTTTGAAAAGCACATGGGTTTGAAAAGAACCCAGATGACTGGTTTATATGGGAAGAATGTCAATGCAATAAATATAAAAATCCCCAAGAAAAACATTTGGCCCCATATGGCAAAGTATACAAATGTGGCAAAGAGCTATGCCTAACTTAAACATAAATTTTGTGCTCTATATGGATACTTCTCCATTTATATAGCTTTCTGTAACTTTCCACTTGGTACTTGATTTTATGTTAGGCAGCCTTCACCCTTATGAAACAAAGCAGTTCTTTAATGAAATGTAAACTGCTAAATTGTTTTTAATAAACAATAGCCACCTAAGTACAGGGGCTGGGACAGGTCTTCTAAAAGTATGTTGGACATTCAAGGTGCTAGGCTATGAAGGGAAGTTTTTCCCTTTTCAAAACTATGTTGTATTAGTTAAATCATTTTTACTAGAAATGTGATTTGAAAACTTCCTGAGTTCAACATTTTGTTTTAAACTCGGCTGACCTTACTTATCAAGCAATTTCAGTATGTCTAAGCATTTAGCAGTACAGTACACTCAAAAACTTATCTAGAAAGTATGGTTTTCAATCTTATTAAAGTCTTTGTCACAATTTTATATTTTGATCAAAGCCATAAAACGTAACTTGCACAATAAAACCTGCCATTTATTGAAGTCTTTGTTATAAGCTTAAAGTGAAGATTTCACTTTTAAGATATATATCTCAACGTGCACCTACATTTGTTTTAAGTGTCAAGTAGGCAAAAATCTCAAACATGCCTGTTGTGTTTGTCCTAGGAACAAGTAGCTAACTGTGGCCATCATTTTTCTGTATGTCCATTTGAAATCTCATTAACCTTTTGTCCTTTTGTTTAATGCGTTTGATACAGCTCTTCTAATCTTCCCCACCCAAATAAGGGAAGTCACCTATCAAACAAAAAACTAAACCTTTCATAGGCTATTCTGTAATTTGTAAGGTTTTCACTTGGACACATGCAAAGATGCACGTGCTTGTTTCATCTTTTAGTGCTTTTCCAAGTCACAACAGTATTTGTAGAAGACTGAAGCTTTCAAAGTAATTTTAATTAAAACACAAGGTATGTGTACTGTGATTCTATCCCTTTAAAGGGACCCAAGTGTGTACAAGGTTGCAATTAACTTAAGGAAATGCAAGAGCTGCTATCAGGGCAAATCACAGATATCAAAGCCCACTTTTAATTTATGTAGCCCATAGTACAGTTGTACCTCGGGTTAAGAACTTCATGCGTTCTGGAGTTCTGTTCTTAACCTGAAGTACCACTTTAGCTAATGGGGCCTCCTGCTGCCGCACGATTTCTGTAAGCAAAGTTCTTAACCCAAGGTAATATTCCTGGGTTAGTGGAGTCTGTTACCGGAAGCGTATGTAACCCGAGGTACCACTGTATCTTGTGCTAACATTTCCCCATTTCAACACCCCCCCCTTGTGGACAAACTGAAATGTATCTAACCTGTATGTAAATTACGGGCAATCCATTTCAGCTCACAAGCCAGATTTGTCTTTCACTTTTAGCTGCCTGGAGGTCACCTGCTCCATCAAAAATACTCCATCCTTACTTGATGTTATGCCTAGAACTCTTTCAAAACACTAGTGTGATGTTATCTCTCCTTTAATTCAAATTAACACTCCAAACTCTGTTTCTACAGGGCAGCCAACATGGTGCCCTCCAAATATTACTCCAACATTCACCCCTGTCCATGCTGGCTAAGGCAGAGGGAAGATCCACTCCCCCTTCTTTTATCATGTTAAATTTTAAATGGTAAAATTATTTGGGGGAAAATGTCAAATGACAAATTGTGCATGACAGATTACAGAGTACATGAGGTGAGGCCCCTGTCCCAAGGAAGGAGACAGATAAAAGGAGAAAACATTCAACTGTTTGTAGGCTCTGTTACACTATTGCACAGGAATGGTTTTTTTCAAATGACTTCAATGAAAAGTGCCTTTGAGATTCCTATTTTGTAAAGCACCACACACACTGATGCATTTGCAACACCTACTACTGTGATCAGCCAGGTTAAAACCAAGCAACTAAATTGGGAAAACAGTAAAAAATTGCAAACCATTTTAATTTTATTGTATCAAAACCACAACATAAGGCAATATATACACATAAAAATACAAACTGAGGAGGCACTTTCCTCAATTTACTCCACAGCAGTTAAAGTGCCTTTCCAAAGCAAACAAATCTTATACATTAATTTCAATTATTTAAACTGTATTCACTTGTAATATTTACAGCTTATAATAGCTTTGTTTCAGGCACTAAAGTTATTTATGTTTTCATTGCTGTAACACTGTTGAGAACAAAAATTTCATGACTACCCTGTTAACACACACTTTTAGCAGAAGCATGTGCCACTTCCACTGCCCATCTTCAAACTCAAGAGTAGCAAGCACATATATCCTGCAAAAAGAAAAAAAGGATGCTAAGTTTTACAGCCCATCAAGATTTTGTTATCGCAACTCACTTTTAAAGATGAAGGAAATTATTAAGTTAGATTGTTTATGTATAGAAGTAATTTAGTGCAATCAAGTTGTATTTAAATATTTTTCCGCAAATAGCACTGCGAAAGACTAAGCAGCTGGTCAAATGCCACACTCCCAAGGATACTAATTAAAGATGTCATGCATGCCTTCTTAGTTATCAGCTCTAATTTCAAAAGCACTTTCACAGAATGTGCTAGTTTTGAAGAGGGCTTTTGGAGTAACATTGGAAGATGACCTTGAGACTCGCTTGTAAGAGAATTCCAATTTAAAACCCAAAGCCAGTGCAGTTAGAAGAGGAAGGAGGCTCCCCAACAGAAGCTTAACTGCCGAAAACGGCAAGTTCAAGGAGGCTCAGTACGACCGCTTTTTAGGCCACAAGGTCACCCCCAAGCAAGGCCCTTTAGTAAGGAGTGCGCGGCTGACTCTTACCCAATATTATCATTGAAACTTTCAGCACTTTGCAATAATTACCAAAAAAACTTAATCTCACAACTGTAGGTAGCTTCAAAACAAGCCACATTTGTACATTGGCAAGGGGCTGATGGGGCAACTTCTTTTATGAAGGCGACCTCCCCTCCCTCCCCATTCCAGGCGACGATCCCTCAGCGCGGCGCCTCTACCGAAGGAACGCTGTTACTTGCCCTAGTCAGAGTCTCGCCCCAATTAAATGGTGCGAGCTATGCCAAGGGGCAAGGTGACCGTTTGCTCTACCATGAATAGGAAGGGAGGCTGCCACGCTGGCAGGTCCCATGGAAGCATGGAGTTGGTCCCCGCCCCCACTCTTTACCCGGCAGCCCAAGCGAGCGCACGAGGCGCGCGTTACTCGACATTTGAAAATGACGCCGGAGCGCAAGAAGGCGGCCCTCAGCGCCTCAGGATTCCCTTCCGAAGTAAAGTAAGTTGTCCTACCTGTAGGCGCGCTTGGCTCTTCCTGTTCGGCGTCGCTAGGACTCCCCCCGCCCTCCCCCTCCCGAAACAACAGCCTCTTTTTAAGCACTGCGACAGTTGCGGCGCATGCGCGCTAGATGCCCTTCGCTCTCCTGAAGCATCTTACGCTCCGAGACGAAGGGACGCTTCTCCTGCGAAAAGCACGCTCGCTGGTTACAGGCGCGTACTCAGGAGAAACAACTACTAGCCTTGCACGGGAAAAGAACCATCCCCTGTATTTCTCTTCCCTTTCCCCACCCTCGCCTAGGCCTAGGCCCAGGCCCACCCTTCCTCTTCTTCCAACTAAAGCCCAACCGTCGCCTCCAGAACGCCTTCGAAAAGGAAGAGGCGCGCGCCTCGCGAGCGCTTTTATAATGGGGAGGAGGCCACGCCCACTTCTCGGGCTGGAGGGCCGGGCCTGTTGAGCCGTTGGTGCGAGGCGCGCGTGCGCACCGTCTCCCGCTTTCGGTTGGGCGAGGTTTCAGTCTCTCAAGTGCGCTTCACGGAAGTCTGTACCTTGCAAGCAAGCGGGGCCTCCGCCTGCGACACAGTGTAAATTGGCAGACTAGTCGTACTTGCATTGAGCTCTCTGAAACCACATGAATGAACTTAGTGGGGCTGAGGCCAGGCGCCTCCACTTCCACAGAAGGTAGGCTAGTTTATGGGGGAGCTGCTGTTAACCTACACAGAAGTCGTTATCGCGAAAGCAACATGTAAATGGGTTGTACGTGGGCAGCCGCCTGTTAGTAGTTCTGAATTGATGTGGAACAAATCGCGAAGTTACCTGTGAATTGATGCCTTTACAGAAGAGTTCTTACTGGTTTCCAAAGTAGTTCCCAGTAACGAATCGGAGACAGAGAACGTACAGTATTCGTTTTACTGTGCAGCGAATTAAGCAAAACACATCGGGCCCCGTGAACCCGTTTCTGGGGTGGGGTAGGAAAACCATGATCTCTTTGTGTGATGTAATATGTGAAATAGTCTGGTACTAGAGAAATTCGTGTCATCAAACGCATCGTAGTCAAGAGAAACATTAAGAAACGGCAGCGATCCTTTCGGTCTACTGTATACATTTAAACAAATAAACAATGATTGGTGGATGCTCCTGTGCTTTTCATTCAATCTGCCGTACTCGGAAAACCATACGTAGTAGGAAATAAATTTGGCCACTGGATGGTGCTTTTGCTTCATAGCCTTGACCAAATTTTGAGGGGAAAGTTTTACATATTTAAATAATGCAGTTACTTTTATGTATTAACTGCCTGTAATTATGTATATATTCCATATACTGTATGGGATGCAGTAATCAATAATTACATTTTTTTTGCTAGTTGCAACTTGCACCAAACCTGCTGCCCCAGCCTCCAGCAAGGGCATTCCAGAATGGGCATCACTGCTTGAAGGAGAGAGTTGCTAGTTGGGCATCCCTGCTTGAAAGTGCCCTGAGCACCTTTATGCAGGAACATCCAACATCCTCCGTTGCCAGAGGGAAGGAAAATAGCAGTTTGGGTGCAAGTGAGTAGAGAGTCCCTGTTTGAAGTGGGCCTTCAGGTAGGGAAGTCCAACAGGCACATTCTGCTTGCCCGCCTTTACTGTACTGAGGAGCAGCAGGAAAGGATTGCCAGTTGAGTCCTATGAGGTTAAGACTCTCCAGGTGCCTTTTGGCTGTGCAACTGCCAAACATCTTCCAACTTTCCTCACATTTGAGGAGATGTTGAGGATCTCTGTCTACCTCTGCAGCTTCAGATTTGGAAGGTTTAGCACCTGACTGTGCTCTTCAGAGGAAGGTACTATAGTCATTAGCTGGGAGTTGGGCTAGATGATGCTTCAATTCTTCCAACTCTATAGTTATGATTCTATGATTCATCAAGCTGAGCAGAATTATTGAAAATAGTGATGCCTTTTATTACTACAAAAATGTTCCATCTTTGCAAATCAGTTGTTGAGACTGATGGTGTCATTAGTATACAAATCAACCCAAATTTATATGTCTTCCCCCAAAAATTTTGAGCAGTGTGCGTATTCCCCAAAGGCAAAGAGAGACTTGATGCACATATATGCTTTCTAGAATGTTGGGTTGTGACCCAAGTGCTTTAATAACAGGACTGATCATTATTGTTTGTAGAGGCTTTCTGAAAAGTTGATGAGCAGTAGGGATGGTTTCAGTTTCTGCTTTCATTCCAATTGATACTGGAAGCATTTCACTGTAACCAGAATTTTAAAGCTTTGTTCTGTACTTGTAGTCACATTAAGTGCTGCTGCAGACAAGCTATAATCTCTGGAGTTACACATATAATGTAGATGGTTTTAGCGATTGTTGTTTGTCTCTACTTAAAGCCAAACAGTTTATTCAAGTTTTTATTTTTTGCTTTTAGAATAAATTGAAGTGAATTCATTAGGATTTCTTAGCCCACTTGGATGTTCCAATGGATACTCCATAGGCTCTGGTATTAATAGTGTTGAAGATTTAGACACAAATTGACTATTGTGACACAAATTTAGAACAAGGAGTATATTGTCATGTATATCTCAAGTTGTTCCTGTTCTTCACTTCATATGTAATAAGCTGCCAGTCAGCTGTAACTGAGGGTTAAGTGCAACTTTTTTTCTGCAGTGTGAGAGGATGCTTAACAGGACATTGTGCTGCCTGACACAGAGCCATTGCTGCTTCCCCGTGAGCCTCACTTCTGCACAGATCACTTCTTCCTTTCATCCAAGGCTCTCCAGCGACTTCTGCTGACAGTATGCTGCTCTCTCTTTTCTTCCCAACCCTACACTGCATATAACACCAATGTCTCAAAACAAATGTAACTGAAGAACCTGAAGAAAGAGACAATGCATGTGCTTTCCCCCCTTTATTTTTTATTTTTTTTAAAAAAATATTTTATTAAGGATTTTCTTGTTTTACAGAAGTAAGTGTAATGCCTTGTATTTTTTTTTTACATGTAAAATTTTTACAAATCTGTTTCATTTGTTGAGGCATTAGGGGGAGAAGAAAAAGAAAGAAAAAAGAAAGGGGGGATGGAGAGAGGGAAGATGGATGGGGGTGGCGTCGGGTGGCGGTGTTTGACACCAAACTCTACATACATTAAACATAATAGAAACAATGCATGTGCTTTTGAAAGCGAGGGGAAATTATTGTTTTTTTAAAGAAGAAAAGGAGTGTGTAGCAGCCCCCAATATTTAAAGAGCCCCCACCCCATTACATCATTAGAACCAGAACATAAACCTATGAAACTAGAAAAGAGCAAAAAATATCAATGTTTGGTCCAGATCCTAGGTATTGCACCCTCACTAAATGAGACTTATGGCCTCAAATTCTCTTTATCTTATATGCTGCTTTACTACAACAAGGACGACTAGACTACTGATCCTAAACTGTATAGTTAGTTGCCCAACCACCCGCTCCACAACCCACTGCTCTCAACTGACTCTCAACTGCCTCACATTCAAACTCCCTTTCAAACCATCATCCAATCATCACTCACCACCAGAATTCCAAAATCTCTCTTCCCCCTCCTTAATATTCCCATAATAATTCTGATACAATTACCTTAATAACTCTATTACATTCAATATTTTATCCATGCTGCTCCCCTATAACCATACTGTTAGAAGCACTTGAGCTTCCCATTCCTGGCTTTCTAAAAAATGGGGGTGAGCAAACTGCAGGTTCTCCATCCCTGTTCTAAAAAGCAGATGTCTTCCCCCCAAATGATCCTGGGAATTGTAGTTTGTTAGGGGTTCTGGGGATTGTAGGTCTGTGAGAGGGAAGCCACAATGGCACAAATCATTTCAGGGGAAGTCATGTGCTTTAAAGGCACATTGGATGCTCTTTAAAACATAGTATCATAGAATTGTAGAGTTGGAAGGGATCGCGAGGGTCATCTAGTCCAACCCCCTGCAATGAAGGAATCTCAACTAGATGATCCATGGCCGATGGCCATCCAAGTGCTGCTTAAAAACCTCCAAGGAAGGTGAGTCACTGCTTCAGGCCCTAAGGGCCTCTGAAGCAGGAGAAAACAAGCTTGCTCCATCCTCCATGTCACAGCCCTTTAGACTTTAGTTATTGAAAGGGCTGTATGGTGTGGATCTCATATCAGTGTTATGAGAGTGTAAGCAACACATTTCTCTCTCCCCTTTCTCCACCCCATGCAGAATTGCAATGGTAACCAGAAGGCTGGAGTTCGGAGCCCAGCCAGGACTGGCTGTGGACAGGATCCTTGCATTGCCGGGAGTTAGACTAGATAACCCTTGGATTCCCTTCCAACCCTGCCATTCTATGACTATATCAAGCAGCTAAAGGAACAAAAAGATGCTTCTGAAACATAGGAACACTCTCCCCACAGGTGGCTTCCAGCAAGAGCTTGCATCTTCCTTGGGAGAGAGGCCAGAACAAAAGGGGGAAAGGCTTAGAGTTCAGGTAGGTGGAAATGCCAATTGAGTGCCCTATACTATAGGAATGCTTCCTTCCCGTGTCCCCCACCCTCATGCACCAGACTGGTGCTAGCATGGCTGGAAGCCAGGCACCTGCTGATTCCTCCCTTTTCTTTGCAGGGAGGGAGCTTTCCCCCAACATATACTTTGTTCTGGCCAAATCCATGGAGAGACGTGACGACCTTCAGGTACTGGGGCAGAGGGAAGGAAGGGGTCCTTGTGAAACACGTTTGGGGAATCTGTGGCTTCCAGCAAGTGCTTTTCAGAAGCATTGCTCCCTCTAGCACGGGAGGCTGAGCATAGCCATCACGGCTAGTTGCCTTTGATAGGCCTCTCCTCCATGCAATTGTCTAGCCCTCTTTAAAGCCATCCCATCCAATATGCTCTTGTGGTGCATCGGTTTCTCCTATGCTTCCTTGCTCCTGCATGGAGATGACTATCGTGAGATCCTTTGGTTAACCTCTATCTGGGCTGGAAAATATTAAAGAATCAGAGGACTGGTGAGCTTCCCTTGAAGCACAACTGATCAAAGGCAGGCAGATCTGTTAGCATCTTGATAAAGATGTTCAGACGACAAAGGATGCTATCATACCCTGCAAGCGTCTCAGAAAAAGCTCCCAAGCTGATGGAGAAGAGAGCAGTTAAGTGGTCAGTGGGGCTCCAGGTTGCCGTTTCTGGATCCCACCACAGCTTCCAAGTTGCCAAAGAAAGCAATGTCACAACAGTTTTTTCCTCGCACTTCCTCACCATGATCCCACGTGGGGCCTTCTCAGACATATGCTGTGTCTGAACCAGCAGATCCCACCAAACCAAGTAATCGAGGATCCAGTCAGAAAAGGAGTGTGTGCGGTCATACCAGAAATAAGCCAAATAAACAGGTACTAGAAGTCACCCCAGAACTGGCCCTACTGAACACCTTCCGAGATAACAATGCCCACTCACACTAGAAAGAGCTCATAACCAACTGACAGCATTCGGTTCAATATGACTAACTTAACCCGACAACCCCCCTCACCCACACACAAACAAATCCCCTGCAGCCAGCCAAAGACGATCAACCACACCCTAGGCCACCCCAACCTCTCTCACCACCAAGGAAACATAACAAACGAATAGAAAGAGAATTTCTGCAAGTGACGCTGACAGAAAAACCCCAAGCATACACTAAATAAAAGAACTTAAGCTTTGCCACCCAAGTACCTCTCCCCCCCCCCCCCAGGGAGGTCCCAAGATTGGAATGTTGGCCCAAAAGAGTAGCAGCGACATTGGCAAATGCTATTTAAGGTTAAATAGTAGTACGTTGTTACAGTTTTAACGACTTACTACTCCTTAAGCAGTACAGTGGTACCTCGGGTTAAGAACTTAATTCATTTTGGAGGTCTGTTCTTAACCTGAAACTGTTCTTAACCTGAGGTACCACTTTAGCTAATGGGGCCTCCCGCTACCGCCGCACCGCCAGAGCACGATTTCTGTTCTCATCCTAAAGCAAAGTTCTTAACCAAAAGGAACTATTTCTGGGTTAGCGGAGTCTGTAACCTGAAGCATCTGTAACCCGAGGTACCACTGTATTTGCCGTGGCAGAATAATGCCTCATACTAAGGAACAGCCTTCCTCAGAGTGGAAAATTTAGGGTGGGGGTGCCACTGGAGAGTTCCCATTATTTGACTTAAGGATTTTGTTCCATTGTACTGAAATAATATAAAAACCTGAACTGCCACACAGATTGTGGGTGAGAATCCCAAACACCAATACTTCAACAAAGATCCGTGGAAATCAGGAATTTGTATGGGAATTGCATGAATGTCTTTACTTATGACTTAATACAATTTGAGCAGGGCTTTTTTGATGCCAAGGAGAGACATAAATAATAATATAAAGAAGGAAGTTAAGAGCAGAGGCTATTAAGATAGACAAAATGTACACAGGCTACATGATTTTGCATAAAAGACCCAGGCTGTGGAGATCAAGTAGTAGTAGATCTTCTGTGATATGGACTGCTTCTTTCTGCATGTAAATATCAGTAATAGATGGTGCAAATAATTGCTGGACTGGATACATCCATGTGGCTTTGCTCATTTAACCATCCAGAGGTGGCAGTTCTTCATAGGTACACATAGTTTTATAGGGTTGGAAACTAGTTTTGAGCAGTTTGCCTGTCGAAACATTCATCTGTATTACCTGGCCTACCCTGAGCAATAGTGGATGGGGTCTTTCCCAGTATTGTGACCTCAGGCCAAAAGCAGATGTTTTTGGAATATAAGCTAAACCAACAGCCAATGAAATGGAGTGGGGGCATGCTATAACTTGCAGCGTTATCACGTTTGATTTTACTGGGGAGGTGTTTTCAGCAGCGTCACACAAGTTAAAGTGGTACCTTGGTTCTCAAATGGCTTAGTTGTCAAACAGACGGCTCCCAAATGCCGCAAACCCAGAAGTAAGGTTCCGGTTTGCCAACGTTTTGGAAGCTGAACGTCCAACGCGGCTTCCGCTAGAGTGCAGGAAGCTTCTGCAGCCAATCGGAAGCCACACCTTGGTTTTTGAACAGTTTCGGGAGTTGAACGGACTCCTGGAATGGATTAAGTTTGAGAACCAAGGTACCACTGTATTTCTTTTAAGTGGAAATGGAGCCTTCTACATGCATTCTGCTACTGAGCTATGGCGCTTTCCTGTGCTGTGCTGTCAAAAACTAAATTGTTTGGAAAACACCAGGCTGTTCTCCCTATCACTTTTAATAGTGTTAAAATGCTGGGCTTTCTTCAGTATGGTATATCACTGTTCTAAGTAACTTTTATTGACTTCTGTATTGCTTCCCTTTACTGTAATACTATGGATGTGTAACTGTAGCACACTTGAAAAATTCTGCCATCAAAGATAGTAAAATGACAAGGCAGTAAAACAAAGAGCCCCTCAGAATAATGTTATTAACATAGAAACAGCAGGCAACTTCAAAAAAAATAAAAAATCTCTCCGAGGCAGCTGTTTCTATAGTACGTTGTAACTTGATGTCAAACAGTAAAAGAAACTGCATTAGAATAAAGTCACTACAATGTGGAGAGGCTGTTTTTTATCAGAGTTTATTGTTGCACAGCAGAAATCATGCCACTATCAGAATAATGTCTAGTTTTATTTTCTTTTAAAAAATTTGAGAAAAACATTTCCAGCAATTTTCATTCAATGTGAATGAGAAGAATATTACATTTATAAACACTGAAATACCTATTTTATTCTTCCTGAGGAAGCTTCACATTTTCCAGCAATAATAAGGATAATCTGTACAATATATTTTGAAGATTAGTTCCACTCCTCATTTTCTCATGTGTAGTACTGGGCAAATACTGCAGCAGAACCATGTGTAACTGCATGGGTTGCTTGGTTTACTTCATTGTTTGTTTCCCTTTTTGTGTGTGTACCTTTAATAATGATGTCCTGTAAATAATCACACTGTTGTTGTTTTTATTGACACAGCTGTTTCAGATAGCCAACTTTCAAAGTCACTTCCATGAGTTTTCACAAGAACTATGTTAAAGTAAATATGTAAAGATTTTATGCTGGAATTTATTCTGGCATTTGTTTGTGCAGTCATTTAAACTAGTGGGAGGTATAAAATGCCTACCTGAATTTTTGGATTTTTCACAGTGCAGTCCTATACATGTGTACTCAAAAGTAGCTCTATTGAGACTTACAGGTAAGTGGGTATAGGATTGCAGCCTAAAACCAGCACTTTGCTTCAGAAGATTGGTTGTGGTTAGCAAACTATCTTTCAAGGACACTTGCCTGCCACTAAAGATCTTTCTTTGAGTAATGCCAAGCTTCTATTTATCAAGCAAAAGTTTGAAAACCAGTAGATTGGAGGAACCTATTATAGCTTTGTATGACAGGATAAGGAAGAAAGAAAGCACTCTTTTGCAGAGAATCGTTCACAAATGGAAAGGATACTGCATACATGTGGTTGTTCAAGTACAATTGTATATTTGTTCATAAAATGGTAATGACAAAGTTTGAGCTCTTGTTATTTCTATATTGAATAAAGGGGCCATTTGCACTCAGTTTATTGCTTTACTTAACAAAAAGGTAAGGAGTAGGACTAATGGCTTAAAAGATTTCCTTATTAATGTAGTGCTTCCTAAATTGGGGGCTCCAAGCACATTTAAGCATGTGAGCAGCTTTCCATTAAAATAATTGGGACTGAACAGTGCTTAACCTTGGCTGGGTGATGCTACATCCAGTAAACGGTAATGAAAATAATGGTGCATAATTACTGTCTTATATCTAATATTTTGATATATTTGGTTAGAGATCTAGCCATTTAGTTTTAAAGCACCCTGAGCCAAATATCAATAGAGTAAACTTGGTTCATAATATTGTCTAGCTTTGCTACACATTTAGTCATTATAGTGTTGTAAAATATTAATTATCAGAGCTACATGCTTTCAGAAATTTCATCATCGGTTTTTAAAGTTAACTGTGTTCATAATTTTTTTAGGCCAGCAGCATAATGTTCATTCCTTAAAAAATAATTTTGATTAATTTGTTGTATTAACTTAACTGCAGATATTCCCTCCAAATGTCTTTCCATAGCTTGTGAATCTGTTCATTTTGAAAATACTAAAGAAATGCATAATATAGTACCTAAGAAATCCAAAGCATGTAGAACACGTAATGATGTAAATAAAGCAAATCAGATATGAGTATGCTACTTGCCACTTTCTCCGTCTGATGTAGGACTAGTGAATTAGTGGAATCTTTTCCAATTTTAGGCAGGAGGAGGGGAAGTTGGGATGGGAAATCAGCTTAGCTAGTGGCAAAAGGCTGACTAAAAAAAGGATATGAATTTTTTAAAAACAACACCATTATTTTCTCTGACATGATTTTTTACTCCTGTGAACCTGAAAAATTATTTTACAAGTTTGGATTTAATTATTTTGGAATTCTTTGCTTCAACAATGTAAGGGTTTTTGTTTGTGGTATTCAAGCGAAACAATCAAAGCCTTGCAAATTACGCCTAAGTATTTTTCCTGCAGTGGCCGAAGACCCCGATGCAGTAAAAGGTGACTAGAATGTGTAAGACTGTGATTTGGGAGAATCTTCTGTACTTCGGGAAAATCTTAAATATCTTAAATATCCCTGGTTGGACATGCACATCTGATGCTGATCTACAAGCAGAGCATCTGCAGCACTTCTTCCATCAGTCATCTGTTCAGGAAGGGACAGGTTCCACAATGCTACAGCAACTCCCAGTTCAGTGAATTGAGGTGAAAGGTTTCAGCCAGCCAACTCAAATACATATCATTTCTTTGAATACTATGATGCATTCCCCACCTATGTTGTATTTCTAAACGACATAAACTGACTTTTAAAAAAACCTAGTTCAGTGCTTTGAATCAGATTGCAAAGGGGGAATACACCTGGCATTTTGTGCTACGTATTTTCTCATTTTAAAAAAGACACAGCATTGTAATCAAACAATAAGAAACCTCAGCAGGCAGACAGTGGGTTACAAAACTGACATGAGACACAATATTCGTAAACTGATATGAATATAATATATAAAATTGTAAATATTTATTTTGATTTTGGACAGTTGTATATTGTTGTTTTTAAACCTAGGCCAGTTGCTTTTTATTTCCACCTTTGCACAGCAAGTTATAGGCACAACCCACTAGAAGTTCTCTTGTGCCAGCCCCAATGAAATAAGTGGGAGCTGGCCCATATGACCTTCCCTATGAAATCTCCATGAAACCAGAAATAGTAATGAAATGCCATGCACTTCCAGAGACACAAGTGCACACACTTTCACAGTCCACTTGCCAGCATACGGCACAAGCCTCACATTTTTGTTCTCTTGAAGAGACAGATTTCCCAACAGCTTTCTTGTAGCTACTAGAGACTTTAGGTCTGATTATACTTGAAGTGAAGAAGAGCTCTCTCTAGAAGCATTTTCCCCAATGCTATCTCACTTTTTGTAGCTCCTGTCTCAGCCATGATGGAAGGGGTTGTCCCAATTTGTGTAGAAGCTTTGAGAGTTCCACATTGTGATCTCTGTAGTAGCTTGACAGAAAAACCCTGCACTGAGGGATACAAAAACCAACATTTTATTTGGGGAAATACTACAGTGTGTATAGTATTTTGTCTTCCAATTTACTTTATCTTGATCTGAACTCAATCCATTTTTTTTTTTTTTTGGTAAATCACATTTGGAACTAAGTATCAGCAATTGAATTACTTAAGGCACAGACAATTTAACCCATCTAATGACACTACACAGAAAAATGTTTCCTGCACACACAGCTTCCATTTCCAGCATTTGGAGCTGCACTTGCAGAACCTTTTTCAAAAGCTTAAGGCAGTATTAGAGTCTCTGAGAAGGAGTCCTAAGGGCTACAGGATTTGTTACCAAAGAGATTCAATGCTCCCATGCCTTCTCTGTGAGACTACAATAGTGCTCTAATCCTAGCGAGTCCTCCTCTTTCCACAACAACCTCTCAGGATGGGACAAACTGCTGGTCCTGGAGCTAGACAGGTGGTAGGTAACCTGTGGTCCTTCAGATGCCACTGGACTACGATTCTCAAGCCCCTGCCTATTGCCATGTTGGCTGTGGCTGTGGGAGTTAGAGTCTAAAGGTTGGGGGAACCCCCAGAACAGATTTATGGAGCTTGGGGGAGAAGAGAGGGAGAGGAAGTTCTGTTGTGCTGCCAGAAGTACAAATGAAACTACTTCGTTGGATACTGCCCCAACAATATTTGGAGGGGCACATATCCATTTTAGAGGATAACATATTTGTACTATGAGTGCAATCTTAATCCTGTATCACCTTTCCCCCACTTTTCCTGATTGTGACTGTAGGGTGGTTCAAGACTAACTCACATTTAATGAGCTTGAGTATGCACCTGATAGAGGAAAAAGAATTTTAACGTGTGATAGTATACTTCACTTATCCTGGATCATTTTAGTAGTCCTAAAGCAGGAGTAGCTGAGTAATGCTGTCAAGATGTCACTGACTACAGTAACAGCCCCAGTTGTTATGGCCAAAGGTAAAGGATGATGGGAACTGTAATTCACCAACATATGGGGTGTGGAGGGGTACTATATTGGCTTCCTGTCCTAAGCAATCACAAATCTTTTGTCCACATCACTAGGTTAAATAGTAGTAATGGATCTAGCTTGATTGGCTAGACCGTAATCTAGTTTTAGAGTATTGGAACAATTTCAGTGTCTTTCCTGAATTTGTAGAGCCATTCTACTTAGTCAATAAAATATCCATGTGATATCGTGTAAGATATTCTCTACATGGTAGTGAGCTTTATTGTAAAACCATGTTTGTGAATAAAAACTAAAAGTCTCCCACTCCTCTCTGATCACACTTTAATCATTTATGAATAAATGTGAACATTTATCCAATTATTTGTAAATATACCACATAAAAGATCTTTCAATGCATCAATTTCTTAAGGGCTGCAGCATACCATATTGATAGGGATCTGATCTGGGGTGAAGAGTGCTTTAGGGGAATGGCTGCCCTATCAAGGAGAAATCAGACAGAATTGCCACTGACATTGGTTGTAACTTTAAGAACTGTAATTTTAAGAACTTGTGACTGAGCTTGTTTACCCCTCTTCCCTCTCATTCCTTTCCCCCCTGATGTGCCATGTCTTTTTAGATTGTGAGCCTGAGGATAGGGACCGTCTTAGAACCAATTTTTGTAAGCTGCTTTCAGAGTCCTTTTGGCTAAAGGGGAAAGTATAAATGCTGTAACTAAATAAACATTCTTCATTTTTTCCAACAACCTGCAAGACTGAGATCTGAAATATGAGGTAGTTTTACAGAATCATTTAGGATGATTTATGTGGAGGAGTTACCCCTAATGTTGTATCTATGATGTTAAGCCAAGCATTTAATGAGCAAATTTTCCCCTGTGCCTTGTGTCTGTGTTTGTGACCCTGAGGTCCTTATCCTCTGCCCCTTCCTGGTGCTTGAATCCTAAAGTCCAACCAAGGCTCCACCTCATGCATATAAGTGTTCATATCTTCATTTGAGAAACAGGACTTGTGCACCTGAGATAAAGAGGATTCCTAACAAATTTAGGAATAAATTAACTAAATTCAGGATAAATTTAATTAACATTCTGGTCCTTTTCAAGTAACACAAAAATCTGAATAATCAAGACATTGCATATGACAATAGCTTTTGTGTGCTTTTGCTGAGAAACTTAGTTCTAAATAAAAATATGCAAATTTTTACAACAATCCATATGGATGAACTGCAAATGAAGTAAATGGCATACTGGGTACATTACAATTCAACCTAAGTTGTTAAGTCCCATTCATCTTAAGGGAAGAGTTAAGTATAAACTTAAGGTTTCTTTCACTGAAATCACTCTGAAGTATGTTATGTTTGGCTGGATCTTATCCACAGCACAACTGATAAGAGTTTACCTCAGAATCCATTGGAGGGTACTTTCTGCCTTTGCTCTTCCCAAGACATTTTGTTTTTCCTTCTTCTAAGAGTTGACACCAGAAGCCCTTGTGTGAGTCAAACCTGAAACATATAATGCCTTTAGATACAATGAATAACATCATTCTGCGTGTGGGGGGGAAAAGTGAAATACAAGCCATATTGCATTGTTGCCTTTTCTCCATAAACTGAGAGCTAGTTCATATGATGACCTCTAAATGAAGCATTATTAATGGACTCATCCACTGCCACCACATGCTGATGAAGCACTTCCTTGCTGCTCCCTCAAAGAAAGGTGACACCACTGAGCACTCATCATCTTTTACATGGAAGAAGGAACAATAATGGTAACATGTCCATTAGTTTCTTGGACTTCAATAAAATTTCATGAGGTGCAGTCTTTCAAATATGGTGCTGTGTGATCCCCTGCAAATGCATTATGGGATTTCTTTTTGTGTGTGAAAAAGGACAGTTTACCTGTCAAAAGATGCGTTACAGGAATATTCAAACAGAACTATTGTATTTGCGGCTTGGGTAACCAACTGCATGGATTCCATAGCCATAGCTGAGGTTAATGTGCACCAGTTCTCAGAAACATGAATATCATTTGTTCTGTTTCATTGTTTCTACCTATCCTTCTTTAGAATACTGAGGCCCATTAACATCTCTAGTGTGGGAGTCATTACAATGTTCTTCCTTCACAGACTATGAGAGTAACATAGGAAATTCCAGGTTCAATGTGAGGAGCCCATGTGATGGCTCCCCCTGTGCCATCCATGCCCGTTTTCTGGGAGGGACAATGTTTGCATGAATATAAGAAGAGTCTTGCTAGATTAGATCAAAAGCTTGTCTAATGCAATGTTCTGTTCTCACAGCGGCCAGCCAAATGCTTATGGGAAGCCATCAAGCAGGACATGAATGCAATAGCGCTCCAGAACTGGTTTTCAGAGACATACTGCATATGATACCCGAAGTAACATAAGGCCATTATGACTAGTAGTTAATTAATAGCATCTGCCATGAATTTGTTTAGTTCTTTTAAAAAGTCGACTGTTTTCACTACCCCAAGGCACGGGGTGAATTATTACGGCACAGTAGTGCACAATAGAGAGGCACTATGTCATACTCTGGACTTCATATGTGGCACACTTGTCCAAAATATTGGGTGCTGGTGGTTTAAGCAAAGATTAATATTCACCAGCTTATATAAACTGCATGGAAAAAGAAAAGAAGACACCCAAGGTTAAATAAATTCAGAGTGTACTTTTATGAGAGCTGTATCAGATCATTTAAGTGAACAAGTAACCCTAAATAGAAATCTTTTAACAAATCATTGTTCGCAAACAAGAGTAGACAGGAAAGAAAAGCATGCACTGGAATTAGATGCAGATGGGAATAATTCACAGCATCCAGGTCAAGCAGTATGGTGTAAAAGAGGCTGAAAGCTCAATAGAATTACTCTAGGGGTGAATTTGATCCATTATGTCTTTACAATGCACTTGACTTTATCTCATGGAAGATAAAGTCGGGGTTTTTTGCCACATACTCAACAAAAAAAGAACAGCACAATTGACTAAGAGGTGTTAAATAGAGAACTGTCTGGGAATGAACACTATTCTTTTTTGAGAGCTTCTTATGAAAACAGACAATGAGATTTCATACAAAAGAGCAGACTAAGGTTATCAATCTCATTTTAAGGGCAAGTGAATAAATGTTTGAATCAAAATGGTTTGTGTACATGACTATTTATTATATACACAGTGGGTCCTGTATCCCTGACACTGGCATTGTTGTGCCTTTCTAATCAAATAAAAAGAAAAGCAGCTTCTGTCCTTGCTGCTTATGGATAGTGAATCTTCTGCTGCTGAGCAAAGAGATGGAAAGGCGTTCCACTTATCCATTCAAAAGCAGAACCAATTTATAGAGAACAGTCCTTGTTTTTTCTGTCTGGTGTCTTGACTGTTCTAAAGTGGTTCACCATATGCATGTTTAAAGTAAGATTTACAGAAATAATTTTCTTCCCAGTGGTTGTGTACAGCGAACAGGATTATTGTGAATTAGCTGGGTTGTTCCCACCTCCACTCCCGAAAGGAAATCGTGATGTCATAAGGTCATGTATGAGTACATATTTATCCATGGGAATTAAATGGGGGGGGGAGGCTTTTAAAAACCCACATATTTCTAAAATTAGAAACAGTGAGCTGGTTCGGATGATCATGTCTTGACTTAATAAGACAATTTGTTTTGTGAGCCAGCTTTCTGCCTGTATATGCTGACCCTTTGCATGGGTTGTAAATAAAACAAATTAAAGCAAATTAAAAAGGCTCAAATAAACCACAATTTCTTGTTTCTTCTGAACCAGGAAGTTTGGAACAAGCCAGAATTCTAAAACAACTTGGTATTTAGCAAGCCACCAGGTATCAGTAAGTAGCAAGTGCACAGAATTCCACGCTGGTGAGTTAGTGAGAGACGGGCTGGATTTCTCCATCTCTTCTCTGCCAGTCTGAGGTGGAAGGAAAGTCACAATTCCTCAGCTTTGTCCCTCTCTGTCAACACAGTTGGCAGAAAGCATTTTTATTAACAAGCTAATAAAAATGCTTTCTGCCAACTGTGTTGACAGGTTGGCTTTCATATACAGCACATGGAGGAGGAGGCTTTCCCTCTATGGCTAGCATGAAATCAGTCCACTAGCCCCTTAGTAGGCTAGCAAAAAACAACATGTGAGCTAGTGTATTTACAAGGCAGTCTTCAATGGTTTCAAGCTGAGTCAAACTTACTCAAAAGGTGGCAACCAGTTGCTCCCCAGTTCAAACAAAATGGGAAGCTATGGTTACTTATGGACTTCCTACTTTAATTACAACTTATGTGAAGAGACTGTGTGCATAGGAAAAATGCTTACTCATATCTTGGCTTGTTAATCTGAGATACTAGTGTCCAAACTGGCTCCTTATTGCAGTTCTTACTTTTATCATACTATGCAAACTGTGTTAAATAAATCAATGAATTAACTCACGTTAGGGCTTCTGAGTAATTATAATGAGGAGTAACTCCCAGAAACTTCTGCACTTCGTCCATCACGATAGCTGGATCATTTCTCAGCTGCTGTCCATCAATAATTAGTAACTGGGGGGGGGGTAGAAAAGTCAACTGTGAATACTGTATTTAAAATTCATTATATGTCAGACTTCAAACATTTTTTCACATACGCAAAGCTCAGTCTTTAAGAGGAACTGAGGTGCCCCGGGGATCAGTAATAAATCCATTCATATTTATCACCACTTTTAATGATCTAGGAGTGAGGTAAATGGCTCACTAATTAAATCTGAAATGATATTAAATTGGAAGCTGCTTGGAATACTAGTGATGGTAGAGAAATAAAGATCTTGACCCAGATTAATTAGAACTATGGTTTGCCCTGAAAAATGCTATCAAATGTAGCTTTGAAAACAAAAGCAAGATATAAAACATATGTATATCTTCTTTTTCTTAATATCATTCAGTCTGGTGACAGTTAAATTCAGAAGCAGAACAGGAAACAGTTTTTTGGGTGTGTGCCATTCTTTAATTGCTTGTTATCCTCTTGGACCACTATGAATGAGCAAGGGGCTCTAGGAGGTAAAGCAGCTGAGTTATTTTTAAGTTGATTGACCATGTAAGCCACTTACCCTGCAAATCAGGCAGCATCTTAGCAGGAAACCGCAAAACAACAGCAACAAAGAGATTGACAGTGACTTATCACATGAAACCTCATTTAGCAGGCCCTGCCTGTCACTACTACGGTCATAGTGGGACTTAAGATAGGACAGAAAGTGAAAGAACCTTAAAATAAGAAAAAAATACTGCGGTACATCATTCCAATGAATGCATGGGTTGTACTATTCTTCTAACTTTTAGGGAAGAAGCCCCTGGATATTTTGCGGCTCAGACAGTTGCCAAAATGATTTTGAAACAGCCTACCATGAAGATCAACATTTCACAAGGTAGTAGAGAGGGAGTAAATATTTACCTGATAAGGTGGAAAGTAAGTTAGCCATCTTTCTATATGGGTAGCATACCATCCAGGTACTAGACATTTCTTTTGAAGAGCCTTAAGCTCTGCTGAAGCATGATGTCCAGCGCTGATCACTTGATAGAAGGTAAACTTTAGAGCTGCAGGGTCTTTGTGTGATCGCTGGTGCTGGAGGGGAAAATATTGAAGTAATGCAAATGGATAGCAGAATGGCCAGCTTCTACTCTTAAAAGGATACTTCTTTAATTTTAACTGCTTGACAATGCTAAATTGTGAATTTTATAGAAAATGGACAGATGAAATATATGAAAAACTAATTCCAGTAAGGATACATTGTTGATTACTTTGGGTAAAACACTAATAGGGTATGCACAAAATAATCAATATAATTTTTGTTGTTAATTAACTGTCCCTCACTTTAATTTCCCATGTAAAAGTGGGAAGAAGCTAACACTAACATCTTTCCTTGATTGCTTTTAGAGCTAACCCATTTGATGAGCTACTTTGTTGAGAAATGACCATATTTGGATTCTAGGAGGGTACAATTAGTCCTTTACCCAGGGACTTGAATATAGGTTTAGCAGTAGTAATGTTATTCTTATTAATGATAAAAATAAAATATTTTAAAAACACCATCTCAGCAATGAGAAACAGTGTGTAGTATGACTATACCAGTGACTGCCTATGCCAATGACAGTCAGATAACTCTGTTCCTTGGACTATTATTGTTAATAAGCTTAGCAGCTAGAAAACTTGAGCAGTTATCTATACAATTAGTAATAAGGCAATAGAAGCTTGAGGGACAGGCAGGCCAGAGACATCCATTGACTCTTGTAGGACACATCAAATCTTCAGCTGAAGCAGTCTGTTGCTGCTTGTCACACCACACCAAAGCTCAGTCCCTGGAATCTTCAAGTAGGATTAGTAAAGGCACTGTTCTGAGACCCTGAAGAGCTAGATGGACCAATAATCTGACTTAATACAAGGCAGCTTTCTAAATTTCTAGGACAGTATTGAATTCTATAAGAAACTAGCCATAAGGGAAAATAATATCATAATAGAAAAGTATACTATAATAAACTTATGAGAATTAAAGGAATGGATCACCAGTCTTTACCAGCAGTCCAATCCAAACCAAACCTATAGATTAAGAAATGATGCTGAAATCTTAATCCCATTTACCTAGGAATAAACACACTGAAATAAATGGGGCTTATTTATGAGTAGTCATACCTAGGATTGTGTGGTGACTTGTTAAGAAAGGCTTAATTCAAATAATGCTTTGTCCTTCAAAATAAAATAGAGGTGCATATGCTAAAACAAGCAACCCAAAATTCTTTATCATATATTAATCTAGAACCTGAATTAATTCTTAAATCTTCTACCTGATACCAGGAGTATGCTCGATCTGATGGATCAATGAGAATGGTGATGATTTTTGCCTTGGGAATCAAAGAAGCTGCTCGTTTTGGGGCTTCTTCAGAATGGAAATAGTTAGCACTCTTCTCAAAAAGGAAGTCTGTAGTAATGTTTGAAGGTGCAGGAAAGAATTCCATATACCTACAGAAAAAGAATATGTTCCTTAGAACAGTTTAGAAGTTGCAAGCATTATGCAGAAAGGAACTTATTTTGAGCACATTAAAAAAATTCAAAGACAAGCTTTATCTGTTATATTTTGTAATATGTTAAACCAATCCTAGGTGTCATTGTCAAATAGAAGTAACCAAATGTTTGCTCTTGTCTGCTAAACGGTATTTCCTAATTAGATAAATGAGAAGTTTAGAAACTTTCCAACCACACACACCTGGAATCACATTTTATCGAGGTTTTGGAGCAGGAACATTTGTTGACGTGATCTGGCCAGAAGCTGCAGCCATTCTGTCAGTGGCCTTTGATTCAGGCTTTTGTGGTAGAAAAACAAGACTGCTATGAGTTCTGACATCTCACAAACCTAGTTAGAGTGAAAAGCATACTGTATACAACTGCCTGTGAATCAATACAACTACCTTCCATGTCTGCTTTCAGCTCTGTGAGCATATTGATTCACAGACAATGCTATATGTTGTCCCTATAACTAGCCTTGCTAAATGTTAGAGTCCATGAAGACAGTCTGTCCAGGGAAACAACATTTGAGAAATTTCAACATTTTGTTTCCTTTTCCCCCAGTAATGTATCTTATTTTCTCCTTAACAACACTGTACAATACTATCAACAGAAGTGCTTCATGGAGGCTGTTCTTAGTTGTTGCAGTTCATATGATGATCAGATTTACAAAAATGGAAGAATCTGAACAAACTGTGTGTGACAAACTGTGTGTGAGTCAGTCAGCAGCAAGCATTTTAGTTGACGAACCAAATAAACATGTGATATTTATTAACCACAAACCACCTGTTGGACTTAATAATAAAAATCTGTTGCAAAAATAAAACCAATATGGCATTTGTCATTCTAAGAAAGTAGACTACTCTTATAGAATCAGCATCAATGTGTGAGAACAGAGTTCCATGAGAAAACCTGCTAGAGTGGATCTTTTCTGCGATTGGTCCATCAGGCAAAATATCCTGATGCAAGACTGGGGCCCTCTCTTCAAGGATTATTTTCTCACTACTCTCTACATGGTATCAATAAACCTTCCCTCATTGTTAACATTATGGGTAATTAGAACATTATGGTTAAGTAGAATAATATTAATATATTAGAACAGAATGGAATAATATAATATTATGGTTAAGTAGAAGACAGTGGACACAATCCAAGAGGAAGTTCATTTATGCCAAGAAAAGGACTACTTTTGCAGAGAACCCATTCATTTTAATGAGACGTGAACATGAAAATGTCCTACAGGATTTCCCTCTTGCACATGTGAGGAGTAAAACACAAAGACGTCTAAAATTACTGCTAAACTGGCTATTCCCCATCTTGCTGTTTAACGCTGTGCCTGAAGCTGGAGGTAAAGGGAAGTCAGATGGTTTCAAAGAGGGAGAAAAGTGGAATGGTTAAGCCAGACTCAACTATGTTCCCCTAAAAATATGTGGGATGGTTATAGATCCTCCTGAAAATATGTGGGCTGGCATTCCACTACATTTCGTGTACTGTTTTAGCCATATGCAGCAGCATGTTTAGGAAGATCAGCTTTTATGAAAGTGAACAGAAACCTCTAAAGAGACATGTAAGAAACACAGCAGTGGTTCTTTTTAAATTGCTACTTGCTACCTTAGTAAAGAATAGAATGTTGTGGTTTATATTGTCTTTTAGGTAGACTCAGAATTGTAGCTGCTAGATAATACTCCATTTCCATTCAAGACACAATTACATAACGTGACAAATTGTAATTAAACTTCTCTTTCTTTGTATAATCAGAAGTATCTAATTGTTTGAAATATACCAGTATTTTCCAATAGCTGTGGTAAAATAAGGGAAGAAATCACAGATGGCATTTCTTGTATTTGTAATTGATGCTACATTATTTGCACACACTTAATTTTTAGAATAGTAAAAGTTATTTTAGTCTGCATAAACAACCTCACATTGGTAATGCCATTTTTGTATTGTGCACAGTATAGAAATTTTGAGATTTATACTAGTAACCCATCTTACCAATCAATCCCCCTGTGGTAGTTATTTCTATTAAAGAACTGTACCTCCTCAAAGGTTTTGGGGCTGGGGGAGTTACTAATGATGGATGGATGCATAATCAGGAACAAATACAAAGCTGTTGTACCTGCAAAGAGAATAAAATCCAAGAGTTGAGACAAGACAGGACATTCTATCAACTGGATCCTAATTTTATACAACATTTGTATTTTGTGATAGTCATCCTCAATTATACCAGCAATGAACTTTTAAAAACATGTATAAAATGCATGCAAAACTTTCTTCAATGAACAAAAAGTACTTGTCTTTAAAAAGTTTTCTTGGATCAATGCTGAATTGAAATTTATTTAAGTAGTAGCTGTATACTGAGAACACCTGAGATTTCATTCACCTGAGATTGCAGAAGATGCACTACTTTATTGTTTTATTTAAATTTATATACCACTTTTCCATTAAAAATGTGCTCAAAGTAGCTCACAATAGAACAAAAATGCAAATCAATAAATCATTACAATAGGAATCAAATATGAAATAAATTCAAAACATAACATGACAATCCAGCAAATAACTCAGTTTGATTATATTAACATTGTAACACTTTAGAGTCATCATAAAACAAACTCAATTGTTGAAACATCAATTAATAACAAATACAGTAAATGTTCAAATACAGCTGAATGCCAACAATAAAAATAAAGGAAAGCAAATGTTCCTGCTCAAACTAAACAAGTATAAAAATATTGGTGTATGCTGGTATTTGGGTTATGTGTGGAAGAACACAACTCTAAATAAATATTTTTTGTTTTATACAATCACTTATAATTTAACAGCCATTTTGGAGTAGACAGTTGTAATGTTGGGGCAGGGTCTATGAATCAAACAGAACAGCCTTGTGCTCTGTTGGTTCATAGAAGCTGCAGTGTAGATAAGCCTGAGTTCATCATTGTTGCTCCTAGCTAATATTTTCTTCTACCAAGCCAATTCAATAAGCCCTTACCAGTTTTCTGGGGTCCAATAACCAGGAATTTTGGTAACCGATCACAGGTTTTTTCTTTTGACCAGATATCTCTGTGTCGCTTGTCATCACAAGGATTCTAAGTTAAGGAAAAAGCAATCTTTCATCATCATCATCATCATCATCATTATTATTGCTACTAGTCAACAGTAGCTAAATTGTCTAGTTTACATATTATGCTGCAAGATAAATTTAAATTTCTAAACATTAAAATTAATTTTTAACTTTATTTTTTGAATGATGAATATAAAATAAGTATTGCTGCTAGGAATCACATTTCCTTATTATAATCTAATAGCACAATCCTATGCAATCAGCACTGAGTGCAAAGAGGCTTATTCCCAAGTAATTGTGTATAGGATTGCAGCCTTAATTTATGTTTATCTAGTATCAATGCTAAAATAGTTTATATTTATTCTATTCATAATATCTGGTACCACCATGTGGGCCATTTTTGGCAAGTGGATGGGGACACCCACTTGTCAATAACCTGACATCACAGGATGATTCAAACTTCAACATAAGGATTTAGGCAAACATAAGGCATCATTCCCCGACATGGATCACTGCCTTGTCGCGGAGAAGGGGCTTGAATAACTCCAAGAAGCTCTGAGCTATGCAGTGCAGGGCCACCCAAGACAGACAGGTCATAGCCGAGAGTTTAGACTAAATGTGATCCACCTGGAGAAGGAACTGGCAAACCACTCCAGTATTTTGCCAAGAAAACTCAATGGACATAAAAAGGAGACGCTTTGAGAAGAAAGTGAGAGTTTCCAAGGCATGCTCTGGTTCATGGGGTCACGGAGAGTCGAAGACGACTAAGACTAAACAACAAGAGTTTGGATTTGATATCCCGCTTTATCACTACCCTAAGGAGTCTCAAAGCGGCTAACATTCTCCTTTCCCTTCTTCCCTCACAACAAACACTCTGTGAGGTGAGTGGGGCTGAGAGACTTCAGAGAAGTGTGACTAGCCCAAGGTCACCCAGCAGCTGCATGTGGAGGAGTGGAGACGCGAACCCAGTTCACCAGATTACAAGTCTACCACTCTTAACCACTACACTACACTGGCACCATTGGATTACAAAGGGGAGAAAAATCTCCAAATTATATATGTTGCTAGGTTGTGTAAAATACTTTGCTTTTATATGGTTTTTAATAAGCAGAGGTATAGAAAGGGGGGGGGAGTAATGATAAAAGTGATACTGATTTTATAACATTCGGTTAGCAATCAAAAGCTTTGCTTAGTTAGATTCAGATTAGTAATCTGACATTAAGGGTAGAAAGCAGTTTTATGTATGCGGTATATGATTTTTATGCTGCATGTTCAATCCCTGAGATCTACAGGTAGGGCTGAAAAAGACTATCTGACTGCACAGAAGATTAAGCAATCTGTCCGCTCTATCCCTTATAGCATGTTTCTTTTGCAATCTTACCTGCCAAAGAGGGTCCTTTTGCTCTGGGAAGAGTTCAAAGTACTTGTGAGCCAACTGAATTGGAGGTAGTGTCTGCAGCTTCAGGTTAGTCCAACTCTGAACAAAATTAGCCAGATTGACAAAGGTGTACAAACCCAAGCGGTCATTCCCATAGTTAGACAAGTGAGTCATGAAGATGCTGATCTGTAAAACAAAACACATTTTTCTTACGGTATCACTAGATGGCAGTGAAGTTCCAGGGAAGATAACATCCATGCTATTTGTCCTTAATGCTCTGGCTACGCATGCTCTTATTGACAGGCGTATCCTATGCTCTGCTGTGGTGGTAAGACAGCACAGTAAAGCACATTGGGCTCCCAGGGCTGGTATGACATGGCTAGTTTCTATGCAGCATGCAGTTAGTAGTGCATCAGTGAAATGATGCTACATCAGCTGCAGTGATAAACTAAGTAAAAAAGAATTTTGGAAGCATTGGGAAGACTTGTTCTCTACCACTATAGACTTTGAATCAGTTATGATAAGTACCAATTTTTGGCCAGCAAATGTGCTTGGCAAATGAACAGCTGTTCAATTATTATTATCTAAATATTTTATTAAATGGACTGTATAAATAATATCCCTCCCGCCCAAAATTTTCTTACAGGAAACGGAACAAAAATAATAATCATGTATATTGTTATTAGATGCATATAAAATAAAGTTCCTCCAGATGGCTTAAAAGGTCTGTGGTTCCTTTTCCCCTGGTTGGAGTCTAATTTCTATGCCAAGCAGGTAAGTCTAGATCTTCCAAAGATTTCCTTCTCTGAACTACAGATTGCTGTGTAGTGATCAACAAATAAGGTAGCAATCCCTTACATGGTAACAGAATTCCCTGCAAATTCAGCAAATAAGGTAGCAATCCCTTAAATGGTAACAGAATTCCCTGCAAATTCAAGTTATATATAAGGTGCATACAATATCTAACAGTTCCCCATGAGCTGCTACTTTCCCTGCTATACAACCCCTGGAAACAAATACAATACCATTGGTTACACTTCCCTAGAAAAGATCTGAATGTCGTTAAAAACAACTGTCTGAATCAGAAGGGATTAGTCAACCCAAAACTTGTGATTACGAAAACCATGCATTCCTCTCCAAAGGCATGGGCTCTTGTCTCTGACCTCACCTCTAAAAGACGGCGTGAGACCAGAGACAATCCCACACTCCCTTTCACAGCTCTCAACTTTGAGCTGGTGAAAAGGGTGGGGATTTCATGCAAAGCAAAAACGAAGCCCTTGTCCCACCTTTCACTCAGAGCTGGAAAGGGAGAGTCTGGAGCTATGTTGTGTTTCTATACTTGCTGGGTTGTTGAAGTATCTGGCAGGTGAGAGCAAAGATGCTACACCTGTGTACCCCTACCCTGAGGCAGAATCAAACCCCAAATTGCATGCTTTCCTTCAACTTTGGGGATGGATCCACTATTATTTGGAATAGAAAGACCAGATAGTTTGACTTGGTGTAAGGCAGCTTCCTGTGTTTCTATGGATCACGTTAGCAGTCCTCCCTACCCCACACCTCCAGGATTGGGAGTCCAGGGCTCATCACCCTCTCCAGAAAGCGATTGAACACATGCCACTGCAAGTAAAAACTGTAGAGCCCTGCTAATCAGGACAACTAAAGTACATACATTAAAGAGAAAGCATTGTATTTCAAACAATATTGTATTTTTGTATTCACAATACCAAATGCAGTATTTTTCTACAAAAGCTGCCCAACTAGCAAACACAATGCTGAACTGCCTAGCCTTGCTTACATGGGAAACAGCTTGAATATCTTGTTAAAAGGCCAATTAATTGTAGGAATGACTGGATGTGCTAGAAATTGAAATACAGTCTAATATTATAAGACATTTCCTCTGGCTCAATCTGAGATAAGGTATTTCTTTGCATGACAGGAAGAAGGTATGATATTATTTAAACCTTTTCCTCACCCACAAAATCAAGGTTTAGAGAAGGAAAGTTGGATTTGCAGCTTTCAGGTTGCAATGCATTTTAAAATGTACCTTCTATGCACTCCATTTCCACCCAAAGCTCTGCAATTCTATTTCTGTGCTGCTTCTTTAGCAGAATTTGCAACAAGCATCATTTCACAGAGAATTTGTTTAATGAGTGTCACCTTGTGACACTGCCTGGCTTGTGACTAAAGCCTGGGGCTTCATTTTTTGTTATTCTCAAAGCATGAAGAGATACAAAGAGATATAATTCATAGAACACAATCCCCCTTATAAAGCTAGAATGGTAAAAAAATGTATTTTCAAAAGATGGCTGTGTTCCCTTCAGGCAAGGAATAATGTATTTTTTGGCCACATGTATAACCTTTTCAAATTTCTTTTATTATTTTTAGTGCTGAAGCCAGAAGTAGTCTAGAAACTGGACTGTTACTTTCAACAAAGATATAATTGGAAGGTTTCCCCACAAAAGGTAAGCTTGATTTTTCAGCAGCTTCTTTTTCCTCCTACACCTGTGCTGACCTCTGACATTTATAATGTCAGTTCACCTCCCGGCAATTCTTTACCTGCCAACAACTTTAACACTGCACTGAAAGAGGGGGAAAGAGAGAGAACTTGAAAAGGTTAGTAGTTCAGGGAAAATATGTATTATTCTTTTCCTGAAGCAAATCTCACTATAATCCTAAGAATGTTATGGTGTGGAGGGTTTTTACTCTTTTTCCTTTTTTTAAAAAAAGTGGACTAAATAGATCATAATAAATCATTTTCAAAAAGAAGATGCTTTGCCAGGGAAGAGAAAAAAATTAAACATGGACCTCAAATTCAGTTTTAGTTCCACTCTGCCTCTGCATTACAAAATGTTCAACATATTTGCAAGAAAAGAGACATGATAAAATGTTAGTTTCAGCTCATAGTGTTAAATCTAGGTTTCCTTCGCTGTTTTAAAATATGTTTATTATATGTTTACACAACTGTTAGAAGGGATTCCAAAACCTGCTTGTCATGTTTTTATGTTCTACTCAGGAAAGCTTATCACAGCAAAGTCCCAGATGTTTACAGCTGCTTCTCTATGGAGACAACTTTATATTTAGGAAGCCCACTAGTTCTTTGTAGTACTGTGAAGTCCAGCCCTTGAATGGCACCAAGACAAGACTCAGCAGTACGGAAGGAGGAATCATTTCACTGCAGCACTGTGATGGGAGAAGCCATGCCAGGAAAATTGGCACTTCATCATCTCTTAACCATTTTTAGCAGCCTATAGTAAGGCCTGCCAATTGTAAGTCGGTCCAGGAGAGAACTTGAATGTATGTGAAATGTTCAGTTTATCAAAATAACATTCCACATGTGTAGCTATGTTAGTTTCCATAAGCAAATCCTACGAAGAGCATTGCCTTACATTAAATAATTATACACTTAATATTAGTACAAAGGTCTCTGGAACTGGAGCTCATTTCTTCAGATGTGTGAAAATGCAAAACCAAACTAGGAACAAAAACAACCAGCAGTTCATTATGCTTAAGCCCTACAATACATTTCCTACATGTGAATTGGTCCTGAGCAATTTCTTAGTGAATATATGCTTTCCAATTCTTCTCAAGCAAATGTGAGTCAGCAATGCACTGATAGCCTTTAACACCCCTCTCCCTTTTAGAAAAGGCAAGACAAGACTGAATGAATTCTACTAACCTTTCCACCCTTTAAAATGTGTGTTTTGGTACATTATTAAATTGCATCCCACCATCTTAAAAGCTTTCTTATTAGAGCAGTTCAGCATTTTGTTGCTTCAGTGAAAAAACACCCACCCTTTTTCACCTTTTCTCCCAAATGAACTTGAAATCTAGCAGTGTTTCATTGCACTCCAAGGAAATTAAGATCCTTAAAGGAGAAAATTGAATTGAAAAAAATGTTTTAAATGATGGTTTAGAGCTACATTTGGCCCCTGGCTAGTAACTGTTTTTTAATTTTCATCTTTTTCAGAAGAGTAGCAAAGTTTCTCGATTTTGTTTTCCCATTGCACATAACCCTCTGGGCAAGCTGGATAATCATCTCCTTTTGACTTCTTGATAGCATGCCTGCTTTTGCACACTGCAAAATCAAGAGTGGCAAAAGGTCTCCCTCCCCTTTGGATCTGTGTTCATTCCAAACCCTTGAAGTAGCAAACATTTCACCCAGCTTTTAGTTTATGATGAAAACATGGAGCAAAAAAGAAAAGAAAAAGAAAACAAGTATTCAGATAATACATCTTAAAATAGTTCAATGTTTTCTTGACAATGTGCTATTCTGCAACAGAACATCTCAGTTGAACCCAACAGATTAGAGGGCAGGGCCTACTGCAATACACAGCCTCCATTCATCTGACAAGACCCATTGAACCAGTTGAGAATTGCATACTGACACTGCTTTGTGGATAACATTGAAATTACAATATCATAGAATGGAACCATATCAGCTATTGTCCTTTTGTTGGTATGGGTTTTACTTTCTAACACAGTACTCCATTCCTTCTTAGTACTGGGCCCATTTCCATTTAAGTTCATACCCTTATTTTGGTTGAAGCACTCACAAAACCTATCATCAGTGGGAGGAACCCATTCACTGTGGTTTGATCACACAACTACAACCTACCAGAGCTTTCTAAACTTTTCATGTTGGTGACACACTTTTTAGACATGCATCATTTCAGAACACAGTAATTCAGTTTTACTAGCAAACTAGAGGTTAGATTAACCCCTTCCAGCCCTGGGAGGAGTGTGGGGGTGTTTGCATGACACACTTACACACTGCAGCCAACACACATGTCACGGCACAGTTTGGAAAGCTCTGACCTAAATGGTTGTGAATTCACCTTTAGAAAGCGACTGAAGTTCCCATGTGGAGTCAGGGTAGCTTTATGAGGACTCCAGCTGAGGGAGGGAGGCTGGAAAAAACACTCTACCTTGGTCCTTTCCCCCTTCATCCAGTCTCAGGTCTCCAACATTCTCTGATATTTCTATTTGAATGCCTATCACCCCAAACTCAATTATGCCTGAGCCTGAATTTTTCATATTTGACCCTAAACCTGCCTCTCCTCAATTACTCCTCATCTCTGATGATAGCATCATCATCCACTCTATTGTCCCAGAACAAAGCCTTGGCTTTATTTTTAATCATCCTTTTCCTTTGCACCTATATTCAATCTACTGTCAGGACATGTTGCTGCGTTCTATACAACATAGAAAGCCACCCCTTCCTGTCTGTCCTCTCAGTTCTGTTGGCATCCATCCATTCGTCTCAGGAAACAATGGAGGAGTTTGCCTTTGGGGGTGAGATCAAGCTGTTGGAAGGTTGCAGCGCCTGCTGTGGCTGTAGAGACTGATGCGGGACAGATATATTTTGTTGCAGCTGGAGGAGATGAAGGTGTCTGGTTGTGCTGCTGCATGTGGAAGGTGGTCGTAAGTTGCCCAGGACTCACTTCCATAAAGCAGCATTCTCAACATGCAAGCCTGGTAGACCTTAGCATCACATTCTCCTCTCAGTTAAATCTCTGATATATGCTCTACTTAAGTCCTGCCCTGACCACTAAAAAAAAGGATGAAGGAAGGAAAGTGGTAACTTTGTGGGTAAATAATTCAGCTTAAGATAGGAAATATGGGTTCTAAAACTATATTAATGAAAATCGGAAAAATGCATTCCTTAATTTTGCAACTGAACTTAGAAGACCAGATGAGCACACAATGAGAAGATTGGCAGGTCTTCTGAATACTATTCAGGGTTCTGAAATATCAGTGATATTTTGAAAACTTCCTTTTGAAAATGTTTGCTAGCACCAATAGCTTCGAACAATTCAATTCCAAGTACATATTTTCAAGTTGCTAATTCAATTTCTTACATCTTTTTGTCATGGGCTTAATTTTGGCATTAGGTTTACTTGATACATTGTTTAATAATAGGAGCAGAAGTAATGTCATGTAATCCAGTGCTTAAAAACAAAATGAATGGTGGTTAATGAATCTGTTTCACTTAAGTGCTAGAAGCAAATATTCTTTTATTTTAATATAGTGCTGTTATTTTAGCTGCAGAACAAATGTTTACAGGCCACAAGAGCGTGTTTAACTTTCAGACCATCTATTTTCCAATTAATTTTGCATTGTGTACACTGTGTATGTTGGTCCCTGATATTGTCTCCATATTACTCTGAAGAGTTCAGTCTCAGGTATTCAGAGACTCTCAACAGCTGCTCTTGCTCCATTAGACTCACAAAGTGACAGAATAATGAATTAGGTTTCTGTCTGCACTTGAATTTATTTTCTTAAATTTGTGAAGGAAAAATAACCTTTTTTTGGTGGGTTTCTGGATGAAACATCGGCTCTGGATCCATTCCAGTCCGGCTACCGCACTGGTCATGGGACCGAGACGGCTCTGGTTGCCCTAACAGATGATCTTCGTAGACAGCTGGATCAAGGCGGGTTGGGGCTGCTGATTCTTCTAGATCTGTCAGCAGCTTTTGACATGGTCGATCATGAACTCCTGGACCACCGCCTTGCCGACGTGGGGATCCAGGGCACAGTCCTTCAATGGCTGCGCTCGTTTCTCTCTGGTCAGGGACAGAGGGTGGCGCTTGGGGGGGAATTGTTATCGCGCCACTCCTTGGTGTGTGGAGTACCTCAGGGTGCGATACTCTCCCCGATGCTTTTCAACATCTTTATGCGCCCCCTCGCCCAGCTTGTCCGGAGTTTTGGGCTGGGTTGCCATCAGTATGCTGATGACACCCAACTGTATCTGTTGATGGATGGCCATCCTGACTCGGCCCCAGACACACTGACCAGATGTTTGGACGCTGTGGCTGGATGGTTATGTGGGAGCCGGTTGAAGCTAAATCCTTCGAAGACAGAGGTCCTGTGGCTGGGATGGGACGATATGGGATTGGGGGGCAACTCCCATCTCTTGCGGGGGCGCAATTAGTGCCAACACCGTCCGTTAAGAGTTTGGGTGTAATCTTCGACACCTCCCTTTCCATGGAGGTGCAGATTGCAGCTATAACAAAGGCGGCATTTTTCCATCTCTGCCAAGCTAAGCAGTTGGCTCCTTACCTCTCTCGCCCTGACCTAGCCACTGTGATCCACGCGACGGTCACCTCCAGACTGGATTATTGTAACTCGCTCTGCGTGGGGCTGCCCTTGAGACTGACCCAGAAACTCCAGCGGGTGCAGAATGCTGCAGCAAGACTCCTTACGGGGTCTTCGCTGCGAGATCACATTCACCTGGTGCTATACCAGCTGCACTGGCTCCCGGTGGAGTACAGGATCAGGTTTAAGGTGCTGGTTTTAACCTTTAAAGCCCTATACGGCCTAGGACCCTCGTACCTACGGGACCGCCTCTCCTGGTATGTCCCACAGAGAAACTTACGGTCTTCAAATAAAAAGATCTTGAAGGTCCCAGGCCACAGAGAGGTTAGGCTGGCCTCAACTAGAGCCAGGGCTTTTTCGGCTGTGGCTCCGATCTGGTGGAACACTCTGTCACAAGAGACTAGGGCCCTGCGGGACTTGACATCTTTCCGCAGGGCCTGCAAAACAGAGCTGTTCCACCAGGCCTTTGGCCAGGGCACAGCTTGACTCCCTCCCTCAGCAATCTTCGCGGAGCTCTGGCCCAATGGTAGCCAGTGGCTTGATTTGAATTAATTTTATAATGAATGATTTTAGAGTGTTGTTTGTGTTGTACTTTTGTACTGTTTTATTGTTGTTAGCCGCCCTGAGCCCGGCTTTGGCTGGGGAGGGCGGGATATAAATAAAATTTATTATTATTATTATTATTATTATTATTATTATTATTTTAAAAAAAAGATAGATGGCATGAAAGAGCACTATTCAAAGTTTGAAATAAAAAGGGTTCTGCCTGCAATGTCACACTTTTCTTCAACATAAGCTGTATAGGAAAATCTCACAGCTACCACAGATCTCCATTAGTATGGTAAATATCTATAAGAGATGGTTGGCTGAAAACTCAGTAAGTAGTGCTTTAGTATCACTGAAATCAATGGAACCAGATAGTCATGGCTAACCTAAGTCACATTGATTTCTGTGGGAGTAGATTTAATCTTGATCCAATCCAGAATTATTATTATTATTATTATTATTATTTTACAGAACCTGTTGGACTGCATAAATAATACAGAAAGCCATATTTTATTACAGATAGGCAGGGCATAACTGCTCAAACAAAACTGATTGTGTCTAGGATCCAAAGAAGAATGAGGTTGCTTCTAGTGCTGCAGAGAGCCTGGAGCAGCACCCTTTATGGTGGCAGGGCTGTAAGTGGATGGCAACATGGCTACACATATCCATCCTTGAACTTCTCTGGAACCAAGCTTTCATCTACTAGCCCAAAGAACAGGACTTGATGTCTGGAAGGTTTCAGCTCTGCCACACTGAGAAATTACTTGTGCCCTTAATTTCAGTTCCGTAATTTATAACATAAAATGCACTAGAACAACAGAGTTCTAAAGTATTTTGTCCCACAGATGATATCAAATCTGCCTAAAGCATGTACTGAAGCAGAGCATCATGCATTACGACACTGAAGGAGGTTGATGTGGAACATGAAAAGAGAGAGGGAGCAGTCTTGGGAGGAAAAAGGATCTGCTGAAAAATCAAGCTAACGTTTTGCGAGGAAACCATTCAATTATATATTTGCAATTAAAAGATGCAAAGCTGTCAGTTATTTAATTATCACTATTATTTAGAGGAAATATTGATATTCTGCACAAAATGTGTTAGGTTAGTTATGTAGGTTGGTTTCATGGACTAAACAGTTAATGCAATAAAGGTTTCGAGGATGGGTATAATACTGTTTGAAATCTCTTATCTGACCTGTTGTTTTCATCATCTGTATTTCAGTCATACCAACAAATTCTAAAGGCATACTATAAGCAGTACAGAAAGCCATCCCAAATTTGCAGCAACATCCATTTTTCTTACCTTTACAAGGCCATAAATAACATACAGGTATGATAAATGCCAATGTATGGTTCTCCATCTCTTTATAGGAAATCCACAGCAAAGCTTACAAGGGCAATACATCTGTGGCAGCCTGGTATGATATCCTGATGAAGCACTATTACACTTAAGGCCTGTAAAGTGCTATGTGATTCCAACTCATTGTTCAGAAAGAGCCACAGCTGGAGGAAACGAACTATTTAAATTAGACTTCCATTTTGAAAAGAGGCTAATGGTGCCAGCCATATCCAGAAAGCACAGAAACGCCACACAGCCATTAGGATGAATTGGGGGGGGGGATGTTACAAATCTCCACCATTGCAGTGGCTTTCTTATTAAAATTTCAGTAACACTTTTTTTGGAGCTAAAATTAAGGTAACAGACAGAAATGAGTATATCAAAAATATATACTAAATATTGCATCAGAAAACCCTATCATTAGTTAAATTAGTAAAATAATAATAATCAGGAGTTGTATCCCAGAAAATCATTGTGTGTGAGGCACAGCTTAGAATAATAGAATCTTAGAGTTGGAAGGGACTCAAGGGTCATCTAGTCCAACCACCTGCAACTTCTTTGAGCACAATGGAACTCCTCCCAAGTACCCCCCAGATCTGCCATGGAGGTTTGCCTAACCCTCCAGAGTGGGTTTGGGGGAAGTGAGAGGGCGCTTCCATTGCACTCATGGAAGGCATTCCATGCTGTCAATGATTTAGTTGGATACAATACCAGGATTCTAGGCAAATCAAATTATCTCTTCTCTTGCCTCTAGAAGGTTAATACTGAGTGACACCATCAGGTTTCTCTGGGTAGCATGTGGCACGGGGCTTGTACTTCAACAGAGATAGCTCTTATTTTGTGTTATCTGGTTTTTGGCAGAGGGTGGAGTAACAGGACCTGAAGCACATGCCTTTCAGTTGGTCTAGAACAGCGATTCTCAACCTGTGGGTCCCCAGATGTTGTTGGACTACAACTCCCATCATCTCTTGCTAGCTAGGGGTGATGGGAGTTGTAGTTCAACAACATCTGGGGACCCACAGGTTGAGAAAAGCTGGTCTAGAAGGTTGCCAGTTTTTCATGAGGAGGATAACTGCTCAGGATATACTGAACTCAGGCCATTTATGGCCTTCATTCACAGAATGTACCATTCCCCATGTAAATATAGCATAAACATATACAGGAACATGATTGCAGAATGTATGTGTTATCTATTGTAGCTATGGAATAATGTCTACATGCATGGCAGGAAGCAGACATAAAGTAAAGATACAGAAGTACTCCTTTAGATTTATAGACAGGTGTGTTTGTATGTTGAACTCAACTTGGCCCTTGGGTATAATTGCTCTTCTACTGGCTCAGAGATACTGATAATGCCTTCCTGTCATGTTTTATTAGCAAATCCTGCAAAACAAATATACTACTGAATGGCACTGTTCTATATCTGGTTCAAAACCTACATGTTTAGTTTCTTCATCATTCACAAGATGCCCTTAGGAGACCGGTAGCATCTCATCCTTTGAAACACTGAATGGAAGTATGATTCTACTAGCCCATAATATTTATTTTAAATTGTCAACAAAGCAAGAAAGAGAGATGCAGCAGGTCAGATCTAATGGAACCCTACTGCACTTGAAAGGAATTATTCCATTTAGGATGGGGAAAGCAATTTTTGCCCATTTCCCCCTTCCTGCTGCAGCCCCTGGTATCAACCTCTTCACTGTTCCATAGGAATCCAGATTTTCATAGGGTGCCATAATACTGCATGGGGAATGGAGGAATCTGTGAAAATCACCACTTCTGTTTGTGGAACTTTCTATAAGTGCAACTTTTCATTAGCTAGGAACTGTCCCAAATGATTTCAATATGGCCACCAAACTTGAGGACTTGTCCTTATCATGTCACAATCTGCACAATGGCCCCTGTCATGTTGATCAAGAAGCCTCTAGCAGCTGTGGAACAACATAACCACTACTGTTTCTAATTCACGTAAGGAGACTATTGCGGCAACAATTATCTGCTTCATTGAGAACTTACAGCCTTATCTCCCTTACATTCTAGTAGTGGGTTAGCCCAAGGAAGTAAGCAATAAAAACAGAATAAAAATATGCTCAAAGGCAATCAAGTTCTTACTATGGATCAGCAAGCAAGTATTGTTGCAGAAAAATCACCACAGTACTGTCAAAATGTAATACCATCAATGGTAATAACAGTATCACTGACTTGAAAATGAAGAAATATTAGCATGGCAGACAGCCATGTCTAGAAGCAATGCAATGTGAAGCAAATTGTCACCTGAGGTGCCAGGCTTGAAGTCATGACAAAAAAAACAAAAACAAAAGAATTCAATGCTGAGCAAAATAGGTAGCGTTAATTACTCAGGCAGGAAAAGTTTAAAAATGTATATTCATCAAATAATCTGTGCCTTGGGATAGATAAGGGAGACATTTAATGACAGTAATAAACACAAAGTACTGTGGGGAAAAGCTGCCACGATCCCTCTCCTTCCTTCCTAAACACTGGGTACACATACCAATGTTGTTGTTTAGTCGTTTAGTCGTGTCCGACTCTTCGTGACCCCCTGGACCAGAGCATGCCAATACATACGCCAATACACATACCAATACAAAGTATAAAGGGCAATTGGAAGCCACAAAATGGGTCTGTGTGTATACAAACAGGACTGCACTGCTCTCACTGAAGAAATCTAAAATGGAAGAGTCTTCTGTCAGCAAAGCCAGTTTAGCCCAATGCAGTAGACAAAGCTCCAAGACTTTATGAGACAAGAGGAGGCCCATAACCTAACAAAAATGGTTTTGAGAATTTCTACTTAGGGCAGGAAGGCACAACCCATCTGTATGAGCATACGAAGCCCCTTGCAAAGAAACAACAGTTACAGGGAAGCAATTTAAAATACTGTACATAAAACTGGTTTTTGTGGGAGGGGTGGGTTGTTGTTGTTTTAGCTTGTGGGCTTTTTGTTCTTTTTTATTATGTATTTTGTCTTTTTATCTTGTATTTTTATGTTTTGAACTGCCCTGAGATCTAAAGATGAAGAGTGGTATACAGATTTAATAAATAATTATAAAATAATAAGTGTAATCCCGACCAAATGAATTAAAGTGAAAAATGAAATGACAGGAACAGCTGCCTTACATTAAACCAGACCATTAGTCCATCTAGCTCACTATTGTTTACACTGAATGGCGGTGGCTCTCCAGGGTTTCAGACAGGGGCCTTCCCCACTCCTACATGGAGATGCTGGGAATTGAACCTGGGGTCTTCTGCACATAGAGCAGGTGCTCTGTCACTCTACTAGGGCCCTTCCCTATTCTTCATGCACTCCATCCACGCTTGCTAGCTCCTACTTGGTGGTCTCACTAGTTGGCTACAAATCATATTAAGGCTGCAATCCCCCCCATACTTACATGGGAGCAAGTTCCATCAAATTCAACCAGACTTACTCCTAGGTAGATAAGCAGAGCTTTGCATTATACAAGCATTTACCCCAGTGAGTCTGACCCTCCGTAGCCTATGGGTGTGCAATGATTATTTAAAAGTGAATAGTGTGCTATCAACTCCCACTGTTCTTTATGCACTGCTGGAATTTATGCTCTCTACATGCTTTATGAACACAATGGTTTTTGCTGCTAGGATAATTTTATACCTGCTATCAGATCACAGTTCAGCCAGGGACAGAGGGGACGTAAACCAATTCCACAAAAGTGCATGCATTAGAAGACTACTAGATGAGCTATTTTAGAACACAAGCTTTTATGTTTCCCACAAACACAGCAAACAGATAATGTTTTTGTGCATAGTACTAAACCTGAAGGATCTGGAAACTTAGAAGGGAATAGAGCTAATATAAATGATCAAGTCATGTAAGACATTCACATATGCTATTCTTTTACACTGCTGTGGCTGTTTTTTGGCACAGAGGAGGATGTAAAATAAACTTCATAGCACAGCCAAGGTGGTGCTCTCCAGATGTTTATGGAGTACAACTTTCATCAACCCCAGTCGGCGCATCCAAATGGTCAGGGAATATGGCAGATGTAGCCTAATGTCAACTGAAGGGTGCTAAATTATCTTACCCCTGTTATACATTTATTTCCATTATACAGTTAGATCTTGAAGTGCAGTTTGGTCTTGTCCATGAGCTGTAGGGATGACCAACATGGTACCCATGAAGGCCTTCAATGGCACATCTGGGCAGAAGCCCCAGTTTCTAAGTTTTTGTTTAAAAAAGTACATCTCTAGCCCTCCTAAGAAGTAAGTTATGAAATTAAATGTGCAGGTACCATTATAAGTGATTTCTGTGAAATGAGCCAGCTAGCTGCTCCCATCTGTCTGTGTTTTTAACCAATGAATTTTAGCTATGACTGATAAGTGAATTGCTCAGACATCAGGCAAGAGGAATCCCTGGGGTCCTAAAGAGCTGCTGTTTTCCCCTTCCCCTCAGTGCACTTTTCCTGTTTCTGTCTTTCTTTCTAGTCCTTGGAATCTCTATAGTTTGTTCTTTTTCTCCTAACAACCAGGATACAACTTTCCCATGGTGGGTTCATCTGAAATCAGGCAGTCCCTGAAAATTATTTTCTGCAAATACTACTACACAATAAGTGTGGGTGGATTTCAAAGAATCACCCTTTCTTCAAAAGGTAAATATGAAGACTTTGCAAAGAGGCTTATGCATGTTCAGCAGCTGAACACCATTAAGAATTCATTGTACAGTCAACTTAAAAGTACAATGGAAGCCATGCCTATCAAGAAATGTGTCACATTGTGTTTAATGGGGTTAAGACAGCCTAGGCTTGGGTTTAAGGTTGGCATTGGAGGAAAATAGGGGTTTTGTCCTGTATGGCAGGCAGAAATTGAACAGGTTAAGTCTTTTGTATAGCTTTAACTAACTAAACTAAAACACAGAGGGTTAATGTGACTAACATTGGACAACAGAGTATGTCCATTTATTTTGGTGGGCCTACTCTGCATGTGACTTAGCTGGATATCACAAATAACTTTTACCACCATGTTACTAAGCAAACAACAGAATATATTGAACCTAGATATTTAATTTTAGAAATACATGTGACAAAAGTATTTGACCTTAAACACATCAGTGATAGCAGCTAAATAAAAATACTGCCAGTGGTTTAACTTGCAATTTCTTAAGGTTGTGGGCCTCTTTAAAACAAGCTCAATGATTATTTTCTTTAAATGTTTTAAAATAATGTGATTTACTTACTGGATTGAGAACAACAGTGAAAAACAGTTCCCCACCCTGTATACTTTTGTTCAGTTCTTTAGGACCACCAGGATACTCTTTGTAGAAAATGGTGTGAGTAAAGAGACCACAAGTTTGTCGAGGAAGAACCTACAGAAAAACAGTGAGGGGAAGGGCAGAATGAGGCATGATCTACCCAAAGCAGAGCTCTTGAGTCCCAGAAATTTTAATGGAAGAGATATTAACATGCACTTAATTCTCTCACTGTAATTGGTACAACTTGAATATGCTTAACTTTGTTGGGTGATTTTTTTAACCTTAATTTTGATGTACAGAAAAATGCACAGAATAAAGAGAAGCTACAAACTCCTGGGGCAGCAGCATATTGATAGGTACAGTAGCAACACCCCATATTGTGCCAGTGTACCAATGTCCAAAGAAGCACCACATGAGCAGATTACTTGTTAATTTATTTATATATGTATTAATATATTTAATAATGCATTGATATTTGTAACTTTGAAAAAAAACTTTTTTTGCCAAATTGTTTTTATTGATTTTCCAAATCTTATCAAATCAACCACAAATTAAAACTAATTTAATAATTTCCCCCCCCCAAAAAATTGGCCAAAAAACCCCCTTTCAATGTGACCTACAATCATCTCAGGCTTGTCAGTTCCCCATTCCCTCCTCCTTCTCTTGACACAGCACTGAGGAGGAGATCAGATGCTTTCTCTTCCATTTTAAACAAATGTTCATCATCAGAAACCAAACAGCTCACCATGATGTTTTTGTGGATGAAGCCCCTTCTGTACCGTGCAGGTTTCAGGTGTGGATACTCTTCTGTGCTGGTGATTCTGATATTCCAGACTTTCTTCCAGGCATCGTAAAGTTGGACGTGGACAGGATAGACGCCAGAATGGTGTGGAGCTACAGCATATCCCAGATCAGTTGGAATGCCATGTTCCTGAAACAAAGCAAAACAAAAGCCTGGAGAGCTCATCACTTAAAAGCTCTCTGTGGGCCTCTCACCCAAGCAAATATATGAACAAGTGTGATAATGCTTTCTTTCACATCTTGCTTTCAGGTACAGTGCCACAGAAAAGATGACAAAAATGGCAGGCAGGCATTTTGGTCCACTAGTGGAAGAAGTCCAAAAGCAACAGTAGCATACCCTTATTAGCATTAACTACCGGTAAAAGTGACAAAGTAATGTGCAAGGTCCCTTTCCAGCTTTTCAGCTGTCATGGAACTTAACATACATTTTTCATCTGCATAAAGTATGATAGGTATAATATATTTTGCAATGCATAGAAACAACAACAACAAGGAGGAAATCAATATGTAAGTTTCTGAAATTCAATCACTTTTATGACTTGCTTTGCTTTTCATATATGTCTATACATGCAGACAACCTGTTAAATCCATACATTGATCCTTATGATATTGTTATTCCAGTTGACATTCTGTTTCTTTCCTTCTGCACAGAATAAATTCAAAACCTACAGCAGGTTGGGCAAATGTCAGCTTGAGACTTTTCTTTCAGGTTCCTTTTTCATGCTAATGAAAGCTTATAAAGGAAACTTATAAAGTAGCTTCCTCCTACATTTTTTCTGATTAGTTCAGTGCACTTTTTGTCTAAGATCTCCTCTGTTGCAAGTGCAATAGCATGTGGCCTTTGTGTCTTCCATTCTGTAATGATCATGACTTCCATTCAACAGTAATGCCACCAAGGTTTCTCTTTTGTTGTATCTCTAGCAGTGTTCTATCAAGATATCTAACATGCAAATTATCCTCCCTGAATAACTTGTTAATTTAAATAGACTTATGTGGCTTATTTTAAAATCCTGGATGAACCCCATATGCCTAGATAATGGCAAATCTTTTTCCTCCAGATTTTTAATCTTTTTTATAAGCCTTACACTTTAAAGCTTAAAACGAAGGCTGCTGTGTAATTTTAAGTCTCTACTTTTTTATTTCACTAAATTCAATTTAGGTCTCCTTTGGATATTCCTATCTGCCAGCATAATGCAATTTCAAAATTCTGTTTTAAAGTTAAATTCCTAAACTGGTCCCTGTGTGCCTGCTGATTCGCACTGAACATTTCTCCTCAACACTTCTGTTGCTGAACAAAGGTTCAAGATGCCTAGCCATATTGTACGTAGCACAATAATCAATATAACTGGCTCTCCATTTACCAACTCTTATATTTCTGAAAATTAGGCTGAAACAAGAGGTTGCAATGCAAGAACTGTATGTAAGAGTAATGCTAAAGATTTCTCCCTAAGAAACATTTTCCAGATCACAGTACATAACTTTATAGGATGACTGCACACATAAATAATTTATTGACATATTTGTTATCAATATATTAATTCACCCATGTAAAATGTATACAAAAATACTTGAATTAAGAGCAGAAAGCAGATTACAGGCAAAATGGAGATCTTTTGGCTTTCTGCTGTTGTTTACTTCAAGTATAATTTTTTAAAACAACATTAGCAGTATTCTTGATACAATTTTCCTTACCCAAAACAGGGCTAGCCAATAAAGGTAGTTCTGCATAATTCCCCTGGGATAGTTTAATATTTATGTGAATTTAAAACAAATAAGTATATATAGGTATGCTTCCAATTTATCTGAATGTTTATACTTACAATGGAAAAACCCAGTGTATTTTCAATACTTTCTATATGAATATTCAGTATCTGTTGTACACTTAATAGCACAACTGTGGCTAATTGTGGAGAAAAAAGATTTTGAAAATACAAATTTCATACTAAATCCACTTTCCTTGGAGTAAGTCTGATTGAATTCAATGGGACTTGTGTAATACACACACAGTGTATATATATATAGAGAGAGAGAGAGAGAAAGAGAGAGAGGATTGTGCTAAAAGAAATAGTTTTCAGGAAACTTATATAGGGGCTTAAAGCTTAATTGTAAAGGTAAGCAAATAGTTTTTTACTGTAATCTTGTCATTTGTTCATAGGTGGCAGTTCAGGTTATCTTTTTAGGCCACCAATATATATACTGTACTATAATATATATGACATGTGATAGCCTTAACTTATGTTACCATATGAATAATAAATAGTCACATACAAAGGAAACAAAGAAGCATTTTGTCATATTTTTCTGCATTATTTCTATAACAATGCTTGTTTTAAAGCCTGAAACAGAATACAATATGCATAAGGAACACAGCTCAGTGGTAGACCATTCACTTTGCATTCAGATGGTCCCAGCATCAATCCTGTCAGGGACATCCCTTCCCATTGCGACAGTGAAGAAGAAGGAGGACAGGCTGAGGGGAGTAGAAGCTTGATTCCTTCCCACACTGAGAGTGATGTAAGCCCCTCCCACTCTGGAATGCAGGCTATAAATTCCCAAGACAGCACAGCAGGGCAGACAGAGCCTGCTGCAGAGGAACAGCCGCTGTTACATTTGGATCAGGAGGAGGAGGAGGGGCTGGTCACCCCCAAGTCTCCCCGGAGTAGACGGAAGAGTACAGGGGCAATGTCAGCCCAGCAGGAGGTGGGGCAAAAGGTGGAGGATATCCTGCTGGCGTAGACAATGTCATCCAGTAGGGCCAACTGGTTCATCCAGTGAGGACTGAGCTGGGAGAGCTTGGGCTGCAGCTACTGTGTAATTAGTAAATAAATCTAAGAGTAATAAAAACTGCCAGCTTGCAGTGTCTTGTGTGAGACATCGTAAATCCTGACAAACGCCCAGGATCTAGGTACAGCTGGGAATGTACCCTGTCTGAAAACTGCTGCCAGTCAGGGCTCGACCACACTTTGCTTGCTCAGTGCCTAGAAAGCAATGGGTCCAAGTGGTTTTCTGCTTGTCCCATGCTTTCTAGGCACAAGTCCATGCAGTTTTCTCTTTGCTCTGCCACTTGCCCTAGGAAAAACTACTTTTTAACCACTGAATCAGACCCAATGTCAATCTGCAGAAAACTCAGCCAATGTTTGCTCTGATTCTATGGTAAAGAGTGGGTTTTGCTTGGGGAAAGAGATGGAACAAGCAGAAGTGTGGATGAGCCCTCAATGTAGACAATTCTAAGATAGATGGGAAAATGAGTTGGCCCAGTATAAAGCAGCACCCTATTTAACTTTAGGATGTACCAAAATGGACAGCATTTTCTGACCAAGAGGCAGATAATGACTAAGAATATGATCTTCAAAGCTGTATCACTGGGGGCTGGCCCAGAGCTTTCTCGCATTTAATCTTGCTGGTGATCCTGCTGATGATCATGGTCATTCTTGAGCAAGGAACATGTGGTTATTGGCTGGTGGCAATTTCCCTGATCCCAGAGGCTGGAAAATGTACCTTTGAAATCATGAAAGTGGCCAGGGTCTATTTCCATCTGAACTGGTTATGGGACTGTTATTGGTAAAAGTGCAATGACAATTGATTTGGATTTGAGGAGGTGCTGCAAAATATCTGTGCCTGTTCTGTGATTTTATTAGACTTGTCCAGTGGCATCATATAAGCATGACTGAATTCAAATGCGTTTCTTAACAAGCTGAGAACAGCAGCCCAGATAAATTGATCTAAGAGGCATTTCAATACATTCCCTAAATAGAAAACACAAAATTTATGTGATTAGAGGGGAAAATGTGTACTATGAATTAGGAAGCAAAACTGCCAAATCCACAGTATATGAATTAAACTCACTAAGGCAAATTTTTTGTTGAGGATCATCTGTTCTACCAGGGATGATTCATTATGGAAGAGATGAGGCTGCATGTGGCTCCACATATGAGGGAACCACCAAAATTCATCCACAGACCCCAGTAATAGGTCATCGCCTTCATCTTCCTCTGCAGTTCCTGCAGAAATAAATAGATTCATAGAATAACTTTTCCACTTCATTAAAAAAAATGCTTTAACAAATATTTGAGAAAAGCACAATGAACTTTAGAATTAGATCACAACAAATTCTGGCAGGAAGATCAACCCAGCCTCACAAGCAACCAACAGCCAAACACAAAAGGCAGCTCACACAGAAGGCAATTCATCTGGTCAAGTCACTCAAGGCATGCAGTTGATGAAGTGTCTATGTGGCTAGATACTTACCTAGAAAACCAACCACAAAAGTGAGAAAGCACCATTAACGGGGGGGAGGGGGGAGCAAAAATAAAAATAAGGTGCTTGAAATACGATTTATTCCAGGTCTGGAAGAAAAAATTACTTCAAACACCCAGGTGCAGATTTGGAAAAGAAGTGGCATTAAAAACATTGTGGCTGCATATTTACAAAATCATTCACACGAATTTAAGGGATGGGGTGTGGACCTTTCCAGAGGAACTTAAAACTAACATCTAGAAAACTGGCAAAAATCTGGAGGATGGGATTTCATTTTGCCAGGCTAAGTATTCTAAGACAAGCAGAGCTGTGAGCAATCCAGAATCACCACATTTTATGTAAGAATGCTACAGAGTTTGAGGCCAGGGACAGGGTGAGACAGTAATGTCCAAGAAGTCAAACTGTGTGCCTGGTGAGCAATTTCTGCTTGTAGCTATACTTGCCAATGTGACTGATTAATAGTGCTGAGGGTCAGGGCAGAAGAATGAGTTGTTGGATCCTATTATATGTGTACAACAGACAAGGTAAGGAGCACTACCTTGCTCGAGTGTTTGAACATAAGGTTTTAATTGAATAAAAAAGGTGATATCAATTTGTGACAGCCCATTTATGCAAGAGCTATTCCACTGGCAGCCACTTTATTCACAGTGTAACAAAGCAGTCAAAACCAATGGGTGTCTTACCCTGGTAAAAGATGTTGTGCCTCCTCACCAACCATAAGACTGAACATAAGCATTGTCTTAATAATATCTGTGTTTGAACAACATGTTCAAAGGTGTCATTGGTAACTGCTCCACATTTATGGGAAATTATTCCCCATGAGATTCACCAGTGCTCTAGCCAAGTATTCTGGAAACTTCTTTGTGACATAATAAATCAAGTAGCTCCCTGAACTGGTGAGACGTTACATTAATCTTATTTGGTGCCATTATTAATAATGGTACCAGTTTCTGAGCCTTACAAATGAACAATCTGTTTTGTTTTTGTTTGCTGTGGTTGTTTATTTAAGATCCTGATTTATCTGGTGTGGTATATACAGCCTCATACATACAACTTCTGCCTTCCTATTGATAAAACTTCTTCTTTTCCTACTGGTGCTCTTTGAGTCAGGGAGGAGCAAGTGGTTTTAGAACTGAAACAGCATTTCAGGCAGCTGAAATGATGCCATAGACTGCTTGGGATCATTAGATTTTAGGAGTTCATTAAAACCAATGACTTTTGTCATTGGACAATATGGCCATTTCAGGGGTGAGCCAACATAAAGAGATCTGTTCTGTGGTAGTTATTTAGATGCACTGCTTTTACATGCCACCAGAGAGATTCAGGTCTTGTGCACACTGCAGCTACGATGCAAATTAACTAATCCTTTCCCTGCTTCTCAGCACAGCAGCCATTTTACAAACTGTTTCTATTGGTGAGAGTATGGTAAACTGGGGTGCATCTTGACTGGCATTTTTTTGCACTGTCTGACATTCATAGCTGAGTCAATATTTGGCATTTTTGGCACTCCATTTCTCCTTCTGCACCAGAAGGTGATGACAATGGGCTGCAGCTGCAGCTACACTTAAGCAACAGAACTTCCTCTTTCTCTTCTGGCCTTTTCATCAACACCACCCAACACCCTCAAAATGGGAGAGTGGGGACCACCTGGAGGTTTGTCCCGTGGATTCAAACTGCCAGCCTTCCGATCAGCAAGCCCAAGAGGCTCAGTGGTTTAGACCACAGCACCACCTACCTGCCTTTAATATATATTTCACACACCCTATTAATGTTTATATTTTTTTAATGATTTATTTCCCCTATGTTTTTAGCTATTCCTATTTTAGCTGTAAGCCACCTTGAGTCCCTGTCAGGGAAAAAGGTGGAACAAGGAGGAGGAGGAGGAGGAGGAGCAAATATATTGCAGTGTCAACTGACTGTTACTTTAAAATCATTTCCCATTACAGCTGGAGATGGACAAAATGGACTTTGCAACTTTTAGTAATTCCTTTTGTGCCATGTTTCTAGGCACAGGTCTGGGCTTCAAAGCTCCATGTCTGAGCAGGGTTTCCCCCCTGGTCCTGGCCCTTTCCCAGGAAAGCCTGTGTTTTACTGCTGAATTGGAGCAAACGGCAATCAGATATTCCAGTTTACCATAGAATAACATTCTTCTTTCTGCATGATTACAAAAAGGGAACATGCATCTCAGATAACAGTAACATTATGGATAAATGCGTGACATGACACATGAAAGCTGGCTGGAAAAACAATCTGCCTGTTCCTCCAATACCACCTTCTGCCTCAACCTGTGTGTGCAGCAGGGCTGTGGTTATCACGATGGCCCCATGACCACAGTAATCCCTGCCAGGATCATTTCACACAAAAAACCAGTGAAGGTTAGCCAAAACAGAAAAAGAACAACAAAAGAAAGAACTCAGGGTTGTTGTGAGAATAAAAGGAGGTGAAGAAAGTTAGGTTTGCCACCCTGACATCCTTGGAGGAAAGCTGGGATATAAATGTAAATCAAATGTAAAGAGCGGGGGGGGGGGGGAATCCAGTATTCAATATCAGCATTGGAAGGGCTGCAGAGTTATAACAGTTATGACTACAGTGGTACCTTGGTTTTTAAATGCCTTGGTACTCAAACAACCTAGAACCCAAACACTGCAAGCCCAGAAGTAAGTATTCCGGTTTGCAAACTTTTTTCAAAAGCCAAACATGCTCCATTTTGAGTGCCACACTTCCATTTTGAGTGCCACACTTCCGTTTTGAGTGTTACGCTGCGGTCTGTTTTTGCTATTTATTTTGTGTTTCTATTTTTGTGGCTCTTTTTGTTTTGTTTTTGTGACTGTGTGGAACCCAGTACAGCTACTGACTGATGAACTGTGTGACTGCAGTAAATTGTTTATTGCTTTCATTTTATGGATCAATGGTCTCATTAGAGAGTAAAATTCATGTTAAACTGCTGTTTTAGAGGTTGTTTTTAAAAGTCTGGAATGGATTAATCCATTTTGCATTACTCTCTATGGGAAAGCGCACCTTGGTTTTGGAAAGGACTTCCAGAACGGATTAAGTTTGAGAACCAAGGTACCACTGTAATTATTATTACAGTGCAATCCTATGAATGCAGATGTAAATCCAAATGAGTTCTACTGGGACTTAAACCCAAGTGTGGACTAGGATTGCGGCTTAAAGCTGGTTGATGGCAATTGTTGATAAGTGGTTTACAATTTAATGCACTTTTCAAATTTGACTGGGTTTAACGTGGAATTTCCCAGTCTATCACTACACAGTTGCATCAATTTGCATAACACTTGTGATTCTATTCAGCAAAGTATTACATAATGTCAAGGAAAACAGCTTTTTCCATTTGTTTTGAACTTGCATACCAGGTCAAACTTCAGCATCTTAATTAAGGCCAATATTTTAAGAGACAGAAAAAAATTCTCAATAGCAGCTGTCCAGAATTTGGCTGATGAATCCCAAAATGATAGTTGGAGCTCATTAGCTAATTGCAAGAAACTTGTAGCTGCATTCTGAGATAGCGGGATTGCTGCAGTACCAGAATGTCAGAGTTATGACATTACAGTGGATAAGACATCAGCCATACAAACTGATACAACACTGAAAATGTTTGGGATTTGAGTGCCAGACTAACTCACTTTGTAAAATTCACAACATAAGGAAGAGTTGATTGGTTTTCTGGTTTTATCCTCCTGAAGGAAGATTTCTTCTTCCCTCAGGCTCTGAGAGTTCTTCACTCTCATTTCATTTCGCTTTATAGCACAAAGCTGCAACACCAAAATCAATTTCAGCTCCATGCACTGCAAAGACACAAAACGATTGAGACCAAATTTTGCTGGTTCCCCCCCCTTACCTGTGTGGTAAAATTTCCCTGAAAATCCCAGGTTGAAAGTGAAATTTGCAATTTGAGCTCTCAGAAGGTTCTGAGTATCAAGCAGAGCCTGAAACAGATATAAATTAAAAATTCATCAGGTACATACATAATCATGTTATTTATGCAGAAGTTGCCCTTTTCTTTCTTCTAACAGGCATACACAGTCATTTCTCTCAGAGCAACAAGAGCAATGTTCTTTTACTCTTGTTGCAGCCCAAACAGCTTGATAATTATACAAAGCCAATTGTAAGAATATAAGGAGGACCTTTTCTGTAAGAAGGATACTATTAGTCATCTGGATCACAGCCTCATATGTTTTGTGTAAAAGGAGAATATTATGCTAAAATATGCACAAAAAGCTTATTCTGCAACTACTTGAATCTAATCTACAGTCTCACTTGGCCATTTTGGAAGCCATTTATTTTAGCTGTCAGCATAAACAGTAGTACATGAATTTAATGCATGCTGAAGTACATGGATTGGTGCAGTTAATCAGGAATGCAAAGTTTGGGGGGCAGATAAACCTTGGCAAAACAGGAATTCAGCAAGTTTATTCAAATTCAGGCCTTCTGAATTTGCAGCAGCTTTTGATATAAAATACATTTGCTGACTCCTTTGTAATCTTGCTCCTAGACAGCAGGTGTTCCCACTAGACTAGACTAGACAGTCAAAAAAACAGTCTTAGCAGCACAATTCTATTCATGTCTACTAGGGAGTAAGTTCAAATGAGTTCAATGAAGCTTACATCCAGGTAAGTGGATATAGGATTGCAAACTAAATCTGCCCAATGTAAAACACATTGAAATAGTCAGCCCTTGAAGTGTTAAGTGCATTCAGCTAGGTACTTTTCTTCCAGAAAAAGGCGCAAGTCAAGTCAGATCTAACTGATTAAATGTTCTCTGATTTACAGACACTTCTTGAACTTTATCCAACAATATTACTAACTTCCGCACCTGATCAGGCTGAAAATGCCAGGGGTTTTTTGGGGGGCGGCAGCAGCTTTGGACAAAATGTGCCCAAGCCCTCAGTGTATCTTTCCTGGGCCACAGCGCCTTTCAAGTGGTATCTCTCCTCAGAGAGCTTACTGGGTGGTAAAAACAGGAATGAGAAAGGCCACTAACCAGGCCATTTCTTCAAGGGAAATAAGTTTTGCCAACCATGAGGCAGGCTAACACAATGGTCTCAGTCATGCAACTCACTGAGACCAAACAGACTAAAACAATTACATCAGATTCTGCCCTGCCTACTGGACTCATGACTGAGCAAAAATTTTAACCCTGACTCCCGGTTTGAAGACCCAGCACTCTAGTTGAGACAGTTGTTGGTTAGGCTTCAGCATGGACTTTGCAATTTGCAGTAAACTTTGAAGGTTATGCAGATTTTAAACCACATGATCCTCACCAAAATCAATAAGGGTCATGATGCTGATAAAACCCTGTGTGTCTCTTTGAAAATATAACTCCTGTTTCGTAGTTATTTATTAAATATATGACAATGCAGTTACATAGGCAATTCCCTTCACAATCTGATTTTTTTAAAAATGCCTGCTGAAAACATTTCTACTCAGGCCTATGCAGGCAATTAAGAGTACATCCCTCACAATAGACTATCAATGTTTGTTTATTTTTAAATTTCTTTTTGCTTTTAACTTGTTTTTAACGTGTTATGATGTTATTGTCTATTTTTATGCTTTTATATTGTTGTAAACCACTGTGATATATTTTTGTGATACAGTGATATATAAATATTTTTTATGAATAGAGACCTTAATTTTCTCTCTCTCCATTGTGCAATGTGCATTGTGCTTTTATACCCCATTTATAATTTTATTTATTTTGATTCATTTATAGAAACATTTGTATACCACTGTGTGATAAAAAACATATCAAAGCAGATTACAGCAATAAAAAAATAAAACCATTTCAGTAAGAACAAGTTAAAAAGTTAAAATCAGATCTCAATTAACCATTGTGGAAGGATACATTCTTGTAATTCTATTTCCTTGACTCCTGATTTTTTCTTGTTCTTTAGACTATTATCAAAAGCTCCCATGTGTTGAACTTATTTTGTTGTTACTGCTTGTTTTTCTCTTTGTATATACTGCATTTTTGTTGCTCAATAAAATATTTTTTTAAAAAAAATATGTAACAGAATGGTAAAAGAAACAGACAGCAGCATCACCAGCGTAGAAGGATGCTGCTATCCTGTGAACTATTTTCTAGACAAACAAGCTGAGCTCACATTTGGTTGTCATGCCTATTATTATTTTCTGGGTAACTTGACATTTTACTTGCCATTTACGTTCTAAAAGAAAAATGTTAAAACACATGAAAAATATATAGCAACAGATGGCTCGGGCTATGTGTGTATATGTGTGTGTAAATTTCAGAGTGTGTGTGGGTATGCTTTCATGGGGGCAGAGTCTATATTTTCATTTCTAAATGCTATTTTGTATACTAAAGATAAGTTGTTGAAAGGTTTTCTCTACTTTTTATGTTTGCTTTTATAAACAGTTCTTCTGAGTATTTGTATTAATAGAACTATATAAGCATATTGGTGCATGCTTCATAGCCTACTCACCGATAGAAATTTATTTAGACATATTCAGCTATTGTGCAAGAATTATGTAAGAAAAATAAACCACAACTGATGTAGTATCAGTTAAGGAAAGAGAAATTGACAGATAAGAAGAAAACTGGTTAAAAGCCAGCTTCACATTTTTCAGTAATTTAATGGAGGCTGCAAACAGTTTATAAAACACATAGGTAGGATACTTTTTTTTTCTTTTCTCTTTTTGGCAGTTGTCAGTCAAATGATACATTATGACAAAGAGGGAAATAACCTGAAACAAAAACTGTAGATTTCAGTAAACCCGTATACATATCTACTCATAAATCAATCCCATTATTTTCAATGAGAGAAACGGGTACAGGATTGCAGCTTTTGTCTAAATGCATTCAGATTTCTATTTAAAACTGAGAGAACAAAAAGTATTGACACTGCCTTTTATTTTATTTTTACACAAGCAGCAAAACATGCTTTTGAAGTTGCTGATCACACAGTGGCCTGAGGAAAACCATTAGTTCAAAATTCTGTTCTCTATTAAGACGATAGGAATTACCAGCAGTTTGGAAAGCCTTTGCTGAGATTTAATGTTTTAAAATATGATGTACAGTATTTGTATGCTGATTTATGACAAATCACATAATAAAGAAGTTGTATTTAAAGGAGCAAAAAAATAATAATGCATGTTTCTGGAGAAAAGGAATGGGCTAAGCCAACTGCAGAAAATCCTGAGAAACTTCTGCCAATCATCTGCCAGTCCCCAAGAGCTACTGCTCAGCTCACATAGAAAAGAGGTAGATTCTCAAATGAGTGGAAAAAACAGTTAAGCTAGAAATGGTTAAGCATGCTGTCCCACCAATACCACTTCTGATTGAGGCCCTCATGGTTGCTTGTCATTAAACTGAAAACAAACCACTGGAAGCATTGAAGATAGCCTGTGGAACGTCTTGTTTAGCCCTGAATGAGCTTCATGCCACACATATTCACTGGTACACTTCAGATAAATTAACAACTTGGTTGAACGCATATGGAAATTTTCATCAAGGTACATCTAGTATAGTGGGCCCAAAACAAATTTTGAGAATATTAGATTCAATATTTTTGCAGGATTGAAGGACTTGCCAGTTGTAATCTTTAGGTAGAATTGTCCACAGGATACAAAAATGACCCATTTCATAATGTGAAACCACATAATATAATTATATTGTTGCTTGTAGCCCAATCTCCAACCTCCTAGGGGTCCAGTGTTTACTCAGTGTTTGGTTTCCATGGAATGAAAGTCGTTGGAGACTCTGATGTCATGATGGTTTAACTTAGACATATAAACAACCTGAACATAAGTTGGACAGGCTCACAGCATTAACATTCCAACAGATCTTGCTTACCAATTGCATTTCAAGGGTGGTCCCCAAAGCCATAGCTTTGGTTTCAGCACACAGAATACGTCTAGTTTTTGTGTCTCCTTTGCTTCCACCTTAAGCCCAGGCTAAAGCCAGCTCTCTCAACCTTGTTCTCCTACCACTAGGATGACATGGCATCCAGCCGGGTTAAGGGAGGAAGAGGCTTATCCTCTTCTGAAAGAACATTATCATCTAATTGTCTCTAGGGTAACATGGCCCAGTATTTAGTAATGCAGATGTGGGTGATTACAGGCCCAGCTAGGGCCATTATTTTAACAAAGAGATTAGTTTGACCAGTTTAGTAGGTTCTGTCCCTTCTACAACCTTGCAGATACAGAATCTGCCTTTGTTGGGACCTTTAGGCACCATTCAAACAAAACCTCAATCCTATAACAATACTTTTTATTCACTAAGTGTCCAAACCTTCAAACTGTGCAGTCAACTCATAAAATTTATGCTCCTCTACAGAAATCTACCACCAACAACCTTTTAAAAAATGACAGCAAACAACAAAATCCTGAGTGTGCTATCTTCTTAAGAAATGGTTTGTGGAAATATTTCAAACTACTGTACCTAATGTTCCTAACAGCTCCTAATTAAACATTTACTCACTTTAAAAATTCCTTTATGGCTTCCCAGAGAGATACGAAACAGGTTACAGGAGTGTTTTCATTGTCAGACAAAACTGTACAAACAGTGATTATATTTTTCCTCTATTAATTCTCTTAATCTGTATTTAATTTAGATACTTACTGGAAACTGTCCATTTTAAAGCCATCTGCTGCAACACAATCATATCCCTGTTTACTTAAAAGCAAGTAAAATGATTTCAGTAGGCACTACATGCAAGCACGTTTAGTGTTGCAGACTTCATTTTCATTTTTAAATGCTTGTTAAAGCTCTTTAGAACTAGCTTTTATATGCATTTTAACTGCTTTTTAAATGACTTTTTATTTTCCAACAATGGATTAACTGCTTCCAGATAAACTGTTACAAATGTTTTAACAGCTGTTTGCCAGCATAAGTAGCCTAAGACACTAGGCTCATTTGCACCTACCACTTTAAATGGATCACTTCTAAGACCTGGTTCACACATAGAGCAATCCACATGGGGTGGCAGCTCATAATACAAGCACAATAGCAGAGTTTTATATGGGAAATAATTTGTTTTAATGTCACAGGATTTGGGCAAATTTTAACCATTTTTACTTCACCTATGTTCATGAAGTTAACATTTGTTTCAATTGCACATCATTACGGACACATAGCTTGTCATATGATGCTATCACTACCATGGTTGCATTCTTGACAGCCAACCTAAGCCATTTATCTCTGCCTATTCCTCCCCTCCCCACATGGAATACGTATGAGGATGTTGGCTGGTTCCAGACACATTAAGAGCAGTATATCCACTGAAATCAATGGGAGTTAAGTTAGTAATGACTAACTTAAATCCCAATGATTTTAATGCGCCTACTCTAACCATGGCTAAGTCTAAATCCAAACTGGTAACTTTAAATTTCCCTAGGAACTAGGCTACTAAAAGGAGGTAGGGCTTTGGCATTAAATAACTACCAAGGCTGATTTTTTAAAATAGTTAGGTATGATCATGTTAGAGATTTCATTCAAATGTTACCTTTGTGACATGGCTGCTATCTCCTCAATGTTTGAAGTTCTACATTACATGGGTACAGTACTTCTAATGTTAATGGTCTCAGTGGATGCTGATATAATTAGTACCCATGGGACCTCAGTGACAAATACAAAGCTGCAAATATTGTTTTGACTGACAACTAGTACATGCCTAGGACCAGAGCTTTTTATTTGAAAGTACTCAATGGAACTGAGTATTGTCAGCCATGACAGCCATTATGTACTGGCACCCATGACACTTCTATCAAGATATGAGAACCAGCACCTCATTTAAAAAAACAACCCAAAAGGCTCTGCTTAGAGCCATTTATTAACAGGCTTTAAGAAAAGGGCCTCCTACACTCTGCATCATTAACCAGCAGACCAGGTATGGAACACTGTTCTGTTGGTCTAACTGTAGACTGCTTAATGCAGAGGCTACACCAGAAGATGTCACTGTTGTTAGAGATCCAGATTGAACCTGCCTTAGCTCTTCCTTATGTTTCTGTCTTTCATCTGGATTTCCTTCCACTTGCCTTAATTTTTTTATCTGATTTTCAGGGCCCATTCCGACAAGGTAATGGTTTCATCAGAAACTGAAGACCTTTGCCAGCTGGCTAAATTTCCTAGCTCTGGCACCAAGCTTGGCCCTTGTGAGCAAAGAAACTTGAACACAACTATTCCACAAACATTAAGGGCTTTGATGTGCTGGCTCAGTTGCTTAGAGGGTGCTGATAATGTCAAGGTTGTGGGTTCAATCCCTGTATGAGCCAGCTGCATATTCCTGCATTGTAGGGGGTTGGGCTAGAGCCCCCTCCAAATCTACAATTCTATGATTCTTTGAATCCAATCACTCAAAGTTTAAAGCATGGTAAATCAACACACCAGCACAGAACTTAAAATACTATAGCATGGCTTACAGATTTTTGTTTGCATTATTTCCAAAGGATGTTGCAGAGAAAACTAGAGTCTCAGAACTGATATTTTATGACCTGCTGTCCAAACCATAAAACATTTCAAGCAGTCAAAATTTCAATTGCTTTTTATAGCACAGAGATATCATTAGAAAAACAAACAACAGCGGCTACAGCAGGAAAAAGCCCATCACTTGCTACTTGAGAAACTCAGGTTTATATTCTCAGGTGCAACAATGTATAATTTAGACAGCTTAAAAAGAATATCACCACACACTGCATAATTGAAAACCTGGCTACACTCTAATAAAAAAGTTTTTGGTCTTGGTTTTCCTTTCCCACAAATAATATAGGAACTAGCATTCCTTGTTACTTTCTTATATCAAACAAACACACCCACACTCACACACACATAGACCCTGTAATGCACAGTACTGTATTGGGCTACATAACCCTGAAAACCATGCAAACCCACTCTCCATAGTGTGGGAAAGAGGTAACCAAAGAGTAGGGCCATATCAGTTTCATTTTTCCAACACGGACAAGCAGCAGCAGTGATAAATCTTCACAAGTGGTTCATTATAAAGTGCTTTCCTGTGAGCTGATGTCACATAATGGCTAGTGTGAAGGATGGGCAAGCTAAGAAATAGGAAGGACCCGGGTATGAGCTTTGCCTCCAATATTAAATCACCAGGTAGCAAGACTCTCTTAGGAAAATTCCCACCCATCACCACTGACAAAGTGGGAGCTATTGGGCTGTCTGTATCAACATGCACCTTGTGCATAGTCTGGTTTATTAAGCCAAGTTTCTTTGCTCACTGTTACAAATGAGTACAGCCAATTTATGTGAAGTTCTGATGAAAAAATATGAAAAGACAACTATCAGTACTTATCAATGAAATTCTGAAGAATGACTCTAGCTCAGTAGTAGAGTGCATATTTTGCATGGAAAAAATCCCAGGTTCAATCTCTCACATCTCCTATTTTAGATTCAGGTAGGTAGCCATGTTGGTCTGACACAGTAAAAATAAATAAAAATAAAAAAATTGTCCAGTAGCACCTTAGAGACCAACTAAATTGGTTCTGGGTATAAGCTTTCGTGTGTATGGACATGAACGCTTATACCCAGAACCAACTTAGTTGGTCTCTAAAATGCTAATGGACGATTTTTTTAAAAAAAAGTATTTATCTCCTATTTTGTTATCCTAAGAAGCTTGCTAGGGACGTGGGTGGAACTGTGGGTTAAACCACAGATCCTAGGACTTGCCGATCAGAAGGTCGGTGGTTTGAATCCCTGCAACAGGGTGAGCTCCCGTTGCTTGGTCCCTGCTCCTGCCAACCTAGCAGTTCGAAAGCACGTCAAAGTGCAAGTAGATAAATAGGTACCGCTCCGGCGGGAAGGTAAACGGTGTTTCCATGCGCTGCTCTGGTTCGCCAGAAGCGGCTTAGTCATGCTGGCCACATGACCCTGAAGCTGTACGCCGGCTCCCTCGGCCAGTAAAGCGAGATGAGCGCCGCAACCCCAGAGTCGGTCACGACTGGACCTAATGGTCATGGGTCCCTTTACCTTTTTAAGAAACTTGCTACTCACAAACAAGTAATGCATTCCAAATTCCATATAAATTTCAATACATTTGTAGCCATTTTTAGAACTGTACATGCTCTAGATAAAATAAATGATAAGAAATAAGTTTTGTGCAGACTTTAAAATAGAATGTGGAGGTAGGAAAGTTGCTATTTGCTTATTTTTGTTTTGTTTCCTTATTAGAAACAGGACATATTAATACACCAAAACATGATGTTTCACATGTACATTAGATATAAATGAAGCTACTCTGTAACTTACACCAGCTTTGTAAATGGACACAGGAGATAGGCAAGGGAAAATGGAAATTTTTTTTTGTTATAAATTGGAATTATTTAAAACAGTTAATAATAGTAAAAAAGAAAAGGAAAAAAAGGACTGCTTCTGTCAGTCAGAGGAGACAACACTGGCCTAACTCCTTAAAAGGCATCTTCATATGGTTTTAGCTCTATGCAAGGCTTGCAAAAAGAAAAGAAAAATGTGATAGGGAGAATATTCTGCAGGAAAATACGGATAATACCTTGGTCAGCTGCAGTGACTAAAACCAAACGAAGACTGAATTGCTACACTGCAATGTTAGTGTCTCACGAGTCAGCACCTCAAAAAGTCATATCATGCTACCTCACACCTCAGGCTATCAATCTATCCAGTCTAGCAGTGTATAGTTTGATTGACAGAAACTCTCCAACAACTCAGAAAGGTCCCCCCCCCCCCAAAAAAACCCCCCCAGACCTGTTATTCAAGATTCTCTTAACTGGAAGTGTCAGGGATTGAACCTTCCTGCTAAACTGAAAGCTGTGATCTTAATCCCAATAACGACAAAAAAAGAGCTATATGGAAGCCTTAGCTAAAATCTATGTCGTTTTGCACAACCACGACCTCTGAAGTTCAGCTACTGTTCTATAGCATACCTGCGTTAGAATTCTGATAGCTGCATGCCTTTCTACACCTGACCATTATTTAACATCTGACCTGCTCCAAATGATCAGCAGGTATGGGTTGGCCCATTGTATGTGCACAGCAGCAGTCTATGTACAAGAATAACATTTATAGGACAGTATATAGGTCTTTTATGCAATATACGCAACCATGTTTGAGGGTAGGTATACATTTTCAGAGGCCAGTGTGGGGCTGTCACCATCTTTAGATCAGCCCTTGATATTGAAACTCCTGAACCTTTTTTGAGAACATTATATGGAAAGGGGGCTCGTATACAAATGCTGTTTTGTGCTATACATTTGGTTTCAAGTTGGAGGCAATTCTTTTATCTCCAAAGAAAGAGAAGAAAACAAAGATGGTGGGAAAGAGAAAAACAAAACAAAGTAGTAGCAGCAGGAACAATCCTTTTGAAGTGTTCAGCAATAGACATTTTATTTGAAACCCTCCAAGGGCTTGGGCACAAGGTGGCAACCCTATTTCCCCCCCCTTTATTTTGAATTGATTTTTTAACCGTGATCTTCAAGAATCAGTCACATAGGGTTAATTAATTTTTTTTCCTCCTCTTAAAAACGATCTATTAATGGGCTGGGATCCTGTTACCGAATCAGAATGTTTACAGCTAATTAAAACACTCAAGAATGGCAAAGCTCCCGGTGAGGATATGATCCCTCCTGAGGTGTTTAAACTAAATGCCCAGTGGTGGGCTGCTACCCTAGCCCTTACGTAATAAATGATATATGCAAAATCCCAGAAAACTGGAACTGAGCCTGCAGCCCCATCTATAAGAAGGGAGACCAAGATCCCTCTGACCATCGCCCATGTCTCCTGACATTGCATAAACTCTACACTGCTACCTAAGTAAATGGCTGGACTGGGCTGACCATCAACCTGCTTAATCCGGAACAGGCAGGGTTTAGAAAGGCCATAGTGCAACAGGCCATGTGTACTACAGACAATGATAGATAAGTATACAAAAGTACATAAGAGCAAACTTTTGTGGAGCCAGATATTCACATCCGCTTTGATTCAATCGTAGGGACAAACTATGGCAAAAATTATATGAAACAGATATTGATAGACGACTTCTCAAATACTTAGAGTTACATCGAGACACCCAGTTAAATCAGAACTGGGATGTCAGGCAACCATACTGACCCACTGCCACTGGGGAAAGGGGTTAAACAGGGCTGTTTGTTAGCGCCGTTCTCTTTAATTTCTATATAAATGACATTGTTCAACATATGGCAAAGTATAAGTCATCAGCTCCTGCCCTGGAAGGCAAACACCTGAACATATTACTATATGCTGATGACATGGCTGTCATGGCACTTACTCGAAGGGGCCTACATAGCATGCTGGAGGGGCTCGCAGCTTATTGTTCCCAAAACTCTCTAAAGATAAATTATGACAAAACAAAAATTGTGGTATTTACTAGAGCTCGCCACACATTTAGATGGTCTTTAGATGAACACAAAATTGAACAGTGTCTTTTTTTTAAATATCTTGGTATCACGTTCCAAGCTACATCTAGCTGGCTTGCCCACTTCAAGACTGTAGCCCTTCTAACACGTAGGACAATCGGTGCTCTGCTCAGCTTTTTTTATTCGAGGGAGGGCAACTGGTGATCCCGGCATTAAAAGCTTTTGTTGGAAAAGTGATTTAATTTTTACAGGTGACATATAGAGGTGGAATAACATTTTCTACTAATCTATTTGGAAAAGGTGGCCAAATCAGCCACATTAACTTTCACATTGTTCTTTTTGATCTTTGTAGATAGCGAAAAGAAAGCCAAAGTTGGTTTTTTACAGCTCCATTATATTCATCTTTCATTTTAATTCCCAGGAGACCAGCCCTACCATTTAACAATCCTCAGACGATACCAGCTAAGGGCACTTCTAGATGTCCTGGTTATTGAGCATTCATTCTGATTGCTCAATTGCAAGGAGGTTAGACATTGTTGTGTCAAAGCAAGAGTTACCGCACACTTTCCAAAGCATTCTCCAATCACATTCTTAACACAAAAGTCTCATTTTGACGCGACTGGGTTTGTTGCTCAAGACCTCCTAATCAACTATAATTGCACAACCTGAAATTGCTGGTATGTGATTGAATCCCACCAGAAATTAGAGACAGCCTGGAACCACCTTAGGAGCACTTTCTGCATTTGACAAAAGACATATGCACACATTTACTAGGCAAACATGAAAGATTTCCAGTTTCCTTCACTCCATTCCTGAACTATTACAGTCAATAGCTAGACTGAAAACCAAGTTGTAGAAGCAAATAAATGAAGCATTAAAACCCAGCAGGTCACTTGGCTAAAACCGAGTCTTCACCATTATCCAAAAAGCATATTTGTTACTGACCCAACTAGGAATGTTCTCTTAAAGCTTCCCATTCTTTTGGGGTTGTATGTAATATGGAAGAGTCTAGAATGCTGATTATGGTTGCAAATTTATACACACTTACCTGGGAGTGTCCCATAGGATATAATAGGACTTCTGAGCAAACATGTACAGGATTGCACTGCAAAACAGCCAATTTAGGACTCATTTGTAGAAATGCAGCATTCTAGGATGCAGGCAGGGAGGTATCACAGAAATAACCCCCAGAGGAATCTTGCCACCCCATCGGCATTTAATTTAGGGAGAAAGGATGGTGTCTGACAAGGTTGCTGGATTTGATATCAGGCTCAGAAATCATTATATTTCCCAACTTTTAGAAACAAGGTGTCTAGTCTTGAAGGAGTGCCACCCATCACTATGCTGGACACATTTTGAGTGAGGAACATGAGATGAATTGTTTGCACTACTCCTGCATTTTAGTTTGAGTAACAGCTTGCCAAGTGAGGTTTCGTGCAGTGTTTTGGAATTAGGTGTGTGATTTAGAACTCTAGAAATTACAGGACCACTCAGTTTTCTGGCCAGTTCTCTGGTCCAAACCCATCAACAGCAAATAGAGCTGGAGAAAAAAATCAATGCACAGATTGCCTAATCTTTAGAAACCTAGAAAAAACTATTTTGTAGCAGCACCACAAATATATATATATAGAGAGAGAGAGAGGAAATGGGAAGAGGAGAAGCAAAATATATTCTGATAGTTAAGAGACTGAGCTATGAATCAGAAAGTCCATAGTTAGAATGGTCTAATTATTAGCATGTCACACTAAGATGGTATAGCACAAACATATGAGTGTGGAGGCTCTGGGAAAGGAGACTGAAGCCACTTCATTTTGCTCACCAATCATTTTGCTGTTGCACCTTACTGAGCTCACCCATGATTTGGGTTAGTGTGTCATCCACACCACAATGTTTAGGCCATAAAGGTTTGTCCTGTGGTTACAGTTCATGGTTAGTTTGGCATGACAGGAAAATGACTAGGGAGGAGCAAAAGCAGTCACACGGCCTCTACAGGAGCCTACAAGTTCCTGCTAAGCCATGGTTAAATAGACATTTCATTGAAATTTGTTTAAAAAGTCTACAATGGAACAACTTTGTGATTACAAAACACTGCAAGCAAAGATAGATATATTCTTTTAAAAAAGAAAGACATGCTCCCATAATCTGATGGAAATCTAATAAATATATATGAACATGAAAGTAAGTTTCCAATGAACCATGTGCACTGAATTGAACATGATTTAAATTGTATTAGAACTGCATAGGCAGTTATTTTCTGCTGGGGTCTCTTACTGCTACGTGTTTATCACCGAAAACCATGTGCCCAAAAAGTCAGCAAAAAGGAACTGCAACTTCATATTAGAATAAGGAAGGATGTGAACTAAAATGATACCTACTCCTTGTCTTTGTTTGCCCTGGCAACACAATTACTAGAGCTACTATGCTCATTCACATGAGTGTCCACATATACTGCAGTGTAGAATCAATGGCCCTCCAGATGTTGCTGCACTACAACTTCTATCCCCTGATGTACACAATTGCATGCCAGCAAATGACCTTCCATAGTTTGTCTTGCCCAGTGGTTGTCACTATGCAATACATCTCAGACATTAAAAACGTATAATGAAGGCAGTAGGGTAGCATAGCAATTTCGTTGAATGCTCCACCTCTTATCTTAGAATTGCTGTATGTAGACAAATTTCAGAATTAAAGCATGAAGCTGCAAAAAGTGAACTCCTTAATGACTTTAATTATGCCCCTTAGGGCTCAAGTAAGAGTTATGAGTGCTTCTTGCAGTACATGAAGAATATTCCACCTCATGTTAAGTTGCATGTTGTATTCACAGAGATTAAAGACAGAAAACCATCCATTCTTTTCACATCTGATTCCTTTTTTTTTACTCATTAGGCATGACACAAGGCATTTCCTTGATCTATCAACTCAAATATCCTGTTTTAATTACCATGTTATTTTTAAGCAGAATTGTTTTATTGCATATTTTAGTTATTTACTTTTACATTTTAATCTTTTAATGGGACTGCTTTACTGTTTCCAAACAAACATTCCAAACATTTATATACTGATTTTCCAATTCAGGCAACCTGTACAATACTACTACAATGAAAACATCAACTATTAGGGCAGAGGTTAAACTAGGTGGCTGGACTAGAATGGGACATTCTAAGTGTAGATTTTTAAAATTTTAAAGCTTATGTAATTGGTTTTTATACTTGCAAGCCACTTAGAAACCAACTTTGGAATTAAGTGATGTATATGTATGTTATATATATATAAGAACTTTTGATAATCTGTCTTATAAAGACTAGACATTCTTACTTTGGTTCTATGCTGCAATATGATATTTAAGCACCAGAGCACTTCAGATTGTCACAGCTAAAATAAGCCATTTCATAGACTTTGGCAAAACAGGACAAAGCACATTTTCAATGTATTATGTTTCATGTATGGTTTTTCTATCTGTAAATTTCAGAATAAATTACTAGTTTTAGGAAACATGTGGATGCTACCAACTCCCACCCCTGGGAGTAATTTTGCAAGCCTTATTGAACTGCATTTTGTTCAAATCTGCTATGAGTTTTAAGCAAGCAGAAATCTCCAAATTCACTTTGAAATGATGCTTTAGGTGAAAAATGGTGAAAATACTTAACTTTGATTCTGAAAGTATGTGTTTGCTCTTTTCTTGATGCTGCATGCTTTCCATTTTATTCATGGTTACATTTTTTCTGTAATTTTGTTATGGCCCATGGCTAATACAAATAAGATTTTTAGTTCTGATATTTCAGATGTGTGCTTCATGCCATCAAATCTGTCACTAGTGCCTAAGGTCACTAAGTGAAATTCACTTATTTATTTTTCTTTATTTAAAAAAACAACAACACTATTTACTTTGACAGCTTTAAGAACTGGAATTATATTATCCATCCAAGCTCCCTAATTTGAAAGCCATGAACAAAAGGAAATATATATCATATTGTTCTGCAAATCAGTTTCCAGTGTGAAAATTCTGAGAAAACTACCCGGACGATTCTCCAGCCGTGTCTGTACCTTACATACTACTCCATCAGTGATGCATTCAGTAAGCTTTTGGCATCTACCACTGTTGCCTATTACAACCAATGCTCATTGGTAAAATACCCTACTCTGCCATTTCACCCCTTGCCTGTGTTCTTAAGTTCGCTGTTACGAAAGCTCCTACTACACTCTCACTATACTCATTCGTCAGGATGACACCCCCCCCCATCAGATGTATTTATTATTATTATTTATTACATTTCTATACCGCCCTTCACCCGAGGATCACAGGGCGGGTTGTATCCCCCATCCCTGCATATGCTCTTTTGGCACTGGCTTCTTCTTTTTCAGCAGCAAGTTAAGCTCGTGAGTGGTACTGGAAACACCTTGGACCAAAGGTGGATCTACACACTGGGGGGGAAAAGCTATAAATAAGTCATAAGTTAAAGAAATTTAAAGGGAAAAAAACCCCTATGTAAAATTGCATAGAACAGTTTTGTGCTCTACACCACCATCTAGTGTTGCATGTTTATAAAGCATTCAAAACACTTTCTTGACTAATGTAGCGGAGTCCCAAGTCACCAGAATGTAACACCTCCCCTCCCACCCTGACTGCTAGCTCCCTACAATATTCATACAATGCCCCTGTGCTGTGCTATGATGTGAAGAACTCTCAGCTTGCATTAATGTGGAGGCAAACATCCTCCATAGTGGTATCTACCTTATGAAACTATCTTCCCATACCCTGAATGCGGCTGGCACCAACAGCAGTGTGCTTCCATTGCATTCATCCATTGTGTATTTGTGCCCAGGTCCAGGCAGCACCCGACTGTTGATGCTAGGTTTTTTTGTTTTTTTTTTTACTTTAGTTCAATACTATACTGATATGTTTTATTGTGACTGCATTAGATTATTGTAGCAAACCACTTTAGAAATTTTTTTTCAAAAATGAAACGCTATCTAGAAATGCTTTTAGCTAAATAAAATATCATTAGTTGATGAAATCCACACGAGGCAGAAGATTTTGGGGTGCATTAAATGGCAGCTATTTTTTCAATTATTTATAGTTTTAATATATTGAGTAATCTCTGACTGGAAACAACTAGAGGTGCATGCATGTTTATATGGGAACTGTGCCAAGAATTAGTGTGGCCTTGGTACACGGGTCTGTTGCTGTTGAATCTCAACATAGAAAGCTCATTGGATAAATCTGCCCTCCTCTATTACCCCTTTTCCCTTCCACCTTCTAAGATGCACCTGCATTAATTTGCCAGCCTGAAATGAGCAGCGCACAGGTGCGGAACATGTGCAACCTCCTTGTTCAGCACCTTATTTTCAGTTGAGACATGCGATGCGTTGAGTAGAATAGCACAATCCAATATGATAGTATTCACACAAAAATATGCCTTTCGATAACAGATTTTCAACTGATTTACATTATCTTTACCTCATTCGCTCATTGTGTCATTGTGCTGCTGAGGACAACTCCTTCCATATCAATAGTAATGAAGATGCATTGCATCTGACACTGCTAACAACATCTTTAATGGAATGCATTAACTTTGAATAGATTACAGTTTAATGAGATATTTTCTCCAGATTCTGTGCAACATAACAGCTATTTAAAGAGCTGTTTCTATTGCAGTTTTAGAATTCATCTCCATCCTGGAATTTAAGGCTTTTAAAATAAATAAATAAAAAGACAGTGATAATAAGTTTTCTTTAAAGAGAATATGCTGTTGCACACCTTTAAATTTTCCCCAAGCAACTGAAGAGAGAAGTTGCTTTTCCTGTGCCTACTACTACTTTTAAAGTTTATCACTTTATTGAATTATTCATATCATAAACAAATGTTTACACACTAGGGCAATTCCCATACATCATGCTATACCACCATGTGAAAGCAACAGGTTTTCAAATGTTTTGGACTTTCATACCCAGGATTTGCAGAAAATGAAAGATTTGCCATTGGCATTAAATAGAATGGATTAAGAGCATACATCTTTAACTGTGTTTAAGAAATGAAAGTTACAGCTACATAATATACAGCTTTGACCATTTGTTGTTTTTCTTATATGTGTCTATCAAACTGCTTAAATACCCCTAACATTTGAATTGCTAATTCAAAATGGTATTTTACAAAGCAATGTATTTAATTGTTGTTTTACAGTAAATTTAATGTCCGTTCAATTGAGTCTGCGATTACTAACCAAAAGGGTATCCAGAGTTAAAATGTTGCTCTCTCACACACTTTCTCCTTTGTATCTTACATTCTCAACTATTTAATGCACTTTCTGGTATTCTGAGCACACAAAGCCAAAGTAATAAATTGCTGATAGATTCTTGGACCATGTTGTTTGGGTTTTACAGGGTATTCTCTGGCCATCTGTTTTACCACCCAACTTCTCTTAATAAGGAAGAGGAAAAAGCTGAAGAGTAGAAAAATAGCTTTCTTCAAAGGTTACACCTCTGCACACAAATGAATACTTCATTTGGAATACAACGTAAGACATACAGAAATTAAACTCCATAAAATCCTATGATATCAATATATAGAAGACATTTCATATTATTATTATTATTATTATTATTATTATTATTATTATTATTATTTGTGTGTATATTTAGGATTGCAGTAATTAATCTACATGAACACAATTTGCATTACTAAACCAATTACATAATCATAATCATAATAATAATAATAATAATTTATTATTTATACCCCGCCCATCTGGCTAGGTTTCCAAATGAATTTGCTGAAGGTGTTTACAGTGAGATTCCATGCTGGATGTAGCTGGTACATTATCCAGAAGTCTCCCCCTTTCTAGCCAGGGACTGAGGTATTTTTTTATTCTAATAGAGTCTTCAGAGGATGATACAACTTATATTTGGTCTAGGTAATCCTTTTATCAAGCATAGAACTTATAACTACATAATGATTAACTCACTAACAAAGATGTTCCCAGAGACTGGATAGTTTGCATTATTGGGAATAATTCAGGGGCAGAGATACCACTAAATATGATTGGATTCCAATATATCCCAATAAGATATTATGGTGAATTTTCCTGTAGAATGGCTGCAAACTCCCACCTGGCACTGAAAAGGGCTTACTGGCATCCATCTAGGACATGGGTCATTATGTTCTGTAGCTAGTAACTCATTAAAAGAAGAGTACATAATGCACATGTTCTGTTTGTTTATTTTGCAAGAGCTGGTTCTGTCCACAGATCTCTTTGGGGTCAAACTGCCCTATGCAGAGTTTTGCTGTCTTCAAAACATTAAGTTCTGTACACAAAGAAAGTAGATGGCATAACTGAAGGAGAGAAGCAACATTGCTCCTGGAGAATATAGTCATGGAAACAGAACTCAGGATGTGATTACTGAGACACAAGGAGGCCTGATTCTCAGAAGCTTAATGCTCTGTGGCTGCTGTAACCATAAGGGCATCCATTTATTTCCTCCTATATAAACAAAGAGTTGACATGTAAACGTATGGGGAAAATCAACTCCTTTCTGAGCATGTTTTAGCAGCATTTCTGTTACAGTGGTACCTCGGATTAAGTACTTAATTTGTTCCGGAGGTCCGTTCTTAACGTGAAACTGTTCTTAACCTGAAGCACCACAATGGGGCCTCCTGCTGCTGCCGCGCCGCCGAACCACAATTTCTGTTCTCATCCTTAAGCAAAGTTCTTAACCTGCACTATTTCTGGGTTAGCAGAGTCTGTAACCTGAAGCGTATGTAACCCGAGGTACCACTGTATAAGTGTTCAGTTAAAAAACAATGAGTTTGTCACTAAATAATTTGTCTCCGTTCTTCAAAAATGTGGAAACTGCACTGCATTTTACCTTTGCTGCAAATAAAAACCAGTGCTGCAGTAAGTATTACTGCAGAGCATTTTAAAGAGAATGGGAAATGGTCAAGATAAAAAGGCAAAATTGCACCTATATAACAGCATGATGTGTGGGTTATCTGGTAATAGTTTAACAAACTTTCCTCAGTAGGGACTCCTTGACTGCAAACCACACCTTTCTTTGAAATAATGAGCAGGGCAAAGAGAAGAGCTCAGGAATATTTTGCCCCAGGCTATCTTATGGTTGAAATCAGTAACTAAGCTTGAGTTTTACCCAAACTTACATGGAAGCAAGCCTCATGCCAATCAATGAGACAACTTTCTTCATAGACATGGCACTGGGTTGCATTGCAGACACTTTCAGGCTCACTTCATCAAATGATACTCTGGCAACCAACCTGAGCTAAAATACTGCTTACACAGTCTATTTTCATGAGCAATGCAACATGCAAAATACAAAACAATGCAGATTCACAGCTCTGCTTAAGCTCTCAGAACCTGAGATTCTTCTTTTCAGTCATATCACTTGCATTAATTGTCCACAACAACAGCAATAAATAAACAAATTCAAGATTGCTAACATCTTGTCAAAAGAAACTATGGCCAATGCAAGTTATCAAAACAAATAAACAGCAAGATTAGTCAGTCTCAAAGACCCTTTATTAACTATTAAATTGAATCGGATGCTAGTAATAGTCCAATCCACCCAAAAGTCGAAGTGCTTGATTTAAGTCATTTTAGTTCAGTGGAATGAAACCCATCTTGTAAATAAGCATTTCACCTGGTTTCTAGATTGGGCTGTCTAAGACAGCCATCCTGCTTGATTGCATACATGTGGTACAAGGAAGATAAAGCTAAAAGAGAGAGAGAGAGAGAGAGCACTCCAAAATAAAATTAGTTCAATTTAAAAATCTCACTTTGCAGCCAAAGTTTGAGTAATATCACTGTAGCATAGAAGGCCCCGTTTTTGCACACTTTACCTGAACATCATTGGCCTTCATCCTTGTTCCTTCCTTTCCAACAAAGATGTCATCGATGTCAACAAGAATGTATCTATCCAAGGACAACATAAGCCTCTTGCCAGTCAAGAATGAAATAGCATCTATAAAGATGAGCTTGTGCAGCCAAAAGTTCAAATTGTTGCCAAAAAGAACACGTTGAATCCCATCATGAAGACCCAAGTCATGAACAACAGTTGCATGGAAAGAACTTTTAATTACAGGAGGTGGGAGGTTTTCAGGTGTTTTTACTTTTGCAAATATAACAGGTTGGTAGGCTGAATGATTTATGTGGAAAACTGTCCAGTCATTTCCTGGCAAAGGACCTTTATCAAACTTAGATGATTTAGTCATATGGAGCAGAGAAGAATAAGGGTTGATGCAACAGTCCTTAACACCCACATTACCATGAATGTGAAAAGGAAAACCTTTTAACTGAGAAGTTTGTAGAGAGTTCTCACTGCTCTTATGGAATCCGATCATTCCAACACCATATTCTCCACAGAATTTATCTAGAAGGCCTCGATTCCAGGAATCCATATTCACATACTTAAAGATATTCTCAAATATTATGAGAATGTATTTGCCTTTGTTTTTATCTATAAGCACAGGAAGATCACCTTTCCCAGAAGCAATCTCAATATGATATTGGAACCTGCTGGATTCTAAAATCATTATTATGTCTTGGCCAAGTGCAGAGTACTGGCTTTCCACAAAAACTAGTACCACAGGATCAGTCCTTAAGGGATCAATGGGCTTAACCATCTTCCACGGTGCTAACTTGTATGGCAACAGTACTGGAAGGTCTCCACATTCCACCTCTGAAGAGATCTCAGAAAGTTCATTTTCCTGTTTGTAGCCATTGTACAAATAATATGCTGAAATAACAATGCTCACCATACAAAAAGTGGCCAGCAGTATAACTGTTCGTTGGAAATGTCTATGAAGTTTCACAATATAAGTCATTTTGTAAGTCATGCCTTAGATGGTTTCCAATAGCAGCAGCATTGAGATTAAAGAGATTTTCAAATTTTATTCCAGTCCAGTTTAGTAGTTTATGTCACCATTGCAGCGTGTATATCTATCTTCAGCACAATTCACAGGAAATATATACTAGAAGGGAGGAAAAGAGAGAGTTAAATAAATTTTCACTCATACATTAAAATGATCCAATTAACAGCAAACTGAAAGTGAACTAAACCATCAAAAGGTAAAACACAGATGCAGTGGAATTTATGCATCTAAGTAAGATAGAAAATTGGAATTTGGATGCCTATAGTATATAAAAAACCAGAAGGGAATAATCAGCACACAAAGTGAGGGGTTTGCTATTATTTCTGGAGACCATTGCATACAACTACAATTAAGAAATTATTTATCTCTTACTATAGTTCCTTCCTTAAAGGCTTCTATAGAAAGGTATCACCTATAAATCAAGGACAGGAACTGTGGATCTCTAGATGTCATTGGGCAACAACTCCCATGAGGCCCCAAAGGCATGAAAACATTTGCTTGGTAGAAACGGCCACCACAATCCTGTGATATTCCATGTAAACCTATGGTTCTTCCTCCCACCAGTGTTAATCACGTTTCAGACTTATGTCAGAACCATTCTTAACCATAGGTAGCCATTATAACAGCACTGATTGTAATCATAATTGTTGTTAACCAAAGATTGATATTAACTTGTGATCTGAAACCCATGCGAACCTTGATCAATACTCAATCATGGGAAATAGTGATGCCTATGCAAGAATATTAAGCATAACTGAATCCTGTGATAGAAGTAGGGCTTTACATTAGAGAAGAGATGTGTTGGAGATAAACAGCATAAAATTAAGCAGCCCAGACTTGATTCTTCATGCTTAATGGATCAAGAGTGTTATGTGCAACAACTCTAAAAAGGCAATGCTTTTAAAACACCACCACCTACAACAAAGCTTTTACACAAGCCAGAAAAGTTGCTTGACTTAAACCACAATGAAACTTTTTACATCAATTTAAAAGTAGGAACCACTGTGCACTGTTACATTTTGTGACAATGTTAAAAATTCTTCAAAAGAACTCTTTTTGAAACAAGGAAGCTGCTATAGGATGTTTGTAACAAGGATAAGATATCCATAGGAGTGTGCCTCTACGTTCTACAATCTTCTGAGAATACAACTTTAAATTTGTTGTCTTGTTGTAAATTTAGGTTTTAAAATGTGACAGAAAAATTCTCTACTGTATTAGGAATAAATGATTTATTTCAGCATTTAGATTTTTTTAAAAAAACAAAAACAAAAATATAAGTTTAGAAATTAGACCACATCCTCCCCCCCCCCCAGATTTGCACAGAATCAAATCCACAGACATTTACTGTGGATACGTCATGTTATCATAAAAAATGCAAGATTTTTCAGTCCTCAGTGAAACAACTATCTCTTTCTTGTTGATCCCTTTCTCCCTGGAAAAACACTTGTATTACCAGCCTGACATATTATCCACCTTTGAGCAATAGAAATAGATTACTCAATTGCAAAATAAATAAAATCTGGAACACTACAAATATTTTCCAAGTCAACGCACACAGATTTTGAAAGCCACATTATATAACTACAGCAAACATAAATACCGTTTTTAGGCAGACAGTTAAAAAGCCAGTAAGCATACAGTGTAGATCAACTTTAAGATGCTAGTGTTGAAGTCAAAATCTTTGTAATTTAAAAAGAAAATGACACAATTGTACAGTCAGGTAGATCAGGGCCTTCTCTGCTGTGGCACTCAACTGTGGAATTCCCTTCCCCTAGAATTACACATTTCCCCCTCACCATCAACATTCCAGTTTCAACTCAAGATACTTTAGATCACCTGAATATTTAGGGCAAGGAGAGCCAATGTGAAGCCCTCCAGATGCTGTTTCGAATCACTGACCATGTTGCTTGGAGCTTATCAAAATTCGAGTCCAACATCTGGCAAGCACCATGTTAGCTATCACTGATTTAGGGAATGGAGATGATCTAGTGTCTAACAGTTGATGCATTTTTATACTGTATTATGAAAATTGGCCACTGTGATTGTTGTTGTTATTATTATTCTTGTTCTATATTTTTAATCTATCATGAGAATTGGCTGCTTTATCTGATTATGTTGTACACTACCCTGAGCTCCTTTGGAATTGCAACACAGAAATGTAACTAATAGAATGAACAAATAATTTATATTTTAACGCATGTCACGGTAGTAAGGATATGTGGCAACTTTTAGGTCATGATCCTACCAAAACCCTTTTAAGTCCAATTGATTTCAAAAGGAGAAATGCTTAAACAAAATGCTCAGTTCTTCCACTGACTGCAAAGTGACTGACTGAAAAAGAGCTTTTAGAAAACTGCATTTTTAAATGGAAAAAATATACAACATACTAAAGAATATGAAAAACTGCATTTAGCATAAATGTCATGCTCTTAATGTTTTGATAAATTAATGTTTTGAAAGTATAGATTTGTTCCTTTATTTTATTTTATTTTTTGCTTAAAATACTTACAATCACAATGACTTACCAAATAAAAGTATGAAGACATGAAGGTTTCACAGATTTAAAAACACCAATAGCTATGCATCTGGGGTAATATTATTTCTGTAGCTTTTTTCCACCACGCAAGTAGCATACAACTATTTATTCTCATCCACCAAGTGGATAGCATTCTAGGTATGTTGTTCAAAAGGCAGGGACTTCATCATATCCATCTCCCAGATATGCACATAGAACATTTCTCTCAAGGCTGGTAGCTCTGAACATCTGCTTGCTTGGAAAGACACTTGCAGTAGTAAGCAAGGATAAACAAATCTGCCAATTTCAGTTTTAGCTTCTCATTTTTTGAATCTTAAATTACATTTATGTATCAATTTGAATTTTTATGAGTACTTTACCAAAAAACCCAGCATCAGCGTTTTTGTATGCATTTCTCCTAATGCACATATTTTGTGTGCAGTTTTTGCAAAATGCACACATTTTAAAAGCAACCCTTCCTAATATAATGCACTTTTCAGTAACATGCATTTCATGGACACTTTCACCTAACATACACATTTTTCTACAGCACATTTTGGTTGAAAAAATTGTGCCACAAAGTTTGTAGGTGTGAAGATTTTAAAGGATAGATGTATTTCATGTCTTGTACTGTTTCGGGAAATGCAAATGTCTCCCCCATATCTAAAAGTTACGTAGGATCTATGATTGAGGCCAACATCTAATTTATGCAAAAAAAGCATACACCTAACCAGCGAGGTAGATTTAGCTAAGCAACACCAACCTGCCCAGAGCAGAATGCAAATTTTGATACCCAAACACAACCTTCTGTGAACCACAGCACACTTCACTTCACAACAATTTAGACTACTGGGCTGGATTTCAGCAAGCAGAAATCAGCTTATAATAAATCTTTGATATGTTCAGCTTGTTGCTGTCTTGGCTAACCTGATTTTGAACTTGGTAAGGTCCTAACCAGGTAAATGGCCTTAAGTTAATTGGTCCCTCACTCCTAAACCCTTGCATTAATGTAGCTGCCAGCAATACCAGGCTATTCCTGAAATTGTAGTAACTTAAGATGACACATATCTGAGTTTGTGATGCTGCACTGAGGTAACAGCATGCTGTACACTCCATATATATATATATATATATATATATATATATATATATGCTGGTTGAGCAAGAAGAATGGGCCTTTGTCCCACTTGAGTTAATGGAACTATCCCACATCAGTCCAATACATGTTTATTCAGAAAGAAGTGCCATGGAACTCATTGGGAGTTGCTTGGGAGTAAGCACACACAGGATTGCAAACTATGTCAGCCTATATTGTACTTCAGCTATGGATGGACCTGTATGAAAGGCATAATTATATTGTGTTGTTTATTCTGCATTATCTCCCTTACAATCTGTTAATAAGGTAACATTTGTTTTACAAGCACAGTATGCTGAAATGTATTTTTTCAATTTATTTTGTTCAATAAATATACTTTCAAATTACTACTCTGTCTTTAATATAGCATTCTATTTACTGTTCTGCCTTCAGTATACAGTTCTGTTTCCAATTATTCCAAACCAGCTAGCATCCAGATGTCAACAATATCATGATATCTACACAATCCATCCCACTCTTTTACAAATACAGATGCTGAAACACAGTGAGATTAAGAGATTGTATATTGTACATCCATTCTCCTTTCTTCTATGTATTTTAGTTAATATTCATTTGATAAAATCTTATGGCCATTGTACAAAGTTTGGGCTAAAAACACAGATGAAAAAAAAGGCTACACCTGTTTTCTTTTGCAATCAGCTAAAGAGATTTTATATTTACGATAAATATCCCACAAACTTGAATACCAAGCCATTTCTCATTCTTGTGTTTTAATCCTCGGTGCAAAACACTCAGCAAGAACTTCCAAACAAATGCTTACCTTTTTCGAATTAAGAAAACTGCTGACATTTGAATCTTTAAGAACCACCTCGTGCATGGCTCTCTGTTCAGAACTGTTTTGCAATAATACGTGTGACAATATTAAGTACTTTGCAATTAAAAATTCCTATTTGAGGCTCACAACAAGGAAGCAGCTTTCGGCGTCCCAAAACACTAGAGGGCAACAATGTCTCACAAAAAAAAATCTAAGAATAAGACTTGCTTGGGTACCACAGGAGAAAGACAGATGTTAGGCGAGCTAATTGTTGGGGTTTTTTAAAAAAATAAATAAAATCACAAGCTCTAAAAGAGAACACAGCGAGGTTTCTCTTTTTTTGGTCTCTGAAAGCCTCATTAAGCTATGCCTCAACCAGAAAAGGGTTAATGCGAACAAAAATCCTAACCTTTAAAACAGAGAAATAACGAGCCATTCCGGCATAACTCTCCAAAAAGTAGCTGAGGGCACAAGCAGCCCAGCCCGTGGTCTCTCTGAGGGAAAGAGGAAAAATATTTCTTCCACATTTCAAGGGGCGCAAAGCAGCAGGCGCCGTCCCAGAACTTTTGCGCTCTGAGGTAAAAAGGAAGGGGAGAATCCGGGGTCAGAAGTTGAGAGTTTCCCGCCCGGTTTCCTCAGAGAGGGACCAGCGCAGCCACACCTGGTTTTCTTTCTTTCTTCCCCTCAGCCCAGCCCCCTCCCCTCCCCGTGGTCTCCATTACCTGAAGATGCGCTCCAGGACCATGGTGCCTCCTCCACTTGGCGGTGACCTTCTGCGGCTCCTCGCGAGACATAGACCTCCGCGCACGCAGCCACAACTTGCCGGCTCGCTCCTCGGCGCCGCGTCTCTCCGCCCACCCCGCCCCGAGGCTTCTCCCTCCCCAGGCGAGGGACTGCCAGGGTCGCCTCCTCAGCTGCCTCCAACCCCAGTTGGCTCCCCTCAGTCCCCGGGGAAGAGGAGAGGCAGGCAGACTACGACTTCAGCAGGAGAGGAAGCTTGGCCAGCTTTGTCCCTCTCGCAGCGGCGGCTTGCTTTGCCTTCCCCTCAGCGGGAATGGCCTGGGCTGAGGCACCCTCGGGAAAGAGAAGCGCCTGCCAGGCGAGACCACCCCCCCTCCCCAGTCAGTGGCCCCTTCGCCTTTCCCTTCCAAGCAGCGGGGACGGGATGCTGCGGTCGCGGCTTCCACTTGAGAACAGGGGAGGAACGCCGCTTTCCAGGCGGCTTCCCCATTGGTCCCAGGCTTCTCTTGCTTTGGCCAATGAGCGCGTTCTTGGGAGGAGGCTGAGGAAGCGGGTCGGAGTTCTCAGGCAGCCGCCCCGGGAAACTCCCAGCAGCGAGCCGCGGATGGGAGACGGTTCTTTGGCAAAGATTCCCGGAGCTTCCCACATAGCGGGGTTGTGTGTGTGAAAGAGAGGCCCTTTGGTGCGGTGCCAGGCTCCCTAAAGGTCCAATCCCACGGCGCGATCCCATCGCGCGCGATTTAACCCGGGAGCTCGGCGGGGCTTGCTTCCAGGTAGGCTGCGCGCTTCTGGGCACAGGATCGCTCGCAGCGCAATCCTATGCAAACTAAGCCCCGCCGAAGCTAAGCCGGACTTGTTCCCTAGGTAAGTAGGTATACAGTAGTGGGATTGCAGCCTTTGTGAGCGAAAGCTCGAGCTTCCCCGTGTATCGTGGGTTATTACTGCTGGTGCTTCAGCCCTCCGTGAATTTTGAAGGAATCTCCCCATCTGGCTTGAAATATTAGACAGGCAGGAGAGAGAAGTTAACAAACCTCCAAAGAAACAATATGCACGGAGTGCGCTAGCCGGCTGAGAAGACTACTCAATAAGTTTTTAACGCCACCACTGTGATATTGTGTGTGTGTGTGTGTTTTAAGGAATCCCTCCCCCCTAATTAATTTGAGAGACCGGAGATTTATTTAACTAGCCCAGGCTTTGATTTATGGCAAGCCTCGGAAGTGTCTTCGATTCCAAGTTGCTTTTTACCTCCTCCGTAGGAAGAGCAATTTCCTCTCTGCGTGTTCAACTAGACAGCTCTGCTGCGCCAGGTTGCATTAAAAGTAGGTAACAGATTCTTGCTGTCACGACTGGTGTCAAAATGCTGGCATCTACTGAATCCTGTCCAAACCTAGAAGTCTACAACATGAGGGTGTTCAAACTGCCGCCTTCACACACGAATAGGAATACACCTGCTGGTCATGCTCCCACACGACAATGTGCTCACTGATCGCTTCCCCTTAAACACACACTGGCTGCACAGTCAGTATTAATGAGAACCCACCCAACTGACATATTTGTGCTGAGAAACAACCCTGTATGTTAGTATGTATTTCTGTGAGGAAGAGCCTAGTGTATAGGTTGGAACCTTTCTTATTAAACTTTCCTGTGGAAAACTCTCAAACTGTACCCAAGCAGAAGAACATTCCCTTCTCGTGACTTCCAGCAACTGGTATTCAGAAGCTTTATTGCCTCCACCCATAGTGGCAGAACATGGCTAGAAGTCATTGATAGCTTTCTCAATGACCTTGTGCAATCCTTTTAAAGCCATCTCAGTTGGTTACCATCACTGTCTCTTGTGGGAGCGAGTACCTGAACACACTGTGTACAAATACTGTATACATTGTGTTCATTGTTTGTTTGCTTTTTAATAGAATAACAGAAGCAAAAGAGAGAGAAAGTCAGATATTGACCCACAAAACTTCCAGTCTGAATTTAATCAGACATGTGGGAGACAGCAAGGGAAGGGGGTTTATGCGGGAGGCTAACTGGAGCGCCACAGGCCAACGCAAATCTGCAAAAATTAAAATTAAAACACATATGCTATTTATTTATATATACAGATATAAATTGCCTTTTAGGGCAGTGAGGAGGGACACAAACTTTGGCTGTGGCTGTTCCCTTCAGAGCTTAATTTGCCTCTGGGCTCTTCTCCTGTATTGGTAGGGTCATACATTTTCATAATTTGCCTCTGGGCAGATTAAGAGGGTGGGTGGAGTTTCATGGGTACTGCACTTTGCAGAACACCCAGCTGCCCTACAAGCAAAGTAAAATAAAAGTAAGTTGGGGTGGGGGATAGGGAAAAGGCAGGAGACCTGTCATTCCCATGGCTTGAGCCTGTAGGGCACTTCCTAACAACACCCCCTGGGGATATGTGCAATATATTTTAGCAGGAACATAACAACTGGTGTATTCCGATTATTCACAACATTAGCCTGTCTCTGGGATCTTAGAAGCAGTATATGAAGGCATTCTAGTGTTCTGCTATTTTTTTTTCTATTGTGTGTACTTAGGGGTATATTGCCTCTTTATTTATTTAACAAAATTTATAGACCACTTATTCAAAATAGAAAAAGCTCTACTAGCAGTTTACATGAAATAGTGTACAATATTTATTTTAAAAATGATAAAAGAAGAAGACTTAAACAAGTAAAAAGCATTTTTAATATAAAAAACACAAATCAAATTAACAGAATGTGAAGATAAGCATGCATAATGATTTTTTATGTCTGGGTAGGCTTACTAAAACAACAAAAGCTTTTAGCAGGCATCTAAAGCAATACAGTCGACAATGGCCTGTATAGTTAAAGGTATGGTTTTCCCAGTAGTGATGTATGGAAGTGAGAGCTGGACCATAAAGAAGGCTGATCGCCGAAGAATTGATGCTTTTGAATTATGGTGCTGGAGGAGACTCTTGAGAGTCCCATGGACTGCAGGAAGATCAAACCTCTCCATTCTTAAGGAAATCAGCCCTAAGTGCTCACTGGAAGGACAGATTGTGAAGCTGAGGCTCCAATACTTTGGCCACCTCATGAGAGGAGAGGACTCCCTGGAAAAGACCCTGATGTTGGGAAACATTGAGTGCACAAGGAGAAGGGGACGACAGAGAATGAGATGGCTGGACAGTGTTCTCGAAGTTACCAGCATGAGTTTGACCAAACTGTGAGAGGCAGTGGAAGACAGGAGTGCCTGGCGTGCTCTGGTCCATGGAGTCACGAAGAGTCGGACATGACTAAATGACTAAACAACAACAAAGCAGTACAGTCATACCTCATGTTACGTTTGCTTCAGGTTGCACATTTTCAGGTTGCATCTCACAGCGACCCGAAAATACCGGAAAGGGTTACTTCCAGGTTTCACTGCTCGCACATGCGCAGACGTGCAAAATGACACCACACGCATGCACAGAAGCGGCAAATCACAACCTGCAGATGTGGGTTGTGTTCTTTTCAGGTTGCGAACAGGTCTCCGGAATGGATCCCGTTCGCAACCAGAGGTACCACTGTACTGTACAGCAAAGCCACCTGCCTGATGGCAATACAAAGGGAATTTCACAACATGAGTGCTGCTATACCAAAAAGACTGATTCCTTGCATATGATTTTTCCACAGTGATTCCAATTCAATGTCCTGGATAAGGATTAAACAGCAGATTACATGAGTGATTCATGCCATTTATGTCCTACCTTTCCTGAAAGGAGCACCAAGTGGTACACATGGTTATCCTACCCATTTGACCCTCACAACAATCCCATGACCTGGGTTAGGCTGAGAGCATGAGAATATGAGAAAAATCCTGCTGGAACCTAGCCCCCCTGAGGCCCCTAACAGCTGTCCAAGGATTCTGGTTGCTGATGCCAGCTTTGCAGAAGCACAAGATATACCACAACTCAACATGAAAATGTATCACCCTTACAAGTCCTAAAAAGATTAACATGACACCTAAAATACTATGGTGGTTCTCAGCAGTAGGCATTCATCACTCCCACACCTAACTAATGTGCTCTCTGAGGCCATAAAAGACTACATGCCTTCCTCTCTTTCATTTGCAGTGATAACATTTGATTTGGAATTAGTGGTGTTCTTGTCACTGAGAGGAGAATGCAATCTGAAGTGTACATTCTCTAAGGGTAGTTTAAGAAGCGACCAGGCCAAGATATACAATCCTCTTACATTAAACATTGGTTCCCCCTCCCCACTTTATTATGCTACACATCATTTCATATCTGTATTATCTGAAGATTTGTTTTGTTATGTTTTCTACAAGCATTGCCTGAGACCATCCATCTTCCTACACCGTTTCCCTTATCTTTCAGCCCTTAGATGGAAAATGCATTGGTCGTTTCTCTTTGCTCGCTTTTGTTTTATTTTCAACTCTTCATTTTCAAAAATGTTTGTGGTGTTTCTCCCAAGCTGCCTTGAAGGCTCCCCGAGTCTTTGGGTGATGAATCCCTGGCATCATAGATGAGTGCCCTGCCTTTAGGGCCCAATCCATATTAAGCACCTTATGCATGTCCAACTGAAACAAAAGCGACAAATGCAGTTTGGTGTTAGCACTTGCTGTAAATCTGTTTTAGTCTTGTTACTACCAGAGACTCAAACAATTTTTATCTTAAAAAATAAATAAGTTACCACACTAACTTTTCCAGTATGTACTGCTTCTTCTTTAGTAGTGCATATTTTCAAGACAATTCTGCACAGGTACACACACTTCACACCGGTATTTATGGGTACACACACTAAAATGCTTCATTCTTTCATATAGCCCTACTCAGGAACTGAGATCATTTTCTATCCCTACAGTAAGCGAGCCAGTCATTAAGCCTAGGCCCCTGTAACATACTGTGTACATACCGTTGTTCAAAAACACATTTTGCCCCCCATCCCTCAGAATCCTGTGAACTATTGCTAAAGGCGCTCACACAACTACAACTCCTAGTACAGTGGTACCTCGGGTTACAGACACTTCAGGTTACAGATGCTTCAGGTTACAGACTCCGCTAACCCAGAACTAGTACCTCGGGTTAAGAACTTTGCTTCAGGATGAGAACAGAAATCGTGTAGCAGTGGCGCAGAGGCAGCAGGAGGCCCCATTAGCTAAAGTGGTGCTTCAGGTTAAGAACAGTTTCAGGTTAAGAATGGACCTCCAGAACGAATTAAGTGCTTAACCCAAGGTACCACTGTACCTGGATAGCTCAGTTGGTTAGGGTGTGGTGCTGATAATACCAAGTGTTTCAGGTTCAATCCCTATATGGGACACTGCATACTTTATTCCTGCATTTCGGGGGGGGGGGGCGCGGGGAGTTGGACTAGATAATGCTTAGAGTCCTTCCATAGAATCCAGTTCTATGATTCCACAGTTAATCAGCCAAAGGCCTGGTTATAGAGAAACAATTTGCCTTTCATCTACAGTAAATATATGTAATGAAGGTACCATGTTTTCACCTGGTGCTTAAAGGCATATAATGCAGGCCAAACCTCCCTGGGGAGAACATTCTACAAATGGGGAGCCACTGCAGAATAGGCCTGTACTTTGAACTCTGTTCAGAGACAGGTGTGGGAGCCAATGTAGTTGGTTTGGAACTGTATGCTTCATCACTAACGAATGAGACTGAAATTCCTATCATACAGGATGCTTCTTAAGAAAAAGTTATGGAAAGAGTGGGACGTTCTCTCTCCCCACCCTCAATTCCCCGTCTATCAGGTCTCTAGGTTTCAAGGGGTTTCATAAGTTAATACATATTCAATATGTGGTGGTGGAAATTCAGAATGTATTAATTTTAGTGAGATGTTTTGAATATATGTCAATGTGATTGAAAGGTCCTTGGTAACACTGAAATTGGTTGGGAAAATGTGTTGTGTGACAGGGAGAGGGATTAAAGAGAAATGGAGATGTGGTGCTCCCAGTCAACAGACTAAAGCAGCTTTGTTCTGCTTAAGAAGACAGCATTTAATTAGAAGTTCTCTCTCTTTTTAGTATAATGGGATGTAAAAATATTTGCAATGCACAGAAATGAAAAATGAAAACCACATACATATTTATACACAAATATGTATACGTATATATCCATATACACATTTACCTTAAAACTTACAAAATATCTTCTCAACAGCCTATTGAACATTAATTTGAAAACATCTCCAAACACTTCTTCCTTGTTGCTACACTGTAGATTACCCCCTCATAGAGCTATAGTTCAAATCACCCTCAACAAACTACACTTCCCAGGATTCTTTGACAGAAGCTATGTGCTTTTAATATATGGTGTCAAGGTGGCCTTGTTTTCTTTGGATATCAGAGAGCTCTGGGAGTTATTGTGTCCTTGTAATATCTGCTTCTTTGCAAAGATGCAAGCATAGCACACTGGAAGTGAGTGTTCCCCTAAAATGTGTTGCACTGAGGTGCAGTGAATGTACTTATTTATTGTTTTCATTATTTATTTACCCCTTAAAAGAACCTAAACTCCAGCCTTCCCCTCAGATTAATCTCTTAGACTAGGAGGAATCCTGTGTAGGCTTGTGTTAGGAGACTTGCCAGCAAGCAGTAAAAACAACAACACAACAACAACACCTCTGGAGCCTGGATTCAACAGTCAAGTTTCAGCAAACAACAGGGGTAGCATGACTGCTAGCACTATATTAGAGTCACAAACAACTGTTATGGACTCACGCATGATCCCTTCTGCACTGTTTGTAGTCCAGCTAATCTCACAGCTCCCCTCTCTATGAATTGTTCCCAAATTCAGATTGTAACCACTGTTTTTCTTTTAATCCCACTAGCTGGGAGTTTCCAAAAGTCTTGGCAAGGATTTCTAGGCATTAAGCAACATTACAGTCCTCACCACCCATCAGCATGCAAGGGAATGTACAAATTCCTCTCGTGAGACTAACATAGTGGGTGCTCATAAAAATATCTCCCATGCATTGATGGAGGGACAGGAAATGTGCCTGGTAGAAACCCCACCAAGTCCAGTTTGTGAAGGGGGTTCATGCACTGATTTACTTAAAAGCATTTCTAAACTGCTTAATATTTTAACAGGCCTAAACCACAACATAAAAGCCATAAAACATCACAAAACTCTGTAAAACCGTATTGTAACAACAGGAATTCAGTAATAACAGGATCTAATCTCATGTGTCAGGGAAAGCCTTTGCATACTCACAGAGATGTGTAGAGATTCTCCATGTGAGGGTGGATCCTGGTTCAATCAGTGTTGTACATAAAGCTCAACATTTCATGACAGAAAAGGTAAGCAGGCTGTATTTGTTGAACACAATTTCATAAATTAAAGAGCTCGTGCATGCACACATTGACAGACAGATTCACACACACACACACACACACACACTCCACAGGGATGTTGCTTAACAATAATTAGTGCTCTGATTGATAGAGGGTCAAACCTAGGAACCTGGAGGGAGATGAAGGAGGAAGGAACAGGGTCCGGTCCATGTACCAGGATGCTCCAGGTGGCTGTAAAGTTCTTGCCCTGATATGCTGCCTTCTTCCCAGGGTCATAGACTGTTGTACTTCAGCTATCGGGATCAGTTGTTCAAGGCTTCTTTGTCATCTTGACCACAGGCTGCGAGAACTTGGTCAGAGTGACACCAGTTCTGTGTTGTTGGTGGTTGGTAAGTTATATACATGGAATGGAGGTCACATGACTATGCTACTTAGCTGGTGCTGTTGTGTTGCTGAGGGAAAATTATTTATCATTGACTTTGTTTCATGCACTTTGTTTCAGCCAAGCTTCCTTTGTGCTAAATGTAACTTCATGCTGTCTCCTGCTTATTTGCGGGTAGCAGGAATGTAAGCTAAGCATTTGTTCCTCTCTCAAAAGGCTTCATGCTACATTGACAGCATTAAAGGCATGTATAATCGTACAGTGGTGCCAGAGGTGAGTTTAGGGCAGTGTGACTGGTTCAAGCCTAGGGGTTGCCACAGGGTGTCACAGGTATGATGTAGAGACTTGAGCAGAACAGAACAAATTTTGGCCCTGCACAGGGCGCCACTGAAATTTGAAATACCAAAGTCTGCACCTAGTGGTATTTGGTGCCCTCTAGGACTGGTTGGGCAATCAACAGGGAGGCAGGGAAGTCAACAGTAGGTGAAGCCAAACCAAGAGCCAATGACAGTCAGAGACAACTACTTCTAGTTTTGTTCCCATTGTCTCTGTTGAGTTCTACAAAGTCAACACTGAAGCTAAGGAGGAGGAATCTGCCAGCGCCACTCACTGCTAGGGATGGTGGAGAAATTTGATTCAGTTCAAATCGGAAGGTGAATCTATCTCATTCACTCTTTCCGAAATGCTACGTATATGAACTGAAACGCACCCATCCTTAGAAATTCGCACCTCTCTGAATTTTGCAATGCAATTCTACAGCCAATTAATGTGCACAAAAATGCATATACTAAGGTGGTGTGTGCATAAACATGCATTTGTTAGTGAAAATAGTGTACAAAAAAGTGTTATATTTTTGTACATCATAAATATAAATATTGGGGGGAAGATGCTTTGCAAGAATGCGAATATTAGGTGAAACTTGCACTAAAATGCTCATGAAATTTCATTAGGGCTTTTTTAAAAAAAGAATTCACATATAATGTGAAAATGTGGATAAAATGAGAAATTGAGAGAAACAAAAATTGGCAGATTCACCCTTCTCTACCCAATGGACAGGTTATGAATAAGAAGGCATGCAGTTGGGGCTCCCTGAGATTATGGGGTGTGTGTTATACACTGGATGATCTTTATTGTATGGAAATTTGTGGAGGACAATTATTTTTTTGCTCACACAAAGGCCTCCCATGAGACAGGCAAGACTATTTTCCTGGGAAGTTTTGTAAAGTTGTTTGCTATATATGAGCATCCTTGATATTCTATTTTTAGCATTCACATCTTATGAAGACTGCAATAGGCCTTTGTTAGAATGACTTTCAACCTTTACATTCCAATTTGTAAAAACATAAATCCAGATCCTGCTACACTCTATTAAAGAATCTGGCCATCTAACTAGCAAACTCACCACTTTGAGATGTTATCTGTGAGACTGCATTTTGATGAATCCAAACGCATTAGGTTTCTATTTTTTCCTTGAAACAGCTCAACAGTTTATAGCTGTCATAAGTCAGATGCTTGCAATCTCTTTAAATGGCACAGGTATGTTAATATCTTCCCAGCGACTAGTTCTTAAAAAGAAGAAAAGGATCTGTAATCAGTATTTGGAAACAAATGGCTTTTCCAGCCCTAAGCAACCAACAAGGAAAATAAAACATATTGAAAATGAAAATGATGTGCAAGGCTAACATTTCATATTTAATCTTATCATCAATGTATTGGTCAATATGGACTGTGGATTTTTGGTACCACTTTCCATTGAAAAATGGTTTTAATCAGTGTTTCCTTTTGAAGCATACATTTGGCAACTGAGTAGCTTTTATGACCTGGACGAGAAGCAAAGCAGCCACCATCTCCTCTCTGCTTGTCCATGCTAAACCATGGCTTGACTTTGCATTAGATGTAAACAAGGTCATTGCGAACTATTCTTGTTTCCCCAAGGCTGCTTCTTCAAAATTACCCCTGTAAGCAGCTTTCCTGACCTGGTGCTCTCAAGATGTTGTGGAACTACAACTCCCATCATTCCTGACCATTGACCATGCTGTCTTGGGCTGGTGGGAGTTATAGTCCAACAGCATCTGGAGAGCATCAGTTTGGGGAAGACTTCCCTTAGTTTGGCATCATCACAGTTTGTTGTCTTGTAGGGCATCTTGCTGGCCCTGTGTTTTTAGCCTGAGGCAATTTTTGAAAGGTTGGTGTGGGAGTAGGCAATTTGCAAGGGAAGTATGCTGTGAAAAGCATGTTTTTGTCATGAAAAACAAAAATCAATGAGCTATGGGTTGGTGTGCTTTTTTAAGAAAAACTTTAAAAAGCATGCTTAAGGGAAGAAAATAAAGAACTCTTTGGTGCACTAACAGTCTGCTAAATCAAAACCATTTGCTGGGTTCTAGCAGGATTTCAAAAGGACCTGAAATTAATGAAAAACGTATTTAAAAGCTCTCTTTGTTTTCACGGCAGAAAATAAATAAGTTTGTTTTTTAGTGATGCTTTGTTGCACCAGATTTCTTTCAGCCCACAAGAAACATTTACAGCCACAATATGAAGCTGTAAAAGGAAAGAGGTTTATAATGGTGGTGATAGAGTTGCTGACACAATCTTAACGGCAGCCTTGCCAACAGGGAACCTATAATAACCCCAAAT